CGTTAAAGGATAGCGCACGTAACCTCTTGTGTTTATTCATTGAATTTTCAGCCTCAATACTTTGCCAAGAGGTTGTAAAATCTGATGCAAGATGGACAGGAGATCGTATATTGTGGATTATGAATAAGTTTATACTGAAACACATTGGAGATGCATTAAACAGAGGAATTTCTTGTGGAAAGGTACAGTAACCCTTCTAAGTCTGGCATAAAGTATATGTATTGGAAAAGTGAAAATGAAAATCATATTGGACGCTAGTTGTAACCCAGGTTTCTGCTAACTAACAAAATTTATGCTTCTACTTTATAGCTTAGTCTTTTGACCAGGAATATTGAATTTTAGTTCTAATTGTAAGATTAAAACTCATAGCTCTCTTCTTTGAACTAAATATCCTCAGAAACAAATTATTCTGCTGCAGGGGGGGATTCTTTTGATACGCAAAATGGTGGCTACACTTCCAGATGCCGGAAATCTTTCTGCATTCAGACCTTTATGCTCAGAAGACGACGAAGTGGATTTCTTTAAAAACATTTTCAGCATTCAGGTAAGTCATTTTATCATCTGACTCCTTGAGTCCACAGTTTTTATTCGTGTTGTGATGAAAATCAGAGTCGATATTTTATAACCACACAGAAACCATTGCCACTTCTGATTTTTTTTTTGTTAGACCTTACTTTACCCTTAGAAGAGGAAGCAGCATACCACTTGTGAAAGATAATAGAAACGTTGCGATGATATATCTCGTTTGAATGTCTTTAGGCACATCGTAGAGCAAATGCAATTAAACGTTTCACAAGGGTGATCAAAGATAGCAGTCTGCCTGAGGTGATGATCTCTTTGAGTTTTTTAGATTTTTAAATACATTTTTTGTGCTTTCATAGACTTATGTCCAAATTGCTGTTGGGATTGCAGGGAGTAGTGAGAAAAGTTTTGGTCTCAGTCTTTTTCAACATGTTGCTTGATGGAAAAGATGAAAAAGGGAAAAATATCCAAGATGCATGCAAAGAAGCCCTTGCATCTATATCTGCTCATATGAGTTGGACGTCGTACTATGCTCTATTGAATCGGTGTTTCCATGAGATGAACAAGCATACCGATAAGAAAAAACTTCTGCTGCAGCTTATCAGCTTGATTTTAAGTAACTTTTACTTTTCAAAAGATGGTTACACGCAGGAGGCTATGGAGATTAGGACTCGCATTGAGAAAAGCGTTTTCCCGAAGATACAGAAGCAGATGGATTCTGACGATGATAGTGTTAATGTTGACAGCTACGTGGCTGCGGTGAAGGTTCTAAAGCTTCTCCCCAACGAAATAATGGACCCACAGCTAGACTCTATAGTTCCTAAAATTTGCAGTTATTTGACGAATGGGTTGGAGAGCACACGTGATAAAGCCAGAAAGGCTCTTGCTGCTTGTGTGGAGGAACTTGGGCTAGAGTACCTGCAATTTGTTGTAAAAAATTTACGTGCTAGGTTAACACGAGGATCTGAGGTGCATGTTCTAGGATTCACTGTCAATTTTATCTTATCAAAATGCGTGTCCAATTCTACGGGTGGGAAGTTGGATCATTGTTTGGGAGATCTCCTTGCTGTGGTAAAAGCCGATATCCTTGAAGATGTTGATGACCAGAAAGAGGAGTTAAAAACCGCATTCAAGAAGAAGAAAGAAACTGTAAAACGCAAGTCACCTGAGACTCTGAAACTGATTGCTGAAAATGTAACGTTCAGGAAAAGTCATGTGTTAGAGTTACTTTCTCCGGTCACAGCTCAGCTGCAGAGGCCTCTAACTCCAAAGTTGAAATCAAAACTGGAGGAGATGTTAAGGTATATTGCAGCTGGTATTGAAGGCAATCCAACTGTTGATCAAGAAGATCTGTTTTGTTTTATTTATGATGGTATTAACAACAAGATTGGTCTTGGGGATCAAGTGTCTTCCCCACCATCCAAAAAGAAAAGGAAATCAAGAGATCTGCAAAATACTGCTGGTGCTAAGTCATGTCCACATCTCATAACCGTCTTTGCTCTGGACTTATTGCACAACAGACTGAAGAAAATGAATCTTAACAATATTAAGACTGAAGAAGCGCTGTTGTCGATGTTGGATCCTTTTGTCAAAATACTTGTTGGGTGCTTGAGCTCTAAGTATGAAGATGTTGTATCTTTATCTGTTAGATGTTTCACTCAATTGTCAAGGTTACAACTACGTTCCTTCAAATCTGAAGCAGATAAAGTGAAGACAACACTGCTAAATATTATTGCTCAGTCTGCAATGAGTTCCAGTAGTCCTCTTGTGGAGTCATGCCTTAAGCTGTTAACAGTTCTTATCACATCAGGAAATTTCACTTTATCATCTTGGGAGTTGAAAATGTTGCTTCAACTTCCCATGTTTGTTGATCTAGAATCGGATTTATTTGATACTTCTCTGTCATTTATCAAGGCCATTGTGGTAGGGAAGCTTGCAGTCCCAAACATACATGATATAGCAGGTCAGGTATTAAAGTTGATGATAAAGACTCACTCGGACCATACCCGCAAGAATTGTGCAGAATTACATTTGGAAATTTTGGTACATCATACACTTTCTGAGAAATGCCTACAACGACATGTTAACATTTTGCTGAAACATCTGAGGTACGTATGTATATATGCTTTTTGAAATTTGGCTTGGCTTTTCAAATAATAACTGATTTTTTCCTCCCCCAGCTATGTACATTCAAATGGAAGAGAAGCTGTTCTTGACATGCTTCAAGCGCTTATCAAGAAACTCCCAAAAGCTTCTCCCGGCAAGACGTCGTTTCTTGACCAGCAGTCTCAAAACTTCTTTCTTCAGCTTGTTTGTTGTTTGGCAACTGATGATGCTAAAGAAGTGCTACCCAAGATTGGTGATGTGATTAAACTTCTTTTAGGTCGCATCAGTAAAGATCAAGTTTATTCCAGCCTTGAGTACTGTCTAGTTTGGTATAAGCCGGAGAACTCACCGGCTATAGCAGCACAGGTAAATGCTCTTCATGTTCTTATTGACAATGGTTAGATGTCAGATCAGTTGGGAGTAGGAACTTATAACTTCACATGAGTCTTATAGAATTTATGGCTTGCAACATTTTCATGAAGCTTGGTTTCTTGGGACAGTTGATTACTCTTACTCATTTGTTGGATGCCGTGCAGGTACTGGGGTTATTCATTGAAGCCATGAAGGCATCGGGATTATCCATTAAACCCATTAAGGAAATATTTCGGAAGCATATCTGCAATGTATTGCACGAGGCTAAAATAATTTTGGAGTCTACTGTACAGTTGCAAGATACGGTTGAGGAAGGCAGTATTCCTTTCTGGAAGGAAGCTTATCGTTCACTGGTTATGATAGAGAAGATGCTCCAGCAGTTTCCTGATTTAACTTTTGGAAAAGATTTTGAGGTAATGCTCTCAGCTGTATGATGCTATAACTGTAGGTTGTTGTTGTAGTTGACGTCTGAGAAGTAGCTTGTTAATCATTGCATCTTGAAGCTCTGATACATATTTATATATATTTTCTTGTTTGACAATTTGATGTCTAATCCTGTTGCCTTTTCTCCTTTGATAAGACGAACATAATTGTATCCTTATTATGTCTCATTTATTTTTCAGGATATTTGGAAAATGGTGTTTAAGTTGTTGTTGCACCAACATGAATGGTTGCGTACTATATCTTGCCGGCTCCTGAATTACTATTTTAAAGCATTAGCTGGGAGTGAAAGAGGAGAATCGCAGAAAATAGTAGCTGATTCTCTTCTCGGGAAGCCAAGTAGCCTGTTCTTGGTAGCTGTTTCTCTTTGCATCCAATTAGAGGATCAACGCAGCACGGGCAACGAAAACTATGGTGACATTACAGAAAATATTGTTTTTGCAGTCTCTGGTCTTCATTATATGATTGGACAATCTTCTGATCATGAGTTCTGGTCCAGTCTTGACAATGATGAGCAAGTGGTCTTCCTCAATGCCTTTAAAGAGCTTGATTCAGGGAAAGGAATGTCTAATTTTCTGGCTATTACCTCAGGAAAACGTATTGAAAACGATGTGAGAAATGTATTGATCGGAAGTTTGCTCAAGAGAATGGGGAAGATTGCTCTTGATATGGACTCTCATCATATGAGAATTGTGTTCAACGTCTACAAAGCATTTGCCTCACAATTGAATCAAGAAGAGTGTCACCTCTACGCCTTCAGAATCCTGCTCCCGTTGTACAAAGTTTGCCAAGGATGTACCGGAAAAGTCATCACAGATGAGTTGAAACAACTAGCGGAAGAGGTAAGAGACAGTATAAGAGACAAGAGCTTAGGCAGCCAAATGTTTGTGCAAGTCTACAGCGAAATCAAAAAGAGTATGGAAGCGAAAAGGGAGAAGAGGAAACGAGAAGAGAAGCTAATGGCGGTGATAAACCCGGAGAGAAACGCAAAGAGGAAACTCAAGTTAGCTGCAAAGAACAAGGCTAACAAGAAAAGGAGGATTATGAGCAATAAAATGGATAGATGGGCTCGCTCTTAAGCTCCCATAACCACACTTAAACCATTTTTGTTTATGTTTTAATCATAGAAATTATCTGAGATCAGACTTTTTCAGGTCTTTTTGATCCATTTTTTGTGTGCCACACATTCCAAACCTTTGCTTTTACTAACTTGTTCAGAAAAAAATTTGCGACATTTATTTGATTACATAAAGAGATAAACTTTATTAAATGATGATTACTAAAACAAATATTTAACAAAATAGTTAAAAAAAAAAAAAAAAAAAAAACATAAATTGCCACGTGTCGAGTGGCGACACCAAAGATTCCAGATTTTACGTAATGTTCAAGGCAACCACCGGCGATGTGGCTTTTCTCGCCGCGAGTTGAGGCGGCTGAAATTGAGTTTGATACGACGTCGTTTCTAAGTAAATAGCACCAGCACGTTTAAAAAACAAAAAAAATTCAGTTCCTCTTCTTAATACCTAAATTAAATTCGATTTTTGAGACAAAGCTCGACAAGTCGTCGGCGGCGGTGTAAAAATCAGTCGGAGCTATGGCGATGCAGGCCGGAGTTGGCTTATCCAGGATCTTTCTCTTAGCCGGAGCAGGTACTTCACTGCTCAATCTAACTCGCTCGTTTACTTACTGCTAATTGGGATCTGCATATCCTCCTGATACGTTTTCCGATTTGTTGGATTCAAGGTTACACTGGTACGATCATGATGAAGAACGGGAAATTGTCGGATTTGTTGGGTGAATTGCAGGTACTTATTGATTCTGTGCTTTTTTTTTTGTTTCTCTCCTTGATTTTTTTGACTAATTGTTGAGCATGATTTGTGCTTTGGATAGGGTCTTGTGAAGGGAATGGAGAAATCTGGAGAAGGATCTGAAGGAGATTCTGATGTTTCTGATGCTATAGCTGCCCAGGTACTTACTCAATTCAATTTGCTGTTTTTATCTTCTTCTTCAATTGGATTTAGGTATATTGGTGAGAAATGGTATTGATATTTATTCAATTTGGGAATGATTTAAAGGTTCGCCGGTTGGCTATGGAGGTTCGACAGCTAGCTTCACAGCAGCACATAACTGTCATGAATGGAGTTTCTGGTGGTATGTTAAGATTAGGGAATTGTAATTCTACTCAAATAGTTTTGCTAAGTGTTGTTTTCTCTGTGTGTGTGTTCATCAGACTCTTTTTTTTTTTGTCAGCAAACCTACAAGCTCTTGCTGTTCCTGCTGCGGCATTGGGAGCTCTCGGATATGGTTATATGTGGTGGAAGGTGAGATTAAGTTTTCAATATTTATTTTTCTTGTGATTTCTGTTGTTTGTTCACACTATTTCGGTCAAACGAGGTTTCAATGTTGTAAGGGAACTAAAAACTGTTTGTGATTGTTCACTGATTAGGGACTCTCATTCACTGACCTTATGTATGTGACAAAAGCCAACATGGCTGCTGCCGTGGCTAACTTGATAAAGAATCTGGAGCAAGTTTCTGAGACCCTTGCGGTGAGTTTTTTTTTTTTGCTTTATGTATAGTGTTTCTGGTGATATATTAAGCTGCAGGGTTAATATTGGATCTTAATTTCGTTTGATTGTCAGGCTGCGAAAAGGCATTTAACACAAAGGATTCAGAATGTGGATGATAAGGTAGAAAAGCAGATTGATCTCTCCAAGGAAATCAATAGCCAGGTATGAATTATGATGTTGTTTATCTTTTCTTTAGTTCCTATGATTAGAACGATTGGCTTTCATTGTTAATTTGTTATGCATCTGTACTGTGTTGAACAGTTTTTGACCAACGTGATGTGCTTGTGGTTATGCTACACAGGTCATTGCTGCTCGTGCGAATATCAACTCACTTGAGATGGATTTGGAATCATTGCATAATTTGATTACTGGACTGGTGAGTCTTAGTTTTATTTGTAAAGCGATTGCAGCTATGAATCATTCAATCTTTAAGATTAGATAAGAAATCAGAATTCTCCTCTAGGGCATTTCACTCCTTTTAGTATCTCTCCTAAATATTTTGGCATATAACATTGTTTTGCAGGATGGGAAGTTGGACACGCTAGAATACAAGCAGGTACATTCATCTTTTATGTTCTATTACCCTATTAGTATATCTTATTAGCAGGCATCATTACCCTGAGAATCACCAAAAATTGGTAACTCAGTACTGATTCTATTTCTGTTTCTGGTGCAGGATGTAACAAATGTTTTCATGCTACACTTGTATAACTATTTTGGAGGCAAGAGCACAAAACTGCCAGAAATGGTAATGCAGATAGAGGAGAACTTCAATCGAATTGATCTCCCTTTTTCTCTGCATAATTATGTCTATTTTTGGTATAATTATGTCTATTTTTGGTGTTAAAACTTAAAAGTGTTCTACTCCCTTGTTCTTTAATTTCTAACTTTGGAGTGCAAATATATTGTACGGTTGTTTATCTCACAAAGTAATTAACTTCATCTTTACAGGAACAGCTTCAGCTTCCTGTAAATCAGAGGGCTCGTAATTTGCTTGCAGATGTTGAAACCAAGGTGTCTTTTCTTATTTGAGAAGTCGCGTCAGCTTGTATATAACGTCTTATTTCCAATGAATTAGAAAGTAAACTTATTGTCCTCCAATCTGTTTCAGGGTCTGAAAAACTTGACTGAAGAGCTGTTTGAAAGCAATGGCGCACAGGTGACAACCACAGTGAAACAAATCAGTTTGAGTAAGGTCAATGTGAAGTCGAGGCCATTGTTATCAAGGTTTGATCACTTTGCTTCACTGTCTGTCTTGTGAGTTTGATATGTTGATATAATAGAGGTGTGATAAAGGAAATGTAAATGCAGGGCTGCTTCAGCTAGGTGTTGATATGGAAGTTTTCCTGATGGCGGTTTGGCTTGCGGGATGTATATAACAAAACTCTTACTTATACAAATGGTCTCGTGAGCCGTAGAAAGCTCTCTTATATTTATTCGTTGGCTTGGCTATTTCCCCCCCAAAACTTGGATCTTATGATATTTGGTTTGCACTTTGGAGGTTTTTCCTTGAACTTGGTTTTGTTTATTGACATGGACATGTGATGTGTTCACTTTTGAACTTTGGGGCAATTTAAAATAAAGTTGATGTGGGGGTTATATTATATAGTATATATACATTGACATGTTAAACAAACGTATGTACGTACAAAGTTAAATAAACAAAACATATGGTTATTCATGAATCAATACATTTAAAAGTGGGATGCTGCGGCAAGCAGGACAAGTGGAGCCTAACTGAAACCACTTGTCGATGCAAAAAGCGTGGAACTCATGTCCACAATGTGGCAACACTCTCACAATGTCACCAACCACGTAATCCTCAAGACATATCACACATCTACTGCTGCATAACCTCACACCACATTCCGGCGAGAATGTCAATTTCGGGAGAGACTTCAAAATCTCCTTCTTCAATGGTTTTGTTTTCTGCTTAAACCTGCAGTTGCAGTAGCGGAGTTGGACGATGTAAACGATCATTGCGATTAGGAGATAGAGTGGGAACGAATCTGATGATTTCAAGAAACCAACGATGGTTAGGTCAGGGACTCAGGGTCATCAGGCAAATATGCTGCTGCTGCAGCAGCGGCTGGGGAAAGGGCGAAGAGAGAAGGAGGGGAAGTCATGAGTATAAGAGTCCTCGAAGAGATTTGATCAAAGAAGCTTCCGATCAAGAGGAGATGACGATGTTATTAGGGCGTGCGTATGTATGTATGTTTTGATCTTTTCTTGTTACAGTCTAAAATACCATAAGACTATTGAGATTTATCTATATTGTGTATTTCTTTTCTTTGTTTATGGACTTTTATATGAGTTTAATTCCAATACCAATTTGAAGTAGGAATTGTGTATACTATTCTTATTTATTTAGGGGAAAACAATGATCTTTTCATCCATATTCTGATCATGCATAAAACAAATTTATGTATTTAAAAAAAAAAAAAAAAAAAAAAAAAAAAAAAAAAAAAAATTTATGTATTTAAATTACGTAAACTCTCTCTCCCTCTATATATATATTTGTTAATATCTTTACGTAAACTCTCTATTGTAGAGTAGAGAGAGACCAATAGTAAAAAAAAAAAAAAAAAAAAAAAACCTCTCTCTGAATCTTAATCTACTTTTGAGTCTTCTTTTTCTTATTACAAATATAATTTTTTTTCTTTATTTAGAAAAGAGACGTCTATTAAACCAACACAAGTTTATACATGTTGTGTTTGTATGCAGGAAAATGTTAGATTACAGTTTTATTATACAAAATAAGTAGTGTATATTTGAAGGATGTTTTTTCTTATAAGGTATCATCACATAGATTACAAAAATTACGATTAATAATATGTCTCAGAAACTTAATTCCGTATATTTGCTACAAACATTTTAGATAGCATTGCCTAGAAATTTGTTAAGTTTACGATAGTTTTCTTTGATAGGCCATCTTTGACTGTTCTACTCGGACACAACCAAACACTTAAAACCCCTTTCGGATATAAGTTTATGAAGCACAGGTGAGAAAGAAAAATAAGGAATTATAAATCATTAAAACCAAACATATATGAGATGGAAACGAAACTGACCAGTAATAATAATCAAAAAGCAATCTACCAGGTAGATAAATTATCTTGGAGGTTTGTCTTAATTAATCTTTGAAATAGTTAGTGGGTTTTAGTTTACGATTATTTTTATGATATTTTTCGAAATGTAAATAGCTGAAAGTTATCTTGGAGGTTTGGCTACCAAAAAAATGTAAATAGCTGAAAGTTTTCTTATGATATTTTTCGAAAATTTATACACCAGAGTTGACCAAGATGGCAAAAAGGCAAGAAACAAACAAAATGAAAGACAACTATCTGACCAGAATGAATAAATGACTATGGTGTTTTCAAATTTCTAGATGTAGATAATTAGCTCAATTATTATTATTATTATTATTATATTATTATTATTTTTTTTTTTTAGCTCAATTATTTGATTCGACTTTTCCCCCACTAGCTCAATAAAAATCACTTTAAATTCTTGTCCGCAAGTAATCATTAGTGATACACTGTCACTGTAACCCTTGGTATTATTTCATTACGAATTTACGATAAGAAGACAAGAAAAATCAAAGCACAAGTTGTGTTTCTCATACAGAACTCAAGGATCTTCTCGCATGGGTTCTCTTGATTTGCCTTACGCTTCATCGTTCAAGGTTCTTTCTCTAAGCTTTTATATTTACAAAAAAACAAATCAATTACTCATCACTATAATACACTAATTATGTTATCATCAGGGAGGAAGTGAAACATTTCTCCAGAATGTGTTTGAAAGTATACTGAAAACGTATTTGAGGAAGAACCCGATGGCGACGATATGGGAACTAGTTAAGTCGGTGGACAACGAAAAGATCTCTTACGACCACTTCTTTTTCAGGACATTTAAGGTATGAATTTACTCATCAAGATTTGGAGAAACTAATTGTGTGTATGATCTAAAAGCTTAACAAGTAGGTAGAAATTTGTTATGATGGATTGGTTAAGTCATAAGCTAAGTGGATTTATTTATGTCTGCAATTTTTGAGAATATTTTTATTTTGCCATTGTGTTTGTTATTGGGCTCAAAAAAAAATATTTTGCTTTAGATCCCAAATACTTTGGGCCGGCCTGATTGTATCCATAATTCTTTTTTTTTTCTTTCTTTGGGGGTATGGATTTAGGTCGAAGGTTACGGAATTGATTCCTTGTCAAGTTTTTTCATGGATTATGGATATAAAATTGGAGGCAGACTTGATTTTCCAAAGAAGAAAGTACAAGTTCTCTGGCTTTCTCCTCCGGATGTGCACGTCCCCGATAATGGTTACGGTATAGGCAATGGCCTTTTGCCACGACTTGTTATAGCTGAGCTTCTTGTGGACGAACTAAGCCGTGAATCACAGGTCTTAATGATCACAAACATAATGTTGTTATAATGAGTCTTTAATATATCTAATATTTTTCTTGTTGGTCCTATAACTAGGAGATAATAAGGAAGTATTTGAAACCGGAAGGTGGTAAGCAAGCGATTCTTTCAAGTACTTCGGGCTCTATAATTTGGGAAAAGCCAACATCCACCGACTTCAATCAACTTGCCAAGTATATGTTATTTGTTTCTAATCAATAATCATATAGTAGTATCTTTAATAAAATATCTTTGATGATTAGAGCTAATCTAATTTTTGGGTTTTGTAAATTTTGTATAAATAATGAAGAGAAAGCGAATTTGCGGCATGGACACTTGTCCACGGCTACACAATGAACCATCTTGCTTTCGCGGTTCATCGTCTTAAACACCGTTTCAGCGACATCAAATGCGTCAAAGAATATTTTGAAGAAAAGGGATTCGAACTCAACAAGGATGGAGGAGTTCTCAAAGGTTTTCTTTACGTATTCTTCTCATGAGTAATGTTTTCTTTTTGAATGGTTCTTTTCTATAACCATTATTTAATTGGAAGAAAATATATATTTCAGTGAGTCAAGATGGTCTACTGTTACAAGTGTCGGCTATGTCAGAGAAACTTGCGGTTGAATTTGCAGACGGAGTAACTCAAACCGTCCCGGCTTCATACATTGAGTTCGTTGAACGTCTAGTTCTTCCACAGTTCAAAGATATGCCGCGTGATGAGGTAAGAAGCGATTCACATTAATCGCATTCTTTTATTATTCGACATTTTATTCATTTCCGTTGTAATGCAGATCAAAGAGTTTCATAGACGCGAAGGTTTAGAGCAAGCTAGCGCCTACCACATAATGGAAAGCACCCGTTTTACAGCATAAGTATAGAACCAGCTTGTCTTGTTCAGCTCAATATGTCAAGTATGTGTAATATTTAAATGTTTGTATGTTATTTTGGACAATTTGTGTGTGAGATATTTATGTTCTTCCTTGTGAAATGACGGTAACTTAATATTACCCGTTACCAACGAATAATGGAAAACAAAGTGTCATGGTGGGGTGTGGTATTTGTGGTGTTTTTGCATGTACAATCTTTTGATAGTGACATGACACATGATTTTGGTGACTCAACACCTCTTGGCTCTTGTGGTTGAAGACCAACGTGCCTATTCTTTCATTTACGTTTAGTGTCTTCTTCTTTTTGGCATTATTGGAATTTGGTGTTTCACGTAGAGAAACTAACATGACATCACATGTTTTTTTTTCAATGTTGTTTGTTTAAGTCTTAAAGTTTTTTTTACGCAGTTAATATTATCTTAGAGAACTTAGCCTTTTTCTGTTTAGCTATTATTCGTTTAATAGTTATAGTTTGGATCTAAATTAGTCTACCAGCTATAGATTTTTCTTTTAAGACCGGTCGCATCCTCAATTCTCTGTTTCAAATGGTCACTACTAGCTAGTAGCTAAGCAATTTCTAAAGTTGGTTTAAGGATCAAATTTTTGTATCCTATATTCTATATTAATAATCAATATAGTTGAATGCCAAAAAAAATTATTCCATTTAATATAGTTCTTACCCCACTAGCTCTGGAGAATCCAATTATATATTCTTGTCGTTAGCAATCATAGATTCTTGGTTTTTTCCTCGCTCTTTCTAGTTATTAAAATACGAATTTACTCTTTAGCAAAAACTTTTTTTTCACGAATTTACGATAAGAGATAAGAAAAATCAAGCAAAGATGTGTTTCTCTCGTATACTTCTAAAGGATCTTCCCGCAAGGGTTCTCATGACTTGCCTAACGTTTCATAGTAAAAAATGATTTACAAAAATCAAAATCACGAATTAATGTATGATCTAATTAACTCTAACAGGGGTGAAGATCTAGAGAAACATTTCACTTGGTTTTTCTTAACGAGTACTGATACTTAAATAAATAAAATAAATGTAGAATTGAGAAAAGATTTGTTTGCTCAAACGATTTTAGTCCTTACCTGCGCGGATAATCATGTCGTGAACAATAATAGTAAATGTGAATATGCGTCAGGAAAATAAGATAAAACACTAATAATCGACTCATTTTCTCTTTCTTTATTTTATTTTTTTTGGGTGTGCACCAATCTTTGTTTAATAAGTAACGGATAACAAGAATAAATAGAACAACCAAGCAAGGCTCGGTTTCTCAAAAACAGCTCAAAGATGGGTTCCCTCGACTTGCCGTTCAAGGTTCTTTCTCAAATTTGATTTTTTTGAAGGAAATTTTTTTTTTAGCTACGATAATACATAATTTGTATGTAACAGGGAGGAAGCGAAATATTTCTTCGGAATGTGTTAGAGAATATACTGAAAACGTATCTAAGGAAGAACCCGACGGCAAAGACGATATGGGAACTGGTTCAGTCGTTGGACAACGAAAAGATATGCTACGACCACTTTACTTTCAGGACACTAAAGGTAAGAACTTTACTCTTCAAGATTTGGTGAAACTAATTGTGTAAATTTTTTTGTTTTTGTTTTTTTCTTTGTGGCTATGAGTTTAGGTCGATGGTTATGGAATAGACTCCTTGTCGAGTTTTTTCATGGATTATGGATATAAAATTGGAGGTGGACTTGATTTTCCAAAGAAGAAACTACGAGTTCTTTGGTTTTCTCCTCCCGATGTCCACGTCCCTAAAGACGGTCACGGTCTAGGCAATGGCCCTTTGCCGCGAATTGTTATAGCTGAGGTTCTTGTGGACGAACTAAGCCCTGAATCACAGGTATGCATGATTGATCACAAACACAAAATTGTCATTAATTATGAGTTTTTAACATATCTAATTTCGCTTTTGTTGGTCATATAATTAGGGGATAATAAGGAAGTATTTGAAACCCGAAGGTGGCAAGCAAGCGGTTCTCTCTAGTACTTTGGACTCTTTAATATGGGAGAAGCCTACATGGACCGACTTCAAGCAACTTGCCAAGTATATATTTACTTTCCAATATAATCGTATATCTTTAATTGATAAACTTTAGAAAAATAATTCATTCTATTCGTTTTAGTAAAAAGTTATGTGGATCTACACTTTTCGCCAACCGGTACTAGAAACTATTAACTTTTTCAAAATTAGTTCGTAATATGTTTTAGTCTATGGGAAATTGTCCATCAAAAGCTAACACCTAATTGTAAATACATTAATTTATTTTGAGTAAAACAAAAAAAACTCTTACACGAACTATACTGTACTATATACTATACAATACTGGTACATATATTTTACAAACAAATTATTATTAAATAAGATTTTGGGTGATAGGTTTGATGATATTAAGGACAAGTACAAAAAATGGTAGTTTCTAAATTTCTAACAATGCTTTTAGAAAATGATAGATCAACTTTTAAACAAAAAAAGTGATAGATGAACAATAGTTTTTCTAAAAAATTTTATAATAAGAAGAAGAAGTAAGAATTGAGTTTTAATTGTTTTTTTATAATTAATTATTTTAATGGTTAGAGCTAATTTAGTTTGGAATTGTATGTATGAACGATGAAGAGAAAGCGAAATTGCGGCATGGACGCTTATCCACGGCTACACACTGAATCATCTTGCTTTTGCGGTTCATCGATTCAAACATCGTTTCAGTGATATCAAATTCGTCAAACAACATCTTGAAGAAAAGGGATTCAAACTCAACAGTGACGGAGAAATCCTCAAAGGTTTTTTACATATTCCCTTCATGAGATATTTCATTGAATTGGTTCTTTTTTATATACATTGTTTAATGGAAATGAATGTGGAAATACATATTTCAGTGAGTCAAGATGGTCTACTACTTCAAGTTTCATCGATCTCGGAAAGGCTTCCGGTAACATTTGCAGATGGAGTAACTGAAACAATCCCAGCTTCGTACATTGAGTTCACTCAACGTCAAGTTCTTCCAGAGTTCAAAGATGTGCCGCATGATGAGGTAACGTAAAGAAAGAAAGAAAGAAACGATTCGCATTTTCTTGCATTACTTTGTTATTCAGCATTTTTTCATTGTTAGTTGTTACTGTGATGCAGATCAAAGAATTTCATAGACGTGAAGCTTTTGAACTCGATAACGCCAGCAACATAATGGAAAGCACCCGTTTCACAACCAAATTCTAGAGCCAGACTTGTCTTGCTCGACTAAATATGTCAAATTTGTGTCACTCTATATATGTTTGTGTGTGATGTCTTTGCGATATCTTTATGTTGTTATGTTACTGTGAAGTGACAATTACTTAAAACATTTATATTATCTCTCATGATGGTTATTGTTGATAAGAGTGACCAACTTGTCAAATGGATCACATTATTGACGAATCATGGGAAATAAAATGTATTGGTGAGTATTATGATATGTGATATTTGTGAAGTTTTTCGTTTTTTCCTAAAATAATTTTTATGGGTGTGATTTGACCGTGTATAATCAGGGGATTTACTTGAACAATTTACTTGAACAATTTCTAATCATTTAACATAAAATTGTTAGTATAAATATTTCGTATCTTGTAAAGATATGAAATAGTTTTTTTTATTATTATTTTGTTTGTGCAGCTATATGATTATTTCACACTTTACGGAATATCTTATTTGTATCATGTTTGTATTCCACTTGTTTTTTTTTTTCTAAAAAAAAATAAAATTGTATTAAAAAAAAAACACTATTCTACAATGAATGCTTCATATAGCGCTTAGTTTTTGAGAGGAGAGAATATTTAATTCAACCAAAAAAATTATGGATGAGTTTGGACCAGAATTGGATCTTTCCTTCATACCCACCATGGTTCCAGAGAAGAATGAGCTTGAGCTTGTTCCGGATGTTTTCGTCAATAAGACGGGTTAGAAGTTGAGCCGAGATTGCGAATATCCCATGACGCCGACATTGTATTGGCGCTATTTTCCAAAATCGACATCTCTTTAATCTCCCTTTTCTCACTAATTTTTATTTTTCAATGTCGACTTGTACAACTTCACAAATCCAAAATCACCTCTGATCTCGCTTAACATAACAAGTATCACCGACCATATCATGACGTGTTTCTTGTATAAAGGCAAAATAATTTGATCTAAAAGACGACTAGTGTTAGTTTTGGTTACCTAAATGAAACAAGTAGAATTGGTTAACTGACTGTTCCCAGTTGAAATGATCCGTTACGTTAGATGAATTTTGGCCATAAGAATTTTTTTACCTTGGTGGTAGTAATAACTAATAATGATTGGGTTAAATGAGGACAGGTTAAGTCTACAAGATTCTAGAAAAACAGAGTTAGGTAATAACTAATATCTCGTGTATATCATGTGTTTTTTGTTTTGTTTGTTTGTTAATAAATAAATAAAAGAAGTTCATAATCTGATAAAAAGATTCGTTGAATGATTTTATCAAATACGCACGTCCTGTCCAATATAATATATTTCTCTCATGTTTAATGTTTAATGTTTAATGTTCTTTTTTATATAGTTAATAAATAAATAAAGGAAGTCCATTATCTGATAAAATTATAAAAAGATTCGTTGACTGATTTTATAGAATTAATCCGATCATGTCCAGTAAAATAGTTATTCTCGTGCATGTTTAAAATTTTGTGAAGAGAATTCCTTTCATATAAATTAATCGAATTCTGTCCAATAAAATATAATTATCTTGTCGTAGTGGTGGAGTAGTGGACAACGTGCCTCCCTGAATATACTTAAAGTACGAAATGCCTTCGTAAATAAGAACAATTTAGCAAAACTGTGTTTCTAATCCGATCATGTCCAGTAAAATATTTATTCTCGTGCATGTTTAAAATTTTGTTGGCTTATAAATAAACGATAAAGAAGAGCATAATCGGATAAAAGAGAATTCCTTTCATATAAATTAATCGCATTCTGTCCAATAAAATATAATTATCTTGCCAGAGATCGTAGTGGTGGACAACGTGACTCCCTGCATACTTAAGCAGGAATGCCTTAATAAATAAGAACAATTAAGCAAAACTGTGTTTCTAATACACAACTCAAGGACCTTCCCACATGGATTCTCTGGACTTGGCTCACACGCCATCTTTCAGGTTCTTTCTCTAAAATTTGATTTTTATAAAATTTTAAGAGTATTTGGACAATACATATAATCTCGATGTAACAGGGAGGAAGTGAAACATTTCTTCGAAATGTGTTTGAGAATATACTGAAAACTTATTTGAGGAAGAACCCAACAACGGAAAGGATATGGGAGCTAATTCAGTCATTGGACAACGAGAAGATTTGCTACGACCACTTCACTTTCATGACACTTAAGGTATTCCCTCGATTTTTAGGAATCTACTGTTACACAGGATTTAAGATTTGGGGTACAAATAATACATGTTGACACACATAAAATCACATATATTTGTAATTTTCGAGTCAAAAAAGTAACTTTTTTTTTATTAAAAACAAACCCTCAACCGATTATTAGTACAACACCAGAATTTGTTCACATATATATTTTTATGGAAATAGATAAATAGTTGGTATTACTTTTAATTATAAATAGAAAATAATTTCATGAATTGTGTTTCTTTCTATGTTTTTGTTTGTATGGATAGGTCGAAGGTTATGGAATAGACTCTCTGTCAAGTTTCTTCATGAATTACGGATATAAAATAGGAGGTGGCCTTGATTTTCCAAAGAAGAAACTACGAGGTCTCTGGTTTTCTCCTCCCGATGTTATCGTCCCCGATGATGGCCACGGCCTAGGCAACGGACCCTTACCCCGACTTGTTATGGGTGAGATTCTTGTGGATGAACTAAGCCCTGAATCACAGGTATTAATGACCCAAACACATTATAGTTTGTAAGTTATTATAACGTTTTAACATATAAGATATATCTCTTTGTTGATTCTAAAAGTAATCAATGGTTTATTAGGCGATAATAAGGAAGTATCTGAAACCAGAAGGTGGTAAGCAAGCCCTTCTTTCAAGTATTCTTGGGTCTTTAATATGGGAGAAGCCAACATGGAGCGAGTTCAAGCAAATTGCCGAGTATATATACACTATGCATTCTCTAAATATAATAAGTTTTTTATTAAGTAATACATATTGATGATTAATTTGACCTAACTAATTACGTAACTGTTGTGAACCCTGAAGAGAAAATGAATTGGCGGCTTGGGCGTTTATCAATGGCTACACGATGAACCATCTCGCATTTGCTGTTCATCGACTTAAACACCGTTTTAGTGATATCAAATGCATCATACAATATCTAAAGGAACATGGATTTGATCTTAACCATGACGGAGGAGTTCTCAAAGGTACCATATCCATATATGTTAACTCTTTTTATAAGTTAGAAAATACTTAAAATTAAGATTAAAAAGCATGAAATACTTAAAATGTGATATGAGATATATGAGCCGATCAACTTATTATCAATTACTTTTGAGTTGGAAGTCTATAAGACTGAAACACTTTCACCATTAATTAAATTGTTGATTGATTTCGGTGAGTACTGATGGGCTACTGCTACAAGTGTCGTCGATTTCAGAAAAGCTACCAGTAGAATTTGCAGACGGTGTAACCAAATTAGTCCCTGCTTCATACATTGAATTCACTGACCGCCTAGTTCTGCCACAGTTCAAAGATTTGCCTTATGATCAGGTACGCTAGATCCTAATTCTAGGACTGTTTATATAGGAGGAATTGCTATTGCACAAGGTCGTCAAATTATTAAACATTTTAAAATCCTAATTTGTTTAGTTATGAATTTTAATATATAAATAGGATCTATATTTAAAATACTAGGACTCCGGACCCCCGCGATGTCGCGGGGGAAAATATTTCAAAAATCGTTAAAAAAATATCAAACGAAAATTAATAATAACGATGGTAGATGATTAAATGTTATAACGATTTATAAAATAAACTTAAAGTTTTAATTTTTCGTAAAATAAACTAAATGCTGCAATGGTTCAACTAAACGGCTGCAATCATTTTATGAAAAATTACGATAAAAAGATGCAACCGTAAAAAATATTTACTCGGATTGCAACTTTCTCAAAAAACACAGCGTAAAATAATTATTTTAGTTTAAAAATAAATAAATGAAATGTTGCGATATATCAAAAGTTGTAGCGGTTCGTCAAATAAACTAAAGATTACAACAGTTCGTAAAACAAAACCAAAAATTGCAATGATTGGTCAAATAAACCAAATGTTTCAACGGTTCAATTAAACGATTACAATCTCATTTAAATGCATTTTGGTAATTAAAAATTAAAAATATTAATTTATGAAAATTATACCGAAAGACGCGACGGTAGATAATTAGATGTTATAGCAATTTGTAAAATAAACCAAAGGTTGCAATTGTTCGTGAAATACAAAACAAAATATATAAATCAAAGGTTGCAATCGTTCGTGAAATAAACTAAATATATAAATCAAAGGTTACAATTGTTTGTGATATAAACTAAAGGTTGCAATTGTCCGTGATATAAACTAAATATTGCAATAATTCGAATAAAAGGTTGCAACTGTTTATGAAGAGGTACAATAAAAAGAAGCAACCGCAGAAGATATTCGGATTGCAATTTTCTAAAAAACATACCCGTAAAATATAAATTTTAGTTTAAAAATTAAAAATATATCCATATGTAAACTATGAAATAAACCAATTTTATATGTAGTTTATTGGTTTACGTAAAAAGAAATTCAATAAAACAACATGACCGTACAAAAATAACAGTAAGAAAAACAACCATAAATATTTAAACGAAAGGTTGCAATAAAAAGACACAACCGTTCAGATGTACAAATGGTATTTATTGGAAACGACATAACCGTAAAAAAATAACCGATTAAAACGAAAATTACGATAAAAAGACGCAACCAAAATAACCGTAAAAAAATAACCGATTTAAACGAAAGGTTGCGATAAAAAGACGCAACCGTTCAGATGTGCAAATGGTATTTATTAGATTGCTATTATATATAGATTAATACATAATAAATTATCTAAATCATATTTGCTTGGATGGAGTCTCGTCGTCCTTCGTAATTTCGTATCATCGTATATAAGTTAATCAGTCCATTATATTCACGATTTATATCCCTTTGGTTGCAGATTAAAGAGTTCCATAGACGTGAAGACTTTGCACTCAATAACGCCGACAACATTTTGGAAAGCTCCCGTTTCACCTCAAATGTCTAGAATCAGTTTGGTCCAATCCTGTCTTAAAACAAAAAGATATCAGTTATAATATGGTGTTTTCGTAAGTACTATATAATGTATTATGTTCGATGCGTGTGCCTAGTATCTGTGTGTTACTCTATAGGAAAATTTGTGGTGTGACGATTACTTATAAGCTTAATCACATATATGAAATAAGAATCTCCTCCTCCTCATGATTCAGAAATATTCAACTTAATAACTTCAGTAATAAATATCCCCATCATGATTTATAATTTGATATTTACACTGGTCATAACTAAAAAACATATATTGATTTACATTGGTCATAATCTAGTTATTGATAAGAGTGACCAACTTGTAAAATGGTTATTGACAAATAACGGGAAACGAAGTTTTTTTATGGAGCTATGATATGTTATGTTGTTTTTTCGTTTTTGGGTTATAATATTTTGTGCTCAGGTGATTGTGTTTGCTATAAATAGGCGTGTACATGGACATTCAAATCATTTAACATAAACTTATTAGTTTAAATTTTCATTATTTTGTTAAGATGATATGATATTATTTCACTTTATCTCTTGCTGCAAGTAAATTTTAAATTCACTTGACAATAACAATGGAAATCAAGAAATTCATGAAATTTACATGGTATTATTGACGCTCTTGCTCCAAAGTCAACATCTCTAATTTCCCTTGTCTATTGATTTCTTATCACTATTTTTTTTATCTATTAAAGAGGGTACATATATCGTATCAGCTTCTTGAACCAGTTGAGATGTACTTGTAACGCTTTGCCCAAAACAGATAGTGCAAGAAGTTAACACCACTCATGACACACATGAGCCAGTAAAACAAGTCTAGTCTGCTACGGTTAAGTTTTTCTCCAAGCCATGGGCTTTGTCCGGCACTCTCAGTTACACTGTTCACTATCGGCACCATCACCGAGCTTAGATAATACCCCAATGCCAAAGAAGCCCATGAGAGCGATGTAGCCAATGATCTCATAGAAGAAGGTGCTTCTGTGAAGAAAAACTCTAGCAATCCAGCTAATGTGAATAGATCAGCTGACCCTAGAAATAGATATTGAAACGCAATCCATAGAAAAGTAATTGGTAAGGTTTCTTTAGAGTCAAGCAATTCAGCTTCTCTAGCTACTTGCTTCCGCTTTAACTCGACTAATGCAGCCACTGCCATTGCTAATATCGAAAGGACTAAGCCTACACCGATTCTTTGCAAGTGAGTGATACCCATTTCGGATTTGGTTACCTTTCTAGCGAATGGGATAATCAGATGGTCATAGGCCGGAGCAAGCATCAGCATGAATACGACTGGAAAAACCGGTAAGGAAGCTGGAGGAATATTGAAGTTAATGATCTTTCTGTTCATCGTAGCAGCTTGGTGGACAGAGTAAGTAGAGAGTTGAGCTAAGCAGCAATTGAGCATTATGGTGCAACCAAATATTGGAAGCATTTTGAGCACAATCTTCACGTCTTCCACTTGTTGGACCGTGCATTCAAGCCATATATGGTGTGTTTTGCCCTCTATCGCTCTGTTTAGACATCTCAAGCTATTGGTTAGTGACTGAGAAGGCGTCTTTGCGCCATGTTCTGATTGAAATTCTCTGGAAGCAAAGTGATTAAATGGGCTCATAGAGACATTGGAAACAACATTACTCGAAGTTTTACTCGAGCAACCAACTATAGAAGCTGCGAGAAGAACCTGTAGAGATGTTAGGAAACGACAATGATTCACTGATAATAATAGAAAACATGTTTTTTCAAGTTACCTTCAAGATTGTGGTGAGAGGACTTCCACGAGGGATTTTGTTCTTATAAAACCTCGAACCTAAGAGAAAGACGATAATGGAGAGAAATATGGAGATGGTGGAGACTCCAAATCCCCACTCCCAGCCTTTGTTGTCCTCGAGCCAGACAACGAACGTCACGGCCACAAGTGCTCCACATGAGAGACAGAACACATAGTAGTTGAAGAATGTGGATCTCTGTTTTCGACCTTTAGGCGTGCTCTCGTCGAATTGCTCTGCTCCGTGTGAAGGCAATGACCCTTTTATCCCTCCGACTCCTAGAGACACTAGATATAATCCCACGAACAGAAATGCCGCCTTTGAACCACCAACGACCTCGCATGGTAACCCGGCAGAGCTCTTGCATGGCGGCGGCATTAAGGACGGACGACGGGCTTGGATTGTGAGCAGGATAAGTCCCTGTACATGGACGTATATAGATAACAAACTTTTAATTTATCGTTGGTTCAACTGAAATTCAAAATAATATTTGCACAATTGCAAAAAAGTTTTTACTAAAATTACTATAAAAAAAAAAACATTTTTCAATTAACTCGTGTATTACAAGGTGTCCTAATATAGTTTCTACTTTCTAGTTTCTAGGGTACTCTTCTAGTAATTAATAACATTGAACCACCATTATACAACAAATAAAAATATACCTATACTAACCACATGTATCATGCATGATTATGAGATGGATCATGCCTAATCTATGGTGACTATTCACTAACACCAAGCCAGAGAGCACAAGTCTACTTCTGCACTACGCTTGTTCACATGTTTGTCTTTCGTCAATTTTTATTAACATATGTGGCAACTTCGACAGCTCATGAGTCATGACTCATGACAGAGATTATAAAGTGAATGTCTCAATTTGAGTAAAGCAGATAAACCAGCGACCCTAGACATGCACAAGTACGACTATGACGGCCCCACTTAGAGATAATAATGTGGGGCTGGGGCCTAAAATAATTCAAACTCTCTGCATAGATACGACAACGTATCATCTTACATCGCAAATAGGTGCACGCGTTAGATTTTGGCAACAAAGGTGGTGAGAAACGCTTTTGAAAGTCAACCCTTTTTCGTATCGATATAATATATGTATATGTGTGTGAGTTATATATGATCATTAGTTATAAATGATGAAATTATGATTAGGGACTTAGGGTTTTATATAGTATGAATGGGTTCAAGCTTGGTGGTTGACTAATTTTAATATATCATAAAATAAAGATTGAGAAAGAAAAATGAAGATTTATTTTAAGTACCAGAAACTCAATGGAGGCGGAGATGAGGAAGATGACGAATGTGGAGAAGAAGGCGTCGGCGAGGAAGCCACCCAGGAGAGCGAGAAGCAGTGGCGGATCTAGAGAGAAAAATTATATGGGGCACAAATCATATTTAACTGATAAAAATGTGAAAAAAAAAAAATGAAAAACAATTGCAGATTTAGAGCATCGAACCCAGCTTTCTAGACAAAATATGGGGCACTCCTTCCAACTAAGCTAAGAGATATTTGTAAATTATGCTAAACAATTGAATATTTATTAATAATGAGTGTGGGGCACGTGCCCCACCTCCTTATACTGTAGATCCGCCCCTGGCGAGAAGGAAGGCGGTGGCCATGAAAGTGGTTACTTCACTCGACGATCTCGCTAGAGACATGTGCATGAAGTTCTTCAGATACAACACCAAGTTGCTTGCGTTCGCTAAAAACGCTAGATTCTCCAATATCTCCACCACTTCACAATACATGCAAAATAAAAAATTCAATCACATGATTCCCAAGAGATGGATCAAGACAAGAGATCGTTAAGGAAAACAGGGTAAATTTGGAATTTTGAGACCCAAGACGAAGGAGGCGGCAAGCATGCCGCCGTGACGGCCTTTCACGGCGGCTCTGTTCCTCCAGTCAGCGTAGCCTTCCCATTTGGAGACATCACCTTGCATTTCTACTTCCTGTATTTGGAAATAACCAAGATTAAAAGACTTAAGAAAAATATTTATTTCTCTAAATAGAAACTAACATCAGCACCCAAAAAATGATGTATTGTTCTTAAGCAGTTGAAAATTGTACCCAAAAAAAATTTAGAATCAGAACAATATTAGATGTTTGAAGAACCAACCATTTGATTTCTATCAATCTCTCTCAAAAATTTTGATGAGATAAAAAAGGGGAGAGGTCTTTGAAATATAAGTGATGAGAAGGGTGTTTTCGGAATTTTCAAAAAGTAGAGGAAGAGTATTAAAGTGATTAAGTGAGGGCGATATTGCAAAATTTTGTGCTACTTAAGGAAACAACTTTACTTTTTGCTCTCCCTAATTAGATTTTAAGGACCCAAAGATGATATTTATTAAGACTCGATAAAAAAAAGTAAGCAATTTGCTGGAAGAATTGATATACTATATGCTTTGATCATGACTTGGAATCAGGTTATGGATAATACTTTGTTTTATTAATCTAGATGATTCGATGACTCACATTCGCTAAGATTTAGTATTATTAAAGAATAGTAGATTTTCTAACATCTAATAATCATTAATGTATTACTTTAACGTACTAAATCATAAATGTTTCTAAGAAAAAAAAATAGAGAATAGATTTTACAACGTAAGTGTGAAAATGTATATAGAAAAAAGAAAGAGAATAGATTTTCCATTCTGTTATCTGAATCTAGACGAGACAACACATTTGTGGATTTGATTCGTTTAAGATGTTTAGCTTTGAGTTTGCTTTCTGCTAATAGAGGAGCAGGAGGATGCAACAAAATCCAAAATTAAAGTTGAGGAGATTATGATGAGGGGGAATCAAATCCCCACACACAATGGGTTACAATTTTTTTTTTTTTTTGCCAAGTTGACCAAAAGATATACATCTAAACGTGTCATTAGTGTGAAGACCTAATGATTCCGTTACATGCTAACTTGATTTCTTTGTAGTGAATTGGCTTTGCAAAATCGCCAAATGTCGAGCATTAATACTCTTATATGGCAAATGTCTCCATGTATTAATTTAACCTTTCACTTTTTTTATATACATGCATGTTAATAAATGTTTAAATACCTCTGATAGTTTCACCAAGGAAAAATTAGATTTAAGATTTTTCATCAAAAAAATATTACATTTAAGATTAAATTTAAATGTATATATATTATAAATTTCTATACATCAAATAAATAAATTAAAAAAAAGCAACATTCTATAAAATATTAAATTATAAATAAAACTAAAGTTGGGATTGGCTCATTACAATACAGAAAACCCATTAAAAGACCCAAATAGTAGCCCAGCCTAGTAGCCCTACCTAAACCCAGTAATAGAACCTAATTTCGAACCACAGAGGCAAATCGTTGGAATCCCATCGGTGAGTTCGCATTGGTAGTTTGTTAATATTTTCATTCTAAGAAATGGCAAGCAAGGACTAAGCAGAGGAAGGCTCCAAGGAGATCACAAAGCTCCACGAAGATTACGAAAAGGAAGAAGGTTCAAAGGAAATGTTATAAACAATGAAGAGTTTAAAAAATAAAAGGGATGTTAAAAATGAAACTTTATAACATAAATTGAAACTTTGGCCAAAATGAATAAATTTTCTTTCCTTTATTATTGTTGTTTTAAATGATGTATGTAATAGTCTTTCATTATTATTTATTTTTTATTGGTTATAACATAGGGAAAACGGCTTTTTCCTCCCTAAACTAAGATACTTTAGCCAAATCATCCCCCGAACTTTGTATTGTGCCAAAAACCTCATGAACTAATCTAAATCTTGAATTACCTCCACGAACAAAATAATTATGGACTAAACCCACAAATCGTGTAACAGTGTTACTGTTCCGTTAGTGGAAGGCTGACTAGGATGTCATATCATCAATCAATCTAAAACGACGTCGTTTTACACATCTTACCCAAAAAAAAAAAAAAACGTCGTTTACAAATTGAATTGGGGATTATCAAAATTTGATCAAAGCTGTTTAAGCAAACAGTATAATCTCTAACAAAACATCATATTGATTCCAAAATGCATAATCAAATAGAATCCAAAATTACATCATAAACTGAATCATAATCTGAGTTTTACATCCAAAAATAAATCAAAATCCGAGATTACATAAACTAAAACACTCTTAATCCTTCATACCAAAATAGTCCGAGTACAGAAGCTCCAAACACTTAAAACCCTGCAGCAACAACAAGGAATACAAATTCAGACCTTAAACATATGAAATGAATACACAAACGGAGCATAAAATTAATACACAAACCTGACATGTTAGTCAATGACTTGGCTTTGAGTTGGTTGACTTGGTCCTTCACATCCGTCTTTCGTTGTCTTGCCTTTGCTTTTCTTTGGAGGTTTAACTCCAACATTTTTGCAGCTCCTTGTGTTATGCCCAGCTTCACCACAACTTCCACAATGAATGATCCTTTTCTCTCTTGAAACTTTAATCTCATTAGTCTTAGAATCCATGGTCTTCTTTTTCTTCTTTTGTGGTGACTCATTCCTTTCCTTGATTCTTTTAGGAATTGGCTTTCTACCTTTTGTTGTATCTGTCTTGGGTGGCAAAAGCTCTATTTCACCAGATTTTTTCCAGAAGTTCATGCCTCTAACCCCTTTTATAAATGCATTGTACTGATTCCTCCACCTAGATGTCAAATAGCAAGATGATATATAGTCACCTCTTTTCAGCTTCTTGTTGTATCTTAGTTTAGGGGATGATTTGGCCAAAGTATCTTAGTTTATGGATGAAAAAGCCGTTTTCCCTTATAACATAGCCTCTATTACTTCATCTCTCATTCCCCTCACGACATGTTGTCGCCAAGGTGAAATGCAAAATCATATAATATTGAAGGGATTGTCAAATTTCAGAAACAATGAAAACACTAAATTCGAAAAGGAAAAAAAAAGAATGACAGATTATGCAGTGAGACGAATATTAAATTTAGATTATAATTTCTATTTGTTCAGGTCACATAATACACAACCCAAACAAGAGAAACAAAACCTATAGTTTTATGTCGATAAACAAAAGCAAGCTAATATTTACAGCACTGAACATTCACAATTTTCACAAAACCAAACCAAAAGAATCTGATGTTTACGGGAAAACAAAAGAATGGGTCACTTTTAAAATTTCTGCTTTTCGTCAAACGTAGGACATATGTATTGTTTGTGTCACTTAAGGAAATATTGTGCCCACTTGCAATATAAATAGGGACAACAAAGGTGATTAGAGAGCATCTCCAATCCAACTTGCGAAACCATTCACACCATTTTTGAAAAAATTCACACCTATCGATTGGAAAAATGTAAAATCAATCACCTTACTAATTAATAACCACAAGTATAATCCCTATTATAGCAAAACAGCACATTCGTCTCCTTCTTCTTACCAGACACTAAAACAAGCAAAAGGAATCGTTTTTTTTTTTGAATAACTTTTATGTTTCGTCATTCAACAATTTCTTCTTTATAAAAAGTGACTCTTAAGACTCCCAACATTTGCAGTAGTTGACTCATCGTTTCATTTACAACATTTACGAATGGAAAACTCAGACACTGATTCAGAAGTTTTCTTTTGGTTTCAAAACCAAAGCCATAAGTTTCCTTCTTCTTGCTTTCCTCCGAGCTCTCACTCTGCTTTTTATGGTATATCTCTGTTCCACCACACCATAGACTTTGGTTTTTTTTGTTTTGTGGGTTTTCTTAAAAATGCATCTTCTTTTTTCACCTTTGACGAATCTTCATCCCCAAACTGTAGCCACTCAGATTAAAAGATTGTCCTTTCAGTTTAAAAGACTTTGAAAAGAATAGTAAGAACTTTGAAGAACCTCATGTGACGACATAGATCAGATTCTCTTCTATAAAATTTATGTCATTCCTCATTCTCTTCCTAATTCAGGATCTAGCTCAATGATCAACACAGAGACTACCACTATGGACGAAGAAGAAGTTTGTGAGAGCTACATGATGCGTGAGATAACCAAGAAACGGAAGCTAACACCAGTCCAAGTGCGTTTACTAGAGGAGAGTTTCGAAGAAGAGAAAAGACTTGAACCAGACAGGAAACTCTGCCTGGCAGAGAAGCTAGGGCTCCAGCCGAGCCAAGTCGCTGTCTGGTTCCAAAACAGAAGGGCTAGATACAAGACCAAACAGCTCGAGCACGACTGTGACTCCCTTAAAGCTAGCTATGCTAAGCTCAAAACTGACTGGGAAATTCTCTTTCTACAAAACCAAACCCTCAAGAACAAGGTACATTTGTTGTTAATTTAACAATCCAATTTTGTAGAGATTATGTTCAAAAACTTGATGAAACATTCAAACAGGTCGCTCTTCTCAAAGAGAAGCTGCGAATGCAAGAGAATCTTGAAACACAGTCTATTGAGAGGAAAAGACTTGGGGAAGAAGGTAATTCGGTGAAAAGCGATAACACGCAGTACAGTGAAGAAGAAGATCTGGAGAATCAATACAGTTTCCCGGAGCTTGCAGTTCTCGGATTTTATTATGATCCAACCTTAACTGCTTCAAATCTAAGGTTGTGATAGTCTAGGTCAACGTTCCGTGTGCCTCAAGATATCTTCTCTGTCTCCATCCTTTTTTCTTAGACTTCATATTCTAAGAAAAAATTAGTAATATTTTCATTGATGGAATAAAATATCATCAACTGCATTGTAAGTTATGTCTTAAGTTATATGAAATTTTATGAAACTGGACAAGATCATATTTTTCAATGACTAGATAAAATGAAAAGTGTTGCTTTTCAAATGATATGGACCTTTTGGTATTTACCTCAATAATTCGTATGCTACATTTTCATATAAACCAAGAGAACCTCGAAATTAGAAAGTGAACACATTCCAATTAGTCAATAATCAAACAAGTAGTAGAAAGAAGAATTGATTCATTTGAGAAAATGACTGGCACTATTTGATAATATATAATATATGATGATAATAACTTAAAAACACTACCATAATGCAATAATTAAACCTTATCACAAATCTTTATCCGAACCACCACCAATAGAAGATGTTCAAAACTTCAGACAAGAACCTTTGAAAGTCACGTGTGCGTCGGATCAGATCCAAATATTTTCACCATCTACGACAGCAGGACCTACAACATTTGTCGGAGTCAAACAACAACACGTGGCAGTATATGAGTGGAATTTAAAACAAATATGGATTTTGTGGGGTCCACCACCTAACTGGTTTGTCTCTGTTACAATATGGGCCTTAGAGCATCTCCAATGGGGAGTTCTCTCCATGAGCTCTCTCAAATTTTTTATTATAAATTTTGAGAAAATGTTAGATGAGAACCTTTGATAATTTTTTTAATTTTTTTGTGTCCAATGGTAGGTTCTCTAGTAAGGTTCTTAGGAAAAAAAATATATAAAAGATTGTATATCATAAAAATTAATAATTATTGCAATTCATAAAAAAGAAGATTGTTGAAAAAAAAAACAAGAAGAAGAATAGCAATGGTATTTAGGTGATCGTAAAAAAAGAAGAAGAAGAACAATGGTTTTTTTGGTTGGTGCTAAATTTTGGAGTAACAATAAAAAGAAAAGAAGAACAATGTGGATTAATTTTGGTTGGTGTTCCTTGTAAATTTTGGAGTAACAAGAAAAGAAATAAGAAGAACAATGGAATTTTGGTGAGCCGTAGAAAAAGAAGAAGAAGAAGCACAATGGAATTTTGTTGAGCCGTAGAAGAAGAATAAGAACAATGTTTGTGTGTGTTATAATAAGAACAAGGATGTTGTTATATATAGCAAAGCTCAATCATATGAATGCATACAAAAAAGTGAGACTTGTGGTGTTTATACATAAAAACAAAAAAGCATATGCAACATAAAGCAAAAGCAAATGCAACAGGTCTGTGACTTGTGGTGTCTTCAGTCCTTGATTCTTTGTCTTCTATCCACTTATACATCCCAAAGACTAAACTACACGGTGAAAATCATGGGTGACTGTGACTATAACTAACTGATCAAAAGAATGACAAGCAGATTACGATTATCATATTACCAAACCAGACACGGTGTGATGATGTTCACTTCAAAGTTGTTTACCTGATTTCAAGCCAAGGTCAGAGATAGTGAAGGAGGGGATAACATTCTTGAACTCCTGAAACTGCTTGAAGTTCATCCATGGCTTCACCCAAACTTTAGCTTCATAAATCTTCTTCTCACCAGCTTCAATAACTTCACGAGTAAGACGATAGAGCTTGCCAGCAACAACCTGCTCTGTTGCCTTCAATACTCTAGCAAGCTCAAGAACAACATTCTACGCATAAAATCCAAAAATCCATTACAAAGAATTAAACCACAAGCTAAATACTTTATATTTGCTCAATAAAATCAACAAAATCCCAAACTATTTACCAAAATCAAACAATATATTTCATAGATAACTGCGTGGTAAAGGCATATAACTGCTTAAACAGGCAAATCTAGTTCCACTCCCTCTACGCGATTGAAACAAATAAAGAAGACTCACTTGGGGTCATTGCTACTTCTGTTGCTCTCACTTCATTATTTTTCCCGGGCGTTGCAGCATCAGATGTTTTAGCAGCATCAGATATCAATATCCTCTAGAATGGTAGGTAAAGCTTTCTCCCACTCTTGTGATTGTTCTCCATCATGCTGGACAGTTCTTCAGGTTCCAAAACACCTGATATAATAACAATATATCTCAGCAAAAGTAAGTAACACATACAAACTACAACAAATCTAGGTGAACTTACCAGCGCTAGTGAAGAATTCATTGTCCCAGGCAAGACTTTTGCGCAAATTATACTTTCCTTTCTTCATCACCTTCTCAGGCTCAAGCGACTCATGAGGTTGAAGTACCTCTTCCTTCTCTTCAATTGTAGAAACCAGTATCTCATCATCACAATATTGTGTATCCCTCATGAAATTTAGATCTTTGACATCCATCAAACAATTTTCATCCTTATCTGCCTCTGAAATGTAAAACACAAAATTCACAACTTTAAATTAAAATCCAATGCCAGCTCGCTACAGTAGTAAGTAACAATGGGTCTAAGTTCTAAGAAATCAATAAACCCTACATTGAAACTTGTCCAAGTAATCAATCAAATCAAGCAAAATCAAAATCCTCTAGTAATCAAGCAGATTAACAAAAACCCGGAACCCATAAATCCAAAATCAAAGGAGAGATATTGAAGTTCACCGGAAAACTCGTAGCTGGTTGGGTCAGGAAAGGAGGAGAAGAGAAGGCTATCGTCTTCAGAAGCGACATCAATCAAACCAAGGCCATCGGCTTCAACCTCGCTTGTTTTTTTGGTCGCGACAGAAACTAAAAAAAATGAGTTTTTTTTTTCTTTTGTTATAACTCTCCCTCCAATAGAACACTGACACGTGTCCGGCTCTCTCAAATTCTCAAAACTCTCTCAAGAGAATCGATTCTCTCATCTTAATTCAGTTTTGAATTATTTTTTTCCAAATATGGAAGAGAACCTCCCATTGGAGGTGCTCTTAAGGCTCTTTGTTAAGCTGGCCCATTTACCTTAAGCCCAATTTAATTTCAATACTTCCTAAGAAAAGATAGAAAAAAATTGAAGGACTCAGCGAAGTACGAGTATGAGCCGCAAGAGAGATAAACCCTACACAAATCGTCACACACCGGCGCGAATTTCAAAACGCCGGCGACCATGGGCGCCTCCGTCATCAGAACACGATGAAATCATCGACAAACCGATCACCAAACCCCCGCCGCCACCGGCGCTGGTAGTTACGGGACTTCCCGCCAACTGTTCAGTCCTAGAGCTAAAATCTCGATTCGAGATCTACGGTTCAATCTCTCGAATCCGAATCGACAAAGACGGATTTGGCTCCGTTTTATATCGAACCGCCGAGTCAGCAGAAGCTGCGATTGCTGGTAGTCACGAGCCTTCTTTTGGTATCTCCATCGATTCCAAAAAGGTAACTAAAATCAAACAAAGTGACCTAATCTGTTGTAGAAATTGGGAATTAGGGTTTAATTGGGTATTTGTGTGTTGCAGTTGGAGGTAGTTTGGGCGACGGATCCATTGGTGAAGTGGAGGGAAGGTGTGACGGTGGGAGAAGGAAAGGATAAAACGTTGTCGTCTTCGTCTTCGTCTTCGTCGAAGCTTTTACGATCTGTGATGCCTTTGAGAAAACATGGGAGAAGTAGTAGATTAGCATCAGCTATTGTTAATCCGAGAAGTGATAATAGTAGCGGAACAAGTTTATTTCCGGCGACGATTAGGGAACTTAAACAGAGAAATATAGTAGCCTACGACGATATCCTTTAACATCATCTAGTACAATTATAGTAACTTTTTTTGTGTTCTGATAAAAACTTTGATTCTTTTACATTTTATGGCAATTAAAAAGTGTGTATCTTATATGAGTTTAGCTAATCCTTTTTTCTAATCTCAGTTCTCAGATATTGTGAATGAGCTGCGTTTTGTTTATTTGTATGATTGTAAGAGAGAAGGATTCCAAAATGGCTAGAAGATTCAAAACTCAACCGTGGAATGAAGTAAAAATCGACAAAAAAAATTCTTAATCCGGTTACTAGTTTGGTTGATTTTTCATTGTCATAAAAAATTCGATCCGTACAGCTTAATAGCGCTTTAAACCTTTCCAAATCAAAATCAGACTCTGTTTCTTTCACTTGAACAACTCTGGTGTTCGATTCCCAAGCTAAAACCCTAATAAACTTCACTACGGCATCGTTTCAGCCACTTTGGTTCAAATATCCTCGTTAAGTCACACTGCTAAGCGTGGCACGAGGTTTCAATCACGGTGTATCATCTAATCAACCGTCAGATTAAAACAAACCCAGATTGATTGATTCTACTGAAAAATTCGTCAGAAGCGGTTTGAGAAAATGGCCGAACACGGTAAGACTCAAGCTGATGAAGAAGAAGAACAACAAGTATGGAGCTGGGGCGCTGGTACGGACGGACAATTAGGTACGGCTAAGCTGCAAGACGAGCTTCTCCCGCAGCTTCTCTCTCTGACGTCACTTCCTTCCATATCTATGCTCGCTTGTGGCGGCGCTCACGTCATCGCTTTGACTTCTGGTAAACCACCAAAATCTCTCTGATCAGAGGAATGTTGTTGGTTTAGTCAAGTAAACATTAAAAGCATGCTTTTTGCAGATGGTAAGGTCTTCACATGGGGAAGAGGAAGCTCTGGTCAGTTAGGACATGGAGACATCCTCAACATTACTTTGCCAAAGCTTGTATCTTTCTTTGACGGCTATGTTATTACTCAAGCTGCAGCTGGATGGAGTCATTCTGGTTTTGTTTCAGGTAAACATAATGGAGTTTTGTAACTGCTTTATGACCAAGAGATTGATCTATCTCCCTTTTTGTGTTGTTGTGTGAGTGTAGATTCCGGTTGCCTTTTTACATGTGGTAATGGTTCATTTGGTCAGCTTGGTCATGGTGATAACACATCATTAAGCACTCCAGCTAAAGTCTCTTACTTTAGCAATGAGAGTGTGAAGATGGTAGCTTGCGGTATGCGCCACTCACTTGTCTTGTTAGCAGGTAACATCTGATATACAACACCGGGTTGCGAGAAAAAGTGTTTTTCTCCATTTGATTAATCTTGTGTTCTTCAGGGAATCAAGTGTGTGGATTTGGATCTGGAAAACGTGGACAGTTAGGTTTCACATCAGACGGAACAAAATCAGTAAATCTTCCATGTGTTGTCTCTGGATTAAAAGATGTTGAGGTTACTCGTATATCAGCTAATGGAGATCATAGTGCAGCTATATCCGGTTAACCCTTAAGTCTCGTGTTCAGTTTCATTGATCGATCGAATTCTGTGTATCTTATGTTAACCTGTCCGCCTTCCGATGTGTCTGACCAGCTGATGGACAGTTCTTCAGTTGGGGAAGAGGATTCTGTGCTGGCCCTGATGTTTATGCCCCTCAGTGTTTGCCTTCATCTCTATCTTTCAGAGAAGTTGCTGTAGGATGGAATCATGCTTTACTACTAACCGGTAATTTCTACGTCGATGCATTGATTACCTTCCAGAGCTCACTGAACCATTCATCTGTATGTGGATTTGTTGAACAGTCGATGGCGAGGTTTTCAAGCTTGGTAACACCCTTAATAAACAACCTGAGAAGCAACAACTGCAAATAGATTCCTCTGAAGCTCTCTTGGCGAAAGTTTCGGATTTTGATGGAGTTAAAGTTCTGCAAATTGCAGCAGGAGCAGAGCATTCTGCTGCCGTAACAGGTAAAAGGGGAGGGGAAATTCTGTAAATTATTTCTTCTTTACACTTCTCGATTTAAACAACCTTTGAATGTCTTGCAGAGAATGGAGAAGTTAAAACATGGGGATGGGGTGAACATGGTCAGCTAGGCCTTGGAAATACCAATGATCAGACCAGTCCTCAATTGGTGAGCCTAGGAAGTATAGACCTGCGAACGAAAGAGATCAAAGTATATTGCGGAAGTGGATTTACTTATGCAGTAAGGCGAAAACAAGGGCTTTCTTCGTCACCAACCTCTTCATAGACATGGATATATGACATCTTATGTGTAGAATTGTACAATGCAAGAAGCCAATTGTTTACATGACTCTTGTAAGAGGACCACAGTGGTCGTATTAGTACAATATACAGATCTTTCTTACTTCTTGTTTTGTCAAGATAAAACCTAGTTCTACTGCTTCCTTGGCTACCTTACCCTACATGAAAGTGAAAGTCCAAAAGAAACTACAACCCTACTGATTCAGCTCATGCTCCATCGATGGTGGGATTAGTTCTGAAATATTGTTGCCTTTGACCTCAAGAGATGATTAGCAGATTGTTCTCATATCCACCGCAAGTAACAATGGGTCGAAGCGGGTCAACTTTCCACTGGCCATCAACTATAAACTTTATCTGTGAGGAAATGTAGCAAGGTTAAGATTTTGGTTTGCCTTGTGAATGGGGAAATTGTTAGTTGCATATACTGAGTTAATTGAATGATCCAACCTCATATTTTCCAGGATATAGCTTTAGAGACAAAGAGAAGACTCCGTTCTCTGCTTTCTTCATCTTCCTCTGGTTGTAAAATCATAAGGAAGAAAAACATCAAAAGAGAGCAATACAATTCCTAAATGGAAGGCTCATGTCAACAGAACACCAGATATGAAGCAGTTTGGTTTCCTTTATGAGATTAATCATGTTAAATGAACTGACCTGGGTAGACCAACCGTCAAATGAACCCGTTAATAGAACTTCTGAGGCTGAATTAGGCCACACTATGGATGCGGTTCGAAGTAATCGTAAAGCTCTATTAGCATGATCTATTCTTCTCTGTTTCTCCCGTACAATCCTCTGTGCATCTCTAGAAGAAAAAGAAATTAACCAATGTGAGAGACAATAGCCTAAGCTTCCTCCTATCTTCCCCACATAAGTAATGAATGAGCAAAGCATACATTATAGCCATCGCCATTTTTCCTTCAAGAACTGCCAACTTTGCTCGTGTAGACCGCAACTTATTCTGGGCATGTATGATCTCATTCTCTTTGAACTCCCAATCATCAGAGAGGTTCTCCAAGTTCCCAGAAGTTATCTCACTATCCTAGATAAAATCATAAACCAAGAATAAGACAAATCGCAATCACTTATAGAATCGCTTCTAGTTTGATAGTACAAATGTTTTTAGATGCCATCTGGTCAAGCAATTACCTTACTTTTCACAACTGTATCAGGAGGAGATCTTAGGGAGTGGAGAACAGAAGAAAGTTCTGACTGGAGATGTTGAAGACGGCTTTTGATATGAGTTTTATTAATATCTTCAGGGGAAGATGCAGTTCTATCTTTTCCATTCATGCTATCACCAGCATCCTTCTTCGTATTATCCTTCTTCACACCATCCAAACCACTGGTAGAAATTTCAGCAGCTGTACGTATGTATTAAAGCTTTAGATCTTCTTTTTCTATCAAGTAGTTATATGGCAGAAGACAGAAGTCACTCCATACCTTCAAAATCTTCATCAGTAAATCCAGCTCTCCTCATACTCCACGTCCTCCATGTTTCTGATGTAGGTGAATCGCTTAAGCCTGGCGTTCCTGAAACCGATTTGGCTCCTTGATACCTAGTTTGTGCATATTCACCTGAGCCTCTACTACCGTCGACTTCTTGAATTTCACTAGCTGTCTTTTGAAAAAGGTAGGCAACACGTAAACAGTTGATTCATCAGGATTATTTGAATACAACGAACAGCAAAGTTTGCAGACAAAACATACCACAATCCTGGAAGACCAAGGAACTGAACCATTTGGGGAGATATCATTCACGGCAACATTGCTTTTCCCATTCTCCCTCAAGCTAATTCCAAGACTCAAATTCCTTTCTTTCTCCAATCTAGTCAAAATGCCTTCAATTCCACTCTCATTCCTACCATCCACTTCTCTGATAAAACAGAATCTATGTTAACATTCAAATAGAAGTAGACGAAGACAAGAACTGTATATTAAAGAACTCACTCTGTTGAAGATGAAGTATTTGAGGAAACGTCAAAATCTCCATGACTCAAGGTTCCATCAATCTCTTGAGAATTACAATTAGGAAGCTGTTTCTCGATATGTAAATCCTGTGGCGTGACATTCTCATTGACTCGAACCTCCTCTTCTTCTTGTTCCAAATCCCATCCCATAGAAAGCCATCCACCTTGGTTTACAATTCTCTCCACAAGATCAAATCTTCCAGAACGAATCAAATCCTTCTTACTCGGAAACATCCCAGGTTTCTCCGAATTCTTCATAAACTCCAAAATCTCCGATTCAAGATCCTTACTTCCCTCACTATCCCAACCCAAATTACGCTTATTACACATCCTCAAAACCCCATTACACCGAGAGCAACAACCTGTCTTCCTCGGCTTTACCTCAAGAAACCCTAGAACAGTAGACCCACAACCTTTTCTTGCAAAACGTATACAAGCTTTGGTCTTATAATTGGGAATAAAAGTTGAACCAAAGGAAGAAAGAGGTAAAAGGGTATCGGAATCAATCATCGAATAGCGAGAAACAAAAGATGAAATGGGGCCGGAGTTGATAGAGACCATGGTTGAAGCATTTCGTCGAACACTTTGTGTGCGCTCTATTCAAGCAGTCCTCATCAAGAAGAAGAAGAGGTAACACGAAGCAACGAACAAAATAAACCTTCTGGGAAAAAGTGATCCACTAGTGTACGTGAATTGATTAAGCCAGCCAGTAATCTAAGAAGAAGCCATGTGACCGCACAAAAACCAAAGCTTTGTTTTTTCAATCCGAATCCGAAAATGAAAGGAGTATGCTTTATTCGGACGTTAATCGAATTCTTAAGATGATCAATGTTGCGGTTAAGTTTCTTTAGATTCTCTTTTTAATGTTTCTCTAGGCTTTTTATCAATTTGACTATTTGAGCTTACTTGTTCCACTATTATTTTTACCGCAGGTAAAAATGGGAGCAAAATTGCGGTTTTATGATGGGCCCTTTTTGGCAGCGATTATAGGCCCATGTGTGGTCTATGTGATTTTATTTTTCATCCGATTGTTGATTTTATTGTTCGAAATTTTTTAAAAGATTTGTCATTAGATTTTTATTTTATGTTTTGTCATAACTTTTCGAAATATAAACATTTTAAAAGAATCTTTTGGACTATAAATATCTCGAATCTTTCAAGAGCTGAACTTTTCATCAGCTAACTTGTATCAATGAACTGGTGTTACCAAGTGTCGTTTCCTCAACTGGTAAAAACTTTAGACGAAACTAAAATTACATGTTGTGGTTTCGGATCTGGAGAGATTCCGAGCTTTAATCCATAACCTCTCGATATTAAAAAAAATTAAAAAAAAAAGAACTGGTGTTTACTGTTTAGGTAATGTTCTTGCATTCCTTGTGTAATTTGAGTGTTTTCAAAAGGGTATACAAATTTTATGATCAATTTTTTTTCCCGTTATTTATAACATTGCAGAACAAAACAGATAATATGATTATCTATCCAATTAAATAATTTGATTTACTAAAACGAAATATCATCCGCTATAGTCACAACACTACTATAACGTATAAACCGCTAGGCTATATAGTCTTCAATTTTAAACTTTACAAGATGATTGTGTTACTAATTGTAAATTTAAAAATAGACTTTGAAACATTTAAATATATAACTCTATTCAAACTAACTATTCAAATAAGACGTTTTAAATTGGCAATAAACTAATATATATTTACATTACAATTTAACCTCTAATAATTGAAACAAGATCCACACTTATATGTAAGGGAAAGAAAGAGAAAGAGAATAACTTTCTTCTCTCTCTCTACTTCTCAATTTGTATCTATAAAGAAGAAATCATCCTTAGCTTCATTTCATCTTCCAGTTACCTTAGTCATAATATATTGTTTCTGGTCACACTATTCCACCCAAAAAAAAAAGCAACTTCAAAAATAAGAAGTCATCTTCTTCATTTTGTTGTTACTTTGTTCAACTTTGCCATTGTTTTTTCTCGAAATCATTGTCGTCATCGCCGGAGATGGAAGTTGTTGAGAATCGGAAAATTTTGCCAGAGAAAAAACGTGGAGGCTGGAGAGCCATTACGTTCATCCTAGGTATGCATGTTCTTTCTTTTCTTTTCGTTTCTTCCAATTTTTTTTTTCTGAAGAGAGTTATATTAATCTTCCAATTTCCTCAAATATACATTTGGTCCATTCAAAACAATATAAACATGGTAAACTATTAAATGAATAGCCTATTTCGCCATCCATTGTATAAAATATGGTGGACCGACCACGCTACATTGATCCCTTTCAATCGATTTATTAGTGTTATAATAGATCATTTTTGTCTTGTAATTCACATCTTTCTTTGTTTTAGATAGACTTACACACAATATGACACTTTCTTGAAATGTCACTACGGAAAGAAAAAGAAAAAAAAACACAGTTTTCTAATTAGTATATCATTTTTTCTTGATATCTAAAGATAATAAAATAGTCAACAACTAAAAGTATAATTTCATAGCTATGATTCTCTGAATTTAAGTTTCATCAACAATACCATCATCACTTTTTCTTCCTAATCGGTAGTTGTGGCCAACACCATGCTAATATCATGAGCACACTAAACTCATTTGCGAGTCATGCAATTCAATAATCTAAGAAATAGTATCAAGAGATATATACAAGTATATATTTTCGACGGTTTCAAGTTATTGTTTAGTCATAACCTTTGCATTTAACGGCTACTCCAAGTCTCCAACTTAAGTTGCCGAAACCCTTCGTTTATATTAAGCACAAAGAATAAAAGATGGTTAATATTTTGGACACCATATATGTTTTTATTTGCTGAGATTAAATCTTACTAAACGATGAGAATAAAGGAAATGAGACGTTGGAGAAGTTAGGATCGATGGGAGTATCAGCAAATTTTATGTTGTATTTGAGGAATGTCTTTCACATGGAGCCAGTAGAAGCCTCCAATGTCTACTACTTGTGGATGGGTCTCACTAACTTTGCTCCACTCCTCGGCGCATTGATCTCTGACGCTTACATTGGCCGCTTCAAGACCATCGCTTACGCATCCTTCTTCTCCATTCTCGTACGTTCCCTCTATATATATCTATTCTTAATTTCAAACAATTAATTATAAAAACATTCACATTGATAATAAGCTTATAATGGAGTGTTGAATTTCTTTATGTCAACCCAAAAAGAATTTGGACAACTAAGTGATGATAGTTACCTTGATTTAGCTTAAAAATTTACATAGTATAGCTACATACATATTTTTAGGTTTATGTGTCGATTTTGGTTTGAGATCTTCCCATTATAAACCAATAATAATGGAAACAACTTTTGGTCGTGATAAGACCTAATGTTGACAAATGAAAAAGCTGAATTTTTGGTTTTCAATTGCTATACATAATGCAGAAAAAATCAGACGGTCCATATATATAGATCACGAAGCTATAGAGTATAGACTAAAACAGCAAATATGCCATTTGTTTTCATATTTTTCAAAATTTGGCTAGTTAACCTTTTTCCATTAGCAAATACCATTTCCTATTAATGAACTTCCGTAACACGTTGGAGTTGTGACAAATAGTTGTAACGTTTTATCAAAAAAGAACTATGCTATAAAGTGAATTTTGCTCAATGTGTTTTCCATAAATAAGGAATCAACCAAATCTGTAATAAATCCAAACAGGGACTAATGACGGTCACACTCACAGCCTGCCTGCCTCAACTCCATCCACCACCGTGCAACAACCCTCGTCCAGACGAATGCGACGATCCGAACAAGCTCCAGCTTGGGATTCTGTTCCTTGGTCTCGGCTTTCTCTCCATCGGTAGCGGCGGGATACGGCCTTGCAGCATCCCTTTCGGAGTTGACCAGTTTGACCAACGAACAGAGCAAGGCCTTAAAGGAATGGCTAGTTTCTTTAATTGGTACTACTTGACCTTAACCATGGTTCTCATCTTTTCGCATACCGTGGTGGTCTACTTACAAACTTTCAGTTGGGTCATCGGGTTTAGCATCCCGACCGGTTTAATGGCTTGTGCGGTGGTTCTGTTCTTTGTCGGTATGCGGTTTTACGTGTATGTCAAACCCGAAGGTAGTGTTTTCTCTGGTATTGCTCGGGTCATCGTGGCAGCTCGTAAGAAACGGAACCTCGAGATTCCGCCAGTTGATGATGGGACGGTGGAGTATTATGAGCCGCCGGTGAAACATGGCGTGTTATCCAAGTTACCTCTAACTGACCAATTCAAGTATTCGCTCATATACTTCTAGAAAGAAACATTCATTGTTTGATTGGTCATTGGTTGTTGAAAGGTGATTAAGTTAGTAATGTATTGGTTATATATAGGTTTCTGGACAAAGCGGCGGTTATAGGAGAGGGTGATCTTACATCTGAAGGAGTTCCGGCAAATAAGTGGCGGCTATGTAGCGTCCAAGAAGTTGAAGAGGTCAAGTGTCTGATCAGAGTCGTTCCGGTTTGGTCTGCTGGAATAATCTCAATCGTTGCAATGACCACACAAGCAACTTTCATGGTCTTTCAAGCTACGAAAATGGATCGACACATGGGTCCACACTTTGAGATCCCGGCTGCTTCCATAGCCGTCATTTCTTACATCACTATAGGCATTTGGGTGCCTATCTACGAACGTCTCTTAGTCCCGTTCCTATGGCGAATCCGAAAGTTCAGGTTCACTCTCCTTCAACGGATGGGGATAGGGATCGTCTTCGCCATTCTCTCCATGTTCACTGCAGGGATTGTAGAGGGAGTGAGGCGGACAAGGGCTACTGAAATGACTCAAATGTCAGTCTTTTGGCTGGCTTTGCCACTGATTCTGATGGGGCTCTGCGAGTCATTTAATTTCATTGGACAGATCGAGTTCTTCAACAGTCAATTTCCAGAGCACATGAGAAGCATAGCGAATGCGCTATTTCCACTATCATTTGCTGCCGCTAATTATCTGAGCAGTCTGCTGGTGACCACCGTGCATAAAGTTTCAGGCACAAAAGACCAGCCGGACTGGCTGAACAAGGACCTTGATAGAGGGAAATTGGATTACTTCTACTATCTGATTGCCTGTTTGGGTGTGATTAACCTTATGTATTTCTGGTACTGTGCACGAAGATACCAGTATAAAGCCGGTTCACAAATAGAAGATTTCAAGGAGGAGAAGCCTTTTCTAGACATAGAACCAAACCAGAGACACGATCAATAGCCAAATTAGAATCCATAGGCTAATATCGTTCCTGCTGTTTGGATATGTTATAATATTATTTGACTATCGCTTTCATGGGAAAAAAATCAATAGTTGACATGTCGGAGCCACAAAAAAAAACCCAAAAAGTTCATAGCAAAAACCGAGCCATTGTCAAACGTTTCAAACAGGACTTATACGAGTTATAGCATAAACGCAAGATAACGAAAGAGACGCACCCAAAAGACACAGGCACAAAAGCTAAGACGCAACAGTAACATTGGGGTCTTGGTAGTTGTTGTATGAATGGCCATTTCCTCCACCACCACCACGTCCCCTTCCTCTGTTGTTGTAGTAGTTCCTTTGGTAACCGTTTCCACCAGATTGATCATAAGATTCGTATCGCCCATTCTGGTAGCCACCACCACCACCTCGACCTCCTCGCCCATTCTGGTAGCCACCACCACCACCTCCTCTTCGTGCACCTCGACGACCCCTCTGGTTCTGGTAAGACCCACGTGGCACATAGTCTCTCTTAGCATTCTCTGCTCCCACCTGAGTATAGCCCTGTTCTTGTTGTCCATGGACCACCTCTCCTTCCGTCACTGACTCAACCTTCACCAAAACAATATCATCAGATTCAACCTTGAGCAACTCACTTAAATATGATTAGAGCTCTAAAATTTCACTGGATTACCTTTTGTTGCTCATCTTGTGGAGATTGATCATTACCAACTGATTCTTCTTCTTTAGAATTTGATGCATCTTCTTCCTGTAAACAGGGAACATCAGACCCACATAAATTGTTCAAGAGACCACATGGGAGGAATTTATGTTCTCTAATTTAAAAATTGGGACACTCAGAAACATGTCAACATTCACTACAGTGAAGACAAATATTGTCACTGTTTGATAATATCAATCACATGAATAAACAAGAATATATTGACAACTCATATCGTAGACCCACTACAAAGCTTATTCTAACCAGGATAGAGTTCTCAAAACTCAAGAGAATAGTTGAACAATCAAATAAGTAACAGGGTATATCGAAAATTAAGAATGTCTTCTACATCCTATCCAAACAACTTAACTTACTAATGATCTCATACCACAATCTCACCCTAACGCTGCATCATTCAACTTCAGACATTTTCTACTTAATAGCTCAATCTCACCACAACTAAAGAAATGTGATTGTTCATTTACTCAAGTAAGATCTTTGCACACCACAAAGCCCTGATCTATTACAGTATGTCTGAATCAGTGAAACTATGCCGTGAAATTCACTACCAATTTGATGAAAGTAAGAGAATTCAGGAAATCAACAAATTTCATGATATACCCATTGAGAGTTCCCTCTCCAATTCAAAACCTAATCTAAAGTGAATACCTTTTGCTGGTAGTGCCCTGAAGCTTCCACGTCCACAGGTACCTGGTAAGAAGTGTAGTTACCAGCAGCAGCCGCCACATCAACCGGAGCTTTCATCTCCGGCGTAGTAGTGAAATAGTCAGACCCCATAATCTTCTTCAACTTCTCTCTCAATGCAGCATCTGCATCACAAATCTAACTAATCAACACAGAGAAACTAAAACACAGAGATGATAAAGACAACAGATTTAGGTTTTTTACATGAAATGTTGCAGTTTGATTCAATTGGCTGCTCTGAATTAGCTAACCAAAGCTTTGCGTGCTCAACACAACGCTCCAAAGCGTTCTTATGAGATAAGCTCGAATCCACCGGACGAGAAACCATCAAGCTCCAAAGCTGAGAAATAGAATCCAAATCCCGATCGCCGAGGAGATCAGTGGCATCATCGGTAACGTAATCGTAAGACAAGCAGCAACTTCTCTCATGAGTCCTGGTCAACATTATCGAAGTGAACTCGTTCTGTGACTTGACGTCGAAGAGTGAACCAAAGTAGAGGAGATTCACCAGATCCTCCAGATTAGCACCACCATCACCGCCGCTAACTTCCTGAGGAATATCAGTGACTTCCTTTTGCTCAGACGCGGTGGTTTGATCGGAGGGAGCACGGTTAAGCTGAGTAGCGAGGCTGATTTCTTCTGCAACAGCGGCGGAGAGAGGAGCACGGATCTTTTCAAGCTCTTCAATAAGGATGACGACGGCTGGTTTGGAGCGGAGGACTTCTTCTTGCTCCTTGTTTAGGGTTTTGCCCTGAGAAATTGATTCTTCCATTTGAGTGATTCGGTTGTATTTCTTACGGAGAGCACGGAGACGCTTGTTGATGAGACCCATCACTGGTCCTTCAGAAGCTTCGGAGGAAGCAGTGGCGGCCATGATTGTGGATTTGCGTAGGATTATCGATGAAAGAGGATCGAAGTGAATGACTGAGATATATCACCACCGTTGAATAGCGGCGGCGGCGGTGGAGGAGCAAGAGGAGGATTTGTTAGGGTTTTCAGAGAAATGGGGATAAAGTTGAAGCGTCTGGTTTTTGGGTAGTGATGTGTTTTGAGTTAAATATATAATAATTGATGATAAATCCAGTTGTGCAAGTGAAATTATCCGTCTTAAAAAAAAAAATAGGAGGGTTCTATTTTCAACTATTTTTGTATATTTTTTTCAAATTATTTTTGTGGATTACATTTTTTGAAAAAAATATATATTTATTTGTCAATTTATTAGATACTTGGAAATGACAAAAGGTATTTGTATTATTTCAAATTGTATCAAGAGACTCTCTTTTCCTAAATGCAATAATTAATAGAAGTAAATATACCATTTTAAATGGTATACTATGTAAATATTATTGAAATATCATGTAAATAATAAAATAATGATTTTTAAGTTAAGAAATGAAATGCTGTATTGTTACATTATAAAAACAAATTACGTATTAGAAAAATAAAATTTAAAATTTATATTTCTTCTAATAAACAAGTTTGAAAGTAAGTTCTTATTAAAACTGTTAGGATATTGGGAAATATTCCACTTTTCGTGTATTCTAGATTCGATTGTATTCTAGATCCTTCTAGTTCGTTTACTTAGTAATCATCTCCATTTACTAGTTAATAATTTATAAGAAAATAATGATATTTGTTTATGGCGAATGCGAATCCATGCTCACACAAATAAACCCCCAAACTCCACAAGTTCGTTTACCAAGAAATAGCTTATTTACAAAAACAAACAACTTCCCCAAAAAATAATTTATAAGTCCTTCCTATTATCAAAACTCTTACTATAGATTAAGCAAGGCTCAACTACCAACTCTTACTATCTTCTTATAAGGTTCATATCATATGCTTCACCAAACAAGAACCCAATCCACTCCTTTCTAACACTATATCGCATAGCTCGATTATTCGGTTCGCATAGCATTCGCAAAGTCCTGCGCCACTGGTAAATTTAACAAACAAGCTAAAAGGTTAATCAACTCGATCGATATATGAGTGCTTAAGGCAGATAAAGAAATTAAAGTAAAACCGTAAAAAGTAAAAAAACTCACGTCTAGAGGCTAGCGCTGGAAGGTAATACAACGACATGCAATGTTCCGTTGTTAGGAGGAAGTTGCAAACGAAGAGGAAACAGCTTGCCGTTTATCTGACTACGAGTGCACACCACAGCGTCTTCCATGCACGTTTCTTCTCGCAATGTCTGAGTCAGTTCCGCCACGCTGTTTCCTTTAAACGTGAAAGCATATCCAACGGTTGTTTCATCCTCCACGTGTCCTTCTTCATCAGCGATATGGTAATGTATGGTTCGTCCATCAGATTTAGGCGGAGACTCAACCGACTGGTCAAAACCAAAATCAAAACATTCAATAACCGGACTAAACGGTACGACGGATAATTTTAAAACAAAACCGAAGGGTGTTTTAGTAATTTAGAAAAAGTACTCACATCTGAATCGGATCTGTCTGATGAAAGAGAAGACGAAGTCCTTGGAGACTCAGCCGACAACGGCGAATTCGTCGGTCTCCGATGCGGCGGTGGCGACGTAGTCTTCGGTGGCGCTTTCGGAGACTCCGTCTTGAATTCAGAATCAGTCAAGATCTCAACAACATCAACATCCCAAGAAATCGAATCCTGAGTAGCAGACAAATGAGGAACGTCGTGTGTGACCGAGTTTCTCCACGGAGGAAGACCACCATTAGCCCGTAAAAAGTTACCAGATCTAGTCCTAAGCTTAATCTTAGATCCTTCTCTAAGCGGTTCCCATTCAACAGACGAATCAAGCCGACTCAGTTTCAACTGAATCACTTTCTTCCCCGTAGCTCCGAGCAAGAACCGTTCGTTAGAAGCGGTTAAGTATTTACCGTAACAGCTTTTAAGACGAATAACATGGAACGAATCACGAACCGGTTCGACGATCCATCGAGCGTTTTTGGTAGATCCGTTTCGGTTTTGTGTTATGGTTTCTTCGTCGTCGTCAGCTGTTAGATACTTGTTGTGACTGTTACGCATTCGAATAGCTTTAGCTCTCTGGAAAAACTCCATTGCTGATACAGATACTGTTGTTTCTTTTTGGTTGAAGCTACTCGTCGTCGACTTCTGTAAAAAAATGAGAGAAATGAGTGAATAATGTTGAAGAAGAAGTGAGATTTGGTTATTTATATGTGTGGTGGATCTAAGACTGGACTGGTCTAAATTGGGTTTTTACGGTTACGCGGACATGAACACAAGACTAGGTAAGAAATCTGGAAAAGTCGTTGCTGGCTGGATTTAAACGCGTATTTAATATCCACGTCAGCAGCAATTTATGATTTGGATTTCTTTCTCTTTTTTTCGTTTAGAGCTTGTAACGCGTTGTTGTTTCACGTGTTTGGGATTTTGTTACTTTGCAGTGTTTTTAAATCTTGAGATAAAAGTTAATTACGAGCATCCCAAGACAGCAACTATTGTTAATTTAAACTAATTTTCAAGAATAAAGCAGGATTTTAGATTGTAACTAAAGTTTGTATTTTCCAAGATTATAAAAATAAAAAAAAGGTGTTAAATCTTAGAGGAGAAGATGAAAAAATTGGCATTAAATTGTGTTTTATTTTTCTATATAGTATCTATCAATCACTAACAATGACTTTGAGAAAACTTTTTATCAGTTGGAACAATTTTCATTTAAAAATATCTTCCAATCATTCAAAATGTTTGATTCAGATTCTTCATAAAAAATATAATACTAGAGTCCATATTGAGTACTAAAGATTCATTTGAAATAATATAAAAGTTGTGGTACTTACATTTTAAATAACAAATAAATTATGATAGAGATATGTAACAAATTTTTCCAATAAAGTATCATGTTATCTAGTTATGCATTTTCTTGAGTTAGATAAAATTCGAACTATCAAGTGTTGTATTCTCTCAAAAAAAATTCTTCTAAACTAAACTCGAGTTCCTTACTTGATAAATAAGTATAATGTGGTAAACATTTCAATATACAGGTAAATTACTGAAAAGTATATGCCCTTTTCCCCAAAATTAATAATGTCCCTATGCCATAAAAGCATGGATCGAAAAAAGAGGATTTAAGCGAATATTTAGAAAATAAATGTATAAAGTATAAACCCTTGCCCGCAAGAAAGACCAAGAGAGGAAATTCATGAGTGTGGGACTCTCCTAATGGCATCCCTGGACCATATGCTCCATCACTAAATCATAACTAACACCAACTTTTTACCTTACTTTGTGTTCCACTTGTCTTATGTTATATGGCACTAGATTTATTTATGTTTAGCCATTAGGTACAAGTTTTTATTGTTGAAGAATAATGGTATTTTTCTTTTTATTTTCTTTGATCATCCTTCTGTAAGAAAATTTACTATCACTTACATGTTAAGAGGTTTTACTACAAGCATTTCAAAAGTATTCTTCAATCATTGAAGTAAACTTAAGTTGGATTTGCAGTGTCATATTTTCAACTATTAGTAGTTACTATATAGTATATTATAAAACCAGAAATTGTTCTAGATAAACTAATCAAAACTATACAATTAAAAGATACTATATGTTTTGGTGCTATTAGGTTGGTGAAACGATGTGTGTGCTTGTGGAGCATTATCTATGTTAGTGGAGAAAAGAATGAAATATGTGATATGTCCATGTATTAATTTTTCTCTAATCTTCTTAAATTTTAGATACTAATACGGGTAACACCACCTTTTTTTTCCATGTTACTCCATGCCAACTAATATTTGATATACAGAATTGTCTAAGTTCAACTCACAATAATAAATTTCTATAGTAGCCTTAATTTAAATACCGAAATTAAGAAAAACTAATCAATGCACACTGAATAAAAGACTTAGTCAAACTTACCGGTTTTGAGGACCATCTCGGAGACATAGGTAAACCAAGAGAAGCGAACCGGCTAATACTACTCTTCGTAGACCCCCCATGAGCGGGCGACCCGGGTTCTGACCCTAATTCAGACCCAACCGGAGAAGAAACAGAGCTTTCATCACCATCAGACATGTTTTCAAGATCAGAACCATCAAGAGTTATAACATCCCAAATCAACCAGTTCTTGGTCTTCGACGTATGAGGCTCGTCGTGAGTAACAGAGTTTCTCCACGGCGGCGTTCCACCGTTAGCCCTCATCCACTTACCACACCAAGATTTTAGCTTCACCTGAAACCCATCTCGCTCCGGTTCCCACTGCGTTTGCCAATCCATAAGCTTGTTCAACGACGCCGTTTGAGTCACTTTCTCACCGGTCATACCTAACAATAACGGTTTATTGCTCGCCGTTAAGTACGTCCCGTGGCTGCTCTTTAACCTTATCAGATTAGGTTTATCGACGACGGGCTCCACCGTCCAAACGGCACGCCGGGCATCTCCTTTACGGCTTTGACGGATGGTTTCTTGGTCATCGTCGGCGACTAAAAACTTATCTAGATGGCTACGTAACTTGACGTTGTTACCTTTGGTGAATAACTCCATTTTTTTTTTCTTGAGATTTTGAAAGAAGAAGAAGAAACAAAAACAGAGAATTATAAGTTTGTGAAATGAAGGAGAAAGATGAGGTTTGTTTTTGGTTATATAGTTTAATGACAAAAAAAAAAATAAGACAGAAAAAGCCTGGCTAAAAGGGTACTTTGTAAGTTAATAGTCGGAGGGATTATGCAGCTTGCAATTATTTAGAAATTTCACAAAATCAAATGAAGAAATGACTAATGACAAATATTTAACAAAGTGTGAAAGTTGGAAGGAATGATCCTTTAGTAAAGAAACTTAATATTTAAGTATATTTGCGAAGGTTCTCCTTCTCCACCTACGTAACTTGTTGAACATTTTACCTCACGCGCGTGAAGGGCGTGATGTGTAGACTTTGCAAGAAAATGTCTTACGTTGTGGTTAATGTTGGTTCTTTATCTAAACCGGTATCCGGTTATAGTATAAGGCTTTTCTGGATGTGATTAGTGACTTAGTGTCTTTTGACCGCTCTAGTAATGAGTCTAGTGACTATATTCACCATGATTATTAAACATTCAAATCTTAACAATGTAAATTTGAGAATGTATATATCAAAACCATATAATTTAATGGGGAGAATATAAGCTTATAGATCCATCAAAACCATGAGGATCATGTAATACTGATGAAAGATCAGTTCAGCTAGTTAAATTATGTTATATCTAGCTCCATAATTGAATTGAACAATTATATATTCATAGAAGAAATCAGAATACTATAAATATTATATTTTGTGAAAAGAATGTTTATATTATACATTTAAACTAAAATTTTGCCCAAAAAAAAAAAAAAATACATTTAAACTAATAAGAAAAAGACTAGAAAGAGAGAAGATTTATGAGTAGGTAAATGTAGTGCATGCGCGTGGGGCTTATCGTGTAGAATTGTCTCTTTTCCATAAAACCAAGAAAGTCATGAAGTAGACTTATGGATATTTGTGTAGAATCATTTAGGATTCTTCCATTTTCTAAAGAGTTTGCATATATAATAGATAGATACACACATTACCTTGTTAAATACGTGTGACTCATATCTTTCTGGATAAGCGAAAAGTATTAATATCGGATTTTTTTTTGTCAACAAGTCATAGTTGAGTTCTTAATTCCAATTGTTGGCTTATGTGGCCGACGTAGGGCTTTGAGAGAATCGGTCTTCATTTGTACCTCCCGCACCAAATATATGGTTTGTTTTCTGGAACCCATGAAATTTCAATGTTTTTTACTTTTTAGGTGACGCATGTAAGTTGTAACTACAAGTCTTAACACTGTTTTGTTTAATAGTAAATTTTAGAAAAATATTAGACGTTAGTTTGGTGTGTATTATAAGATATGTTGGAGTCTTGGAGAGAAATTCACTAAAGGATCATCCTTATTCATGGAAGTTTCACAACTTGTTGTTTAGGTTTTGGTGATGCATGTAATTTACAAGTCCTAAAATCATTTTGTTATATATGAATTACGAAATAAATATCAGACGTTTGGTGTATTTTATAAGATATGTTGGAGAAAACTCATTAAGAATTAGCCTTATTCATGGAATTACACAATTTCAATAGAATTTGTGACGAACACCCAAAATCTAGTCGATTGAAATTTTAAAGATCAACAATGTGGTATCCAATTTTGTATTTTTAAAAATAATCGAAATAATCTCGTGTAGTAATTAAAATTATTATTGATAAATAAAAATACTTATCACAAAATTTTCGTGTTGAAAAATAAAATAAAAAAGAGCTACGTTGAACATTAGACGTCCCCTAATGTGTAGACATGTTTCCATGTCGCAATTGAACAACATATCTAACTGTAATTAACATACAGCTTCAAGATCCATTAATGGTCTTTTAATTGAATTTTTCATAAACATCTTATAAAATACTAATATAAATAAACTCAATAGAATGTAAATTTCAATTTATTATTATTCTTAGTCAAACGGCATATTTACATAGAAAGTCAACGTCAACTTTTACATTGACCAATGACCATAACGATTCAGACTTGTTCAACCAATCGCAAAAGCATGTCTAAAATAACAACAACAAGACAAACGCTGTTTCGGGCAATCAAGCACACTTGAAATATAAAGATTCCAACGCCTTAGCTTTCTCACCTGCACTTAAAGCTTCTTCCTTTCCTTCCATGGAGTAACTCTTCTCCTGTTAGAGAAAGTCAAAGTTCATAAACTGTAGACGAATATGTATCCTGAATCAACATGTCTCGTTATATAAATGACTTACCAGCAAATGCCACAAGAAAGGCGCACCATCTCTCTGTTTGATCCTCTTCTCTAATACTTCAATTGCTGCAGATTCGGTGTTTTAAACGCAGAGTTAGCTAAATTACCACAAAACCAAGCCGAAGAATAGTGTTTTTGGGAGTGTACCAGTGGAAGATTGGCCGGTGAGTAACAGCAATTTGTACCAGATTTCATTAAAAACATCGATCTGTAAACCCGATGCTCCAATCACCTATTTCGTCACCAAAAGAGACAATAGCACTTGCTGTGTTTTCTTCAATAAGTTTTGATTTGACATATATCTTATCGATACAAGAACATTGCATTACCTTATAGTCAACAGCGTCAAAGTCTGGACCAAGCAGTTCTAAAGCTTCTTTGTAGTTGCCTTTTCCGTATTCATAAACAGCTTCAGCAAGCTGATTTGAGAAAAAAAAATGAAAAACGGATCTTATGATATGTTAAAGAAGTAAAGAACTCAAAAGTCCCCATAATAATTAGTGAGGATCGGCAAAAACAGACCAAAATTGCTTTCTGCATCAGCTGTTGTTTCTTCGCGCTCATATCAGATGTTCTGTAAGAATTATATGTGTATCTGATGATAAGTCAAGAGACAAAAAGTTTCATTTAAAAGTTGCCACAAAGAGAAAGTGATACTGACCGGGACTTGAGGCCCTCGAGCAATACATATGCTAGTGAAGTGTTTCCAACTTTACTCAATGCCCAAATTGTCGTAATATCAAAAAGCCACTCTTGATACCACATTGCCTGAACATCGAAGTTGCACAAATCGTTACTAAAAGTAGAGCAAATAAATGTATATGAACGCAAGGCAAACAGATGCATCACTTACTTGATCAGTCAAACAGTTTCCTAGGATCTTTAGTCTGTCTAAAAACAACTCATCTAGTTTATCGCGTGTGTCCAAGCGCAACAACAAACCAAGAGCATCCATATAGACCTGAAGTGTAATAGTATAAGACATCAGATTGCTAATGGAAGTTCGATTTTTCATTTAAAAAGAGGGAAGAAAAATGATAAGGGAATTACGTCTCTAGCAACAGCATCGTCTTTTTCTAGCTCTTTACACATCTGATGATCATATATTTCTTGTACCTTACTTATGGGAGACCCTCCTTCCAAGTAACAAACAGCTACATGCCACCAATTATGCGAATACCTAATTTAAATGTTTCAAATATTTGGTTTTCTTTAGTAGGTGATTCCAGAGATGGCCAGAAGAGGTTTATACTTTGTTTGAAAATGCTATTACCTCAAGGAAGAGCAGGAATCCCATGAAGCTGAGCATCCTTCCATGAACTCTACTGCTTCTTTAAAACGACATTCAGTTTGAAGAACATGACACAACTGCCATAAAGAGACAATAATGAAAGTTTGTATATGGATTACCAAGTAACAACAAAAGACAGGGACAATAAGTATTGGAAATGGAAACTCACGCAGTGATGAGCCCAAGAGTCGTTTTTGTTGATCTCATAGCCTTTCCTAGCAGCTACCTCAGCTTCTGCCAAATGTCCAAGCTCCAATAAAGGGAATGCAAGCATACCATAAACATAATCTTGGTCTCGATTTTCTGGTAGAATCTGCCAAATTTACATGTTCAGTGAAGGAAATTAAAGACAGTGATGATAGTTTGCCCAAAAAAAAAAAAAAAAAGACAGTGATGATAAAGATTCCTGTTTTCATTTATAAATCATGAGGTATCCATCAATTTCATCAACATTTGAGATACCTTCTCGAAAAGAGGCAAAGAGAGATCGGGTCGACCCATGTAGAAACACAGAATCTCTACTCTCTTCCAAGACAACAAATCTTTCGGAAACTTTTTCAAGAGCTGCAAAACATAAAGAGTTATATATAAGAGTTAGAATAACTTCTACAATGGAAAGATATATCAAGCTATCCATCCTAAACTAAGAAGAGCAAGTACTAACAACCAGAAGCCAAGAAACATCCTAACCTTAGAGTGTAAATCCAAAGCCACATCGTTGTCCATATTCTGAGAGATTAAGTAATTAACAGCCTCGAAAATTGCCTTCTCATATGGCGTGGCTTTCCCCTAAAATCAATGAATTTCAGAGCTCAATGATATACCAAACTCATAGAGTATCACGGATTATAGACATGTGACAGCTACAGATCATCATTTCTTTAATCATAGACACTCAAAAGAGAAAACAAGGTAGAGCTTACAAGATGGGATTCTGCAGCTCGAGCATAGGAACTGGCTTTAGCAAAGTCAAAAGAGCTAAGGTAATGAGCAGCCAAGATGTTGCCCAAAACACAATCTTTATCATACAATGGCGCTTCTAGAATCACCTTCTTCTCTCTTCCATAGCCAAGAACCTTCATAAGACGTATAACAATGTCACAAAAGATAAAAATCATAACTTTAAGCAAACCAAACGAAATCAGAAAAACACAACTTGAAAGCTAAAATTATCATCTTTCAGCTAAACAATTCAATCAATGAGACAATGACTGTAAATGGTAAGTCTCAAATCAACACAACAATCAATCCTCTTTGATAATTACAAAAGGAGACAAGTTTACAAAACCCACAACATCAAATCATCAAAAGAATCAAAGTCCATAGAAACTCCTCTGAAACAAAGACAACCGATGTAAGTCAAGAAGAGAGACGAACCTGGTGAGAATATGAGTTAATGGAAGCAATGCAATCATCTGAAGAGGTGTTGACCTCATAACCCCAGTAAACAAATCTGCTTCCTGTTCTCGTCTCATTGATTTGATATTCGTCTTCTTTCTGTTTATCGGAGATACGAAACACAACAGAGTGGTAATTGTTGACCAACAAAAAAAAAAAGGAAGAAAGAGCGATACTTATGCACAAGAGATGTTTGACAAAAAAAAAAAAAAAAAAAAAAAAAAAAAAAAAAAATGCACAAGAGATAAAATTTTCCTATTGTTTTTTCATATAAATTTTCCTATTGTTACAGTACAAATATTTGAATAAATATCATTTTTGAGATTACCAAATAATCTGATTTTTGATCATATTTTTAGTTTTAAGATGGATAATAGTATTGAAAGTGAAACTTAATATTTAAATGAATAATTTGATACAGTTTTGGTTTAGAGTTTTAAATCAAATATATTATTAGTTAACGTTTAAAAAATTTAGATTTTAGATCATTTTGTTTTGTTTGGTTTTTAAATTTTGATTTGGTTATTGGTTATACAAATAATGAATCCGTTTAAATTATTATAGATGAACTAAAAAGCTTAAGATTTATCCAAATTATATTATTATGGACAAAATTTTACAAATGTAAGTGCAGAATGAAATTAACTAGCTAATTGACCAAAAAAAAGAAAAGACCAAAGCTCTTGCCTCTTAATTAGACTAACCATGAAAATAAAGATAAAAAAGATGCATTCATCATCGCATTTCATCTGCATGCATCTATTATTATCGTATAACCAAAGGTTAAAAGAATAAATGAGAAGGCCAATGAAATAATCAAGAGATATGCATGAACGTAGCATACTGTATATCACGACCGGAGAAAAATAACATACCATGCATTTCAAAGACATGGACACGTCCTGAGTAACTACACTAACACAACATGAAGCCTTCATTGATCAAAGCAAAACCAAAACCAAAAAAATGGATATAACAGAAACTTGAGAGACGACCCGTTGAGTATTTATATTAACTTAGAACGGGACAGAGGATGTTGCACAAAAAAAAAAAAAAAATTGGGACAGAGGAAGGTGGCATATATAGCTTCTGGATAATAATAATCGAAGGAACTAAATTCAAAATTGCATTTCTTTAGAAATTGCCTAAGTGTATATTAAAGATAAGAATGAATATATCTGGAGTCTGGACTCACATGTGTTGATTGCAAATATATATTATATATAAAAAAAAAGGGAGAAGCAATTAGTTGCCAAACGAAACCTTGAATCCTCACACTATCCAAAATTCCAAAGCAAAGCCATCTCCAGCACATCATATGTTATCTGGAGTTCCAATCCCTTTAGACACAGAGAATTATTCATTTCATTCAATTTAAATTAGTTTTGATACAATCATATTACGTTGTACAAACTTTATGCTGATATTTTTTTATTAGTAAATTTCTTCCGTAAATGGCATCGGTAAATCACATTTCGTTTTTTTTTTTTTTTTTTTCATCTTTGAATTTCATTAACCTTATAATAAGAGTTACAATACATTCCTTTAAAAGGATCAAGGGCAATCACCAACAAAGACAAAGGGGTGTTAAACTAGGTAACACAACTCTCGTTAGTGAACACTTCATGTAACCAAAAAAGGTAGCCAATAGCTACGTATGATTGACTACGATATCCTCCATTGTTACGCTCCGAGCAATAAGGTAAGCTCCTAAATTTGACTTCCTAACTTCATGCTCGATTCGCCAATCCAAAAGATACCTGAGAGCCCTAAGAAAACTTTCCACAGAGTTTTTGAAAGAAGGCCACGCACGCGGTCTGGAAACAGCACCAACCAGCTCCTTGAAATCGATAGCAAAGATCACTCTAGGGATCTTTAAGCTAGCCATACTTTCAATGGACCAAAGAAGGATCAAAAGTTCAGCTTCCTGCCTATTTCCAGTAGCCGCAAAGGCTCTTCTACTGTGAAGGAGAACCTTACCTACAGAATTTCTTAGGACCCAAGCACCCCCACATAGATTCGTGTGTTTATCCCAAGAGAAACCCACGTTGCATTTCAGCCATGGCTTGGGAGGAGGTCTCCAACGACAACACTGTGAGGACATAACAGAATGCTGCCTTGCATCTTCCACCTTCTCAATTTCTTGAGCCTGAAACCATTCAACAGAGCTATCCTTGATTTTTCTCAAAATATCCTCAACCAAAAAAACCATTCCTTCAAAGAGAAGATTGTTGCGGTTTTTCCAAAGAGTCCATAAAATCCAAGGAACAAGTCTCCTAGTCTCAAGAGGAATCCTGAAGTTCTTTGTTAGGGAGAGCACAAAATGAATGTTGTGGAAAATAGAGTGAGAGTGGAAACCATGAACCGGAGAAGGGAGGTTGGAGAGAGCCCAAACCTGACGAGCTAGGGGACAAGAGAACAACACATGGTCAATAGACTCACCCTCCTCACCACAGATTTGGCAACGTGAATCAACAGACATTCCCCTGGTTTTTAATCTCTCTGCCACCGGAATGGCACCACTCATAGTCTTCCAAAGAAAGACCTTAAGCTTTGTTGGAGCCAGAACAGCCCAAATGATATCTTTAATACCGTTCAGGGAGGATCTAGCATCGGCTAACAGAATGTCATCAGCTTTAAATTTCTGTGCTGCCAACCAATAGCCCGATATCTTTAATCACATTTCGTTATTATGCGTGTTATATATCAATTGGAATCAATGTAATTTTTGCCACTAATATTATGCCCATAATTCATCAATATAGTCTTAATCACATGATTGGACATATATTGTCTCCATATGCTCCTCAAACATGTTGTAAGCACTAGACTAATTCACAATATCGGACCAATATTTCAATCTCTTGTGGCTACCTTAAATTAGGGTCAATTATTTTTTCGGTTTCGTTTGGCCGCTTGATTGTAGTCTTTTGCTGAAAATAAAACTACGAGTTAATTCCAAAAAAAAACCTAGTCAATTTACAAAAATTGGTTGTTTATTAACGCATAGTATTACATTACCTTGAAAGTTAATGACATGACTTTTATCATATTCATATTTTCTTGAAACTATTCATTTGAAGACCAATAAGCTCCCAAATTTTTTTAATTAAAATTCTACAAGCCTAACTTTTGTTTGGTTGTTGTTTGGTAAACTGTTTCTTGGTTTTAAACCTCAAGCCTAACTTTCATTCATCTCACCGAAAAACTAAGCAACATGTCTAAATTCTTTATTTCACAATTTCGAATTCCCTTATATAAGTATCTAAAAGATCATTAACTAAGCTGGAATCTATTACCTATGTGTTTAAAAGATCGGACCCATAATATTATTAGTTACGCTTCGTAATATATACAATTGAAAATTCAACTATAGCCAAAGCAAAAATACCTTTTAGCACATGCTACAGATCATAAATCATGGGTTATATCATTCTTACCCAAATTAATTTTCCATAATTCCAGCAAACAAATCAGATTTTGAACATATCAAACACTCAAGCTGTCAAGCATATGTAAAAACACAACAAGTTCAATATTTCATATATCTGAAAATGTATTTTTGTATATTTCTGTGGTATATGAAATGATTTTAAAATTTGAATTTAGGAAAATGAGTAGTGAAAGCGAAACTAAACGACATGTACAACGAATAATAAATGGACTGCAATTGGGCCAACGAAACTAACGTTTCACACACCGACACGACCATAAACTACGTTGTCATTTGTCTAATTGCAAACTGAATAAAATAATGGTTCATGCTTATATAACTTTCGAAAATTAAAATACTAATATCAAGAAAATCTAGTTTCCGTTTTTTTTCAAAAATAATGTTTGAGAATGTGTGGTGGGTATCCCATTCGAAACCACCTGGCTCTCTTTATTGTAATCATTAAAATATTACTTTTTTACTTTTTTCTTCTTGAAATTTGGGCCAAGAAAAATATAACCGAAAGGGGTATAATTAATAACGTTATTAGCGGTAATTTGTATACTAGTATTTGGAGTTTTGCTTAATACACCAATGTGAACGTCCTAATGATCACCGTTTAAGTTTAAGAATTTAAAGAAGTCGTCAACTAAAATTTAATATCAACGCTTCTCAAAAGCTTATAAAAAAGACGTAAGTTAAGTTTATAACACAAAAACAATCACAAACTTTAAAAAATAATTGTGATTTTAAAATTTAGCGCAATTCCCAGTTGATGAAAACGACGTAGTTTAACAGTTACTGGCTTTCCATCTTCGTACACGCCGGTTACCTAAAAGCACAGAATTATCTCTGTTCAAAGTTCAAAGCTTTTTGTTTTGTTCCCATTCTCACTCACTCTCTTTGAATCAACAAGTTTCCAATAAAGTTTTAACCTTTTTGAATTTTTTTTTTCTTCTTCACTATCTTTCTATATTCTTCTTAGTAAAACTTTGCATTAATGGCTTACCCAAATTTGTAAGCTCTTTGTTTCCTCCCTTCTTCTTCGTCTTCTTCTTCATTCTCCAAATTGTGTATTCTAGGGTTTGATTATCGAGCAATGAAGAAGTCTAAACTCGATAATTCGTCTTCACAGATTCGATTTGGGTTGGTTCAGTTCTTATTAGCTGTTCTGCTTTTTTACTTCCTCTGCATGAGCTTCGAGATCCCATTCATTTTCAGAACCGGGTCTGGGTCCGGGTCTGATGATGGGTCATCTTCCTCTTTTGCTGATGCATTACCAAGAAAAATGGTTGTTGGTGGTAGTAGTAGGGAAGCTAATTGGGTCGTTGGAGAAGAAGCAGACCCACATCGACATTTCAAGGATCCGGGTCGGGTCCAGCTTCGGTTACCGGAGCGGAAAATGCGAGAATTTAAGTCCGTCTCTGAGATTTTCGTCAACGAGAGCTTTGTCGACAATGGCGGATTCAGCGATGAATTCTCAATCTTTCACAAAGCAGCGAAGCATGCGATTTCAATGGGGAGGAAAATGTGGGACGGACTCGATTCGGGTTTAATCAAACCCGATAAAGCTCCGATTAAGACCCGAATTGAGAAATGTCCGGATATGGTTTCGGTTTCTGAGTCGGAGTTTGTGAACCGGAGCCGGATCTTGGTTTTACCGTGTGGGTTAACGTTAGGATCTCACATAACCGTTGTGGCTACACCGCATTGGGCTCACGTTGAGAAGGATGGTGATAAGACGGCGATGGTGAGTCAGTTCATGATGGAGTTACAGGGATTGAAGGCGGTGGATGGTGAAGATCCGCCACGGATACTCCATTTTAACCCGAGGATTAAAGGTGATTGGAGTGGAAGACCAGTGATTGAGCAAAACACTTGTTATCGAATGCAATGGGGCTCAGGTTTACGTTGTGATGGTCGTGAATCTAGTGATGAAGAAGAATTTGGTATTGACTTTGTTTAACTTATTTATATGTTTTGTTTGGACTAGCGTTGACTTAAAGGTGAAGACTTTAATTTGGTTTGTGGTTTTTTTGTGATAGTTGATGGAGAGGTGAAATGTGAGAGGTGGAAGAGAGATGATGATGATGGTGGTGGTAATAATGGTGATGGTTTTGATGAATCAAAGAAGACATGGTGGTTGAATAGGTTGATGGGTCGGAGGAAGAAGATGGTAACGCATGATTGGCCTTATCCTTTTGCTGAAGGGAAGCTTTTTGTTCTTACGCTTCGAGCTGGGATGGAAGGTTATCATATTAGTGTTAACGGAAGACATATCACATCTTTTCCTTATAGAACGGTGAGTGACTGACGAAACCGCTTAATAATCTCTAGACTTCTTTGATTGAATGGTTTTGAATGATTGGTATAATGGTTTTATTTTTTTCAGGGGTTTGTTTTGGAGGATGCCACTGGATTAGCAGTCAAAGGAAATATTGATGTGCATTCTGTATATGCTGCCTCGCTACCTTCTACAAATCCTAGTTTTGCACCGCAGAAGCATCTCGAGATGCAAAGCATATGGAAAGCTCCTTCGTTGCCTCAGAAGCCTGTAGAGTTGTTCATTGGAATTCTCTCTGCTGGTAACCATTTTGCAGAGAGAATGGCAGTGAGGAAGTCATGGATGCAGCAAAAGCTAGTCAGATCATCGAAAGTTGTTGCCCGGTTCTTTGTGGCATTGGTAAGGACAACTCTTGAAAGACAAAAATCACCTAAATATAGTCATTTGTTTATGTTAATTCATCTTGCAGCATGCAAGAAAGGAAGTCAATGTGGATTTAAAGAAAGAAGCCGAGTACTTTGGTGATATTGTCATAGTACCGTACATGGATCATTATGACCTTGTTGTGCTCAAGACGGTTGCCATCTGCGAATATGGGGTAACATCTTCGTCCCTCTTTTGTTCTCCTTACTTTTTACTACTTTTCTGATTATTCATCCGGAATATTGTAGGTGAACACAGTGGCGGCAAAGTATGTTATGAAATGTGACGATGATACATTTGTGCGAGTGGATGCCGTGATCCAGGAAGCAGAAAAGGTTAAGGGAAGAGAGAGCCTTTATATTGGAAACATTAATTTCAACCATAAGCCATTGCGTACCGGGAAATGGGCTGTGACATACGAGGTATAGATTTTGTAGCAGACCTGAAACCTCTATTGAGCAAGAAACATGTGGTCTTTAGACTTAATGTTGATTTTTCTGAATTGTGAAACCAGGAATGGCCAGAAGAGTATTATCCTCCATATGCAAATGGTCCGGGTTACATCTTGTCATATGATATAGCTAAGTTCATCGTCGATGATTTTGAACAAAAGAGACTAAGAGTAAGTTATCCTTTACGCAGATATGAGATTTTGACGTTTGCTGTTTCTTTTTATGATATGGTGTTGGTTCTTCTTGGTCATTGCAGTTATTTAAGATGGAAGATGTTAGCATGGGAATGTGGGTGGAGAAGTTCAACGAGACTAGACCAGTGGCAGTGGTTCATAGCCTCAAGTTCTGCCAGTTCGGCTGCATAGAAGACTACTTCACCGCTCATTATCAGTCGCCACGCCAGATGATTTGCATGTGGGATAAGCTGCAGAGACTCGGGAAGCCCCACTGCTGCAACATGAGATGACATAACATTGGTTTTTGCCGGATTCTGGAATTTTTCGTTAGAAAGGAAAATGAAGAAGCAGATGGGTGATTATGGAGCTAACTGTCTTAGATCTCTGTATAGAAACAATATATAATGTATCTATCTATATATATATAAAATATAATGAAGGGCTCTTGAGAAGTTGACTGAGAAGTCAATAGTTTTTGCAGTATTTACAAAATATATGATATAGCGGTACTGCATGTAATCAGTGAAGGAAGTAAATTCTCCTATACCGGAAGTATTCTGCGTACGCCAATGAGAGCCACATTGGTCTGGTATCTCTTCAATGTCCCTATCAAGATGATGACTTTGAATCCTTTCAGGTACTGATTTCATCAGCATTCTAGCATTGGAACTTCTTCTGCTAAGATGTTATACAAGTGTCTAGCTAGGGCCTTGATGAGCAAAGGGTTTATAGTGTTGCTATCAGTAGATTGTTTCCTTAATAAATTTTGGAAACTTGTGCTTATGAACCTTATTGATGTTGTTAGTTGGTGTTTGGATATAAGCATCTGACCCTCAATAACATGCAGGATGCTAAATATTGCGTGACAGGATGCACAAAACAGAGTTGCAGCAATTGCTCTTCATAAGTTTTTTTGGTCATTTTGCGATTTTCATGTTTCACTTGGCAATTGTTTCTCATGCTTTGTTATAAAGAATTTGTGTGATAAAGATGAAGAATGGTTCCTTTACTGGTTTTGGGAATCCCATTCAGCTATTTTCAGTTTGGATTTTCCCAATACTCCCTAAGCTAGACTCTTCTGTGGTGGACTCAGTTTTCACAACAGTAACCCGATGCGAGACCTTTCCTTATTATTCTCCAAAATAATGTTCAGTGAGGCAATAAATCGGAACATGAACTACCAATGTGATAAAGCTGCTTCGGATATTAAGAGTGAATACATGTTGGTTGTAGATTAAGACTTAAGAGTAGTCACAGGTTTGTTCCAGCAGCGACTCAAACCTTTGAAGCCCTTTACATTGTGTTGTGTGTTTCAGTTGGCTGTTACCTGTTAGCCTCAATAGATCTAAAACCGGCCCATTCGCTCATAACTAGTTTTTTTTTTGCCATATCTAGTTTATTGAGAGACCAAAGTTAAACGTTACACTTTTGAGTCTTTGACACACTTGCTATTGTGTGTAATTGCTAAGAGTAAAGCTAAAGGTCCAGAAATGGCTAAAAGCCACTGTTGTCTTGTCACATTCAACGTCCTAATCAATGCCTTTTGTTTGCATATAATGTTGGAAAATAATTTGGATGTTGGCAAAAGATATAGCAAGCACCTAATGTAACCAAAATATAATCTCTCAAGCAGCAACAAAACATTGCAACCTGAAGGCGGCGGCCACTACAATTGTTGGATTTGGTAAAATATTGGTTAGCCACAATAAGTATTTGCTGCAGTGGTCCAATATATTCAACTCCTAGGTAAACTCTAAATATAATAGAAAATATCCAAACATTATTTAAAGCCATTACTCTATTTGATAGGACTTCTGGACTTGGTAGATAATATCTTAGTACACCACTTTTGACTCACCTGCCACTTGCCAACGAGAAACACGACTCCTAATTCCACTTTCCTCCCTCACTCCACTTTACTATATAATGTATAAACACACACTGACCTAAAACAACACTCGACTTGAGATCAGATCAATAAAAAACCAGAAGAAAACATGGCTCAAAACGATACAGTGAAGCTGATAGGTTCTTGGTCCAGCCCTTATTCTCTCAGAGCACGAGTGGCTCTACACTTGAAATCTGTCAAGTACGAGTACTTAGACGAACCTGATGTTCTTAAGGAAAAGAGTGAACTCCTTCTCAAATCTAACCCCATCCACAAGAAAGTCCCCGTCCTCCTCCATGGTGATCTCTCGATCTGTGAGTCCCTCAACGTTGTTCAATACGTCGACGAGGCTTGGCCCTCCGTTCCTTCAATCCTTCCTTCTGATGCCTATGATCGCGCATCTGCTCGGTTCTGGGCTCAGTATATCGATGATAAGGTAAACGAGTTTAGAGACTCACTTCCATGGATCTCTGTTACATGCTCTGTTTTGTTTGTCAAAGTTTGATACTTTAGTTTTTGAGTTTGAACTAAAAGCTTGGATCTTGACAGATCTGATTGATTAAGATCCGTTACTGATTGAAACATATATGGGTATTTTGATTAATCTGAATTTGCTTGTTAAAGTTTGAAACTTTCTGAAAAATATCTGAAATCGAGCTAAAAAAAAAAAGCTCTGTTCTTGATAGATCTGTGTAGCTTGAGGTCCGATTAAAAAACTCAACAGAGAAGTCTCTAGATTAGTTAACTCAAGAGTTTTGTGTTATGTGTATGAAACAGTGTTTTGCGGCGGTGGATGCGGTGGTCGGAGCAAAAGACGACGAAGGGAAAATGGCGGCGGCGGGAAAGCTGATGGAGTGTTTGGCGATACTAGAAGAAACGTTTCAGAAGAGCAGCAAAGGATTAGGGTTCTTCGGAGGAGAAACCATCGGCTACCTTGACATTGCATGTTCGGCTCTTTTAGGTCCGATCTCTGTGATCGAGGCGTTTTCCGGCGTCAAGTTTCTCCGGCAAGAGACAACACCTGGATTGATCCAATGGGCCGAGAGGTTTAGGGCCCATGAAGCTGTTAAGCCGTACATGCCAACCGTCGAAGAGGTCGTTGCATTCGCAAAGCAAAAGTTCAATGTTCAGTGATGTGTAATGTGTTTGCTTCTAAAGCAAAAGCAATGTGTGGAATATGAATAATTGATGTTTGTTGTCTTTGAGAAAATTTAAAGTTGTCTGTGTTTTGTGCCAAAACTTTATGCGACTTGGATTTTTCTTTCTTCTATCTCAATGTGATTAACTGGTTTTTGTCTTTGTGCGTTTTAATATGTAAAATGTCGAAATTTGGCAATTACAGTAGTTGAATATGAAACATGTCAAATATGGAATACTAGTATTAAATCCCGTACTACGTACGGCCAAATTGTTTTTTGAATGATTCTAATTACTTAATTAGAATAGTTTCTCTATTGTTGAAAAAAAAATAGTTTCCGTATTTTTATTAAATTCAAACTCTAAACTTCATTTTACATTTACTACAATTAATATCAATGAACCATGTTAACATGATTAGAAAAAAAATATTTGCACACTGAAATATATTACGAAGATAAAATGGAGGTTAACAAAAAGCAAAAGAAATTCATTACAAATTAATTCTAGAAAGCAAATAATCAAATTATACTGCTACTTGTATTTCCATGCCGTTGCAACCTCAAGAAGTTCCTACTTCATGTTAACATAATTAGAAAAAAAAATATTTGCACACTGAAATATATGACATGTTCTTCTTCTGCTTTTGAGGACTGGATGGTTGGTATTGTAGTGAGTTTAGTATGCAAACGTTCTTCATTGAACAACACTAATCAAGCCAAGGTATGTATAACCTCTTCATCACTGGAATTTGTAACCGATAAACTAAGAAGACATTTTATTAGCATAGTTGAAATAGTGAATACATACTATCTAATTATTTAACCATGAAATGGTGAATTAGTAATATCCATCAGCCGGATATTAAACTTTTCCGTTGGACCGTCCTCACGATCACACCAATAAGGGCCGAAAAAATAATGTTTACAGAGAAACATTACTTATTCTTGTAAAAAAAACAAAAGTCAAATGAAGACAACATACAAACGACAACATGTATAGTCAAGCATTAGCCCTTGCTAATAAATTAGGTAGCTGCTCACAATCACATGCTTGACACATGAGACTGATCATCATGTAAGGATGTGAAGGACTTCTAAATTGTCCAAGATTGAGGCATAACTCAAAATTCATTAGGAGCACTCCCATTCTTGTCATTGCTTCTGGAATTTTGACAGTAAATTCTCTTTGATAGAAAGCTTATATCATACTTCCCTGTTTCATAATGAAACATAAAGACATATACTCGATTGAAAATGAAAGACAATTTAAATAAATGGTTCAAGGAAATTGAATGATTATTAAAAGATTAAAAATTCTAGGTTGGAAAAGATCAACACTTTAACGCAATGGAGAGGACCTTTGGTTCTTCATTCGTAAAAGGCAATTCAAAAATTCAATATAAATAGGTGATATAAATAATTGATCGCACAACATAAAAAATCATCAAAAAATTACCTTATCATCCACAAAAAGCATATCAATTCCGGTACATTCTCCTAGTTTATCTTTTTTGGAAATCTCCATGACCCCATAGATGGACAACCCGAAACTTTGATTTTACACGATTCAATTGCCCTAGCTATTTGTAAAAGAAGTTGAAAATCGAGCGGCATCACTTTGAGATTCGTATAAACAGATGTTGAAGCTTTTTGAAAAAATAAGAGAGAGAGAGAGAGAGAGTTAGATATGAGAGAAAAAAAAGGACGAAAAGGAACAAATGAGGTAAGTGGTGATTCAAATTTGTTGCGGAAGCTTTCTGGCGTTATATAGAAAATTTTATAAAGTGAAGAAATGGGAATCGTGGGGAGGTGGGGAGAATCAGTTTTTCGAAAGTTAGGAAAGAGTTTTTTTTTTGAGAAATTCCTAAAAATGGCCCTAAAACAAGTTTTATTGACAATAATAGCACACACTCCATAAACTTCCAAAAATAGCACTAGTTAAATTACTATTAGTGTTTTTGTTCTAAAAATTTTATCACTAGCTTTTTTTTCCAATAATACCACAACTTTTATATAAAAGCTATTCAACAAAATAAATTAGAAATAAATTTAAAATATTATATTTGGGTTCTCTATTTCCAATTTAGGGTATATATTTCTACCATTTAAAAGAGATTTTGATTCATTTTAATATTAGTTTATGGTATTATATTTGGGTTCCCTATTTCCAATTTAGGGTATATATTTTCACCATTTAAAAGAGATTTTTATTTTAATATTAGTTTGTGGTATTATATTTGGGTTCTCTCTTTCCAAATTAGGGTATATATTTCCACTATTTAAAACAATTTTGATTCAATTTAATATTAGATTAGTGTTTGCTCTCTTTTTTATTTTCTATCTTATATTTTCATTAAGTTAAATTGAAGTTTATGGTGCTATTTGTGGAACTTTTCAAATGAGGTGCTATTTTTGGAAAAAACAACTTTTTTGGGGCTATTTGTGTCAACCTCCCTTTTTTTTTTCTTTTTTCTGGCCAATAAGTAAGTTAAAAAGTAATTAGTTTTATGGAAAATTTCCTCGTTGTGACATGTCCTCAAAAGCATACGTGTCAGCAGGAGAATATTGCAGTTTTTGGATATAAATCTGTATTTTTTTGTTTACCTTTTTTCCACGATCTCACTTTTTTTTGTTTTTTAATAATTTGTCTCACGTTAAGAGGAGAGGTTTTTGTTTAATTATATAATATGTTTTTTTTGTTTTCTGTTTTCTTCTCCATGATCTCTCTTTTTTTTTTTAAAAAAAATCTTTCTAAAAAGAAATTGTTTTTGCTGATATGTCAAAATTTTATTGGTGCAGTGACTTGTGCTTTATAAGATAAAGGATTAGTAATTGTATGGAATATATATTGAATAAATTACAAGAAGTTAATAAAACAAGAAGAATCACAAGACGGTCCTTTGAAACAGCTAAGCAGCCATGAAATCATCACACATAGCTCTAATTTGCATACTTATATTTACCTTCTTCGCTATGCATGATTGTATGTATAAAGCTTTTCTAACATAGTATATACACAAAAAAAAAAAACAGTATATACACACGTATTTATCAAATGTCTTTTTTTAATCGTCAAAGTTTTGTTTGTGTGTTTCAAATCAACTTGTAGGTGAGAGATTGGAGGCTACAGAGAATGAGAAATCGAGCAAGATCTATGTACCACCATGTTACAAAACCATTTGCTCGTTCACACTTAAAAAGGATTGTTGGTGCTGCTTCGAACCTACAGTTCACAAAGATCTTTGTTGGGGAGTAAAAGACTATCCGAACGCCAAAGAGCTTTGCTTCGACGAATGTTCAAAGAAGATTTAAACCCTTTCTTAATAGAATAACTATGTAGTCTCTGTTTCGTGTAGAATGATTTATTTGATTTAAAGAAGATCATCTAATCTTTTCCTATTGAGTGTACCAGAAGTTATGTGTTTGAATCTGAAAAAAGTTACTTGTCACATTTTCATGCTCTTATCCCTTTATTTGTTGATACACACAACAACTGGTGACATGTTAGTTTCGCTTTGTGAATTATGCGTTTGTGTCTTTGTGACATTACCAATTTTTGCTTCTTCTATATATGAATTAGAATTTAATTTCCAAATCCCATATAGAGAAGATTGATGTGTAATTCATAAAGATTTTTGAAGAACAATTTTTTTATGGTATATTATTATTTGTCCTACTGAAAAATAAATAATCATATTTGGTTTATCCAAAAGGCGAGAAAAGCCAAAAAAAAAGTGACACGTCACTCGTAACAAGACACGAACCTTTTTAATAACAAAATGAATGATTGATGACGACGACAAGGAAAATGCAAAATCGCTGTCTCCTTTTAATGCTTCGATCAAACCATCATCGAACCCAGAAGAAGAAAGACCAAAAGTGTTCCTGTAGGAAGCGGCAAACTTTCAGCTAGAAGAAGCTCTGTTTTCTTTAAATGGAGAAAACACTGAGATATGTTCGGTGGGGCTATGAGGTTAATGCCTCTTCTGATGATTGCATCCACGCAATTAACTCATATTTTCAACAGGTTCTTCTTCAATTATCCCTCTTTAGTCACTCACATATGACATGAAACTGATTTGAACATTCGATGATTGATTGGTAATAACAGACTTACAAGGCTTTAAGATTCTTGTGATGCCAATTGAGAGTTTTCTATGGAATCTAGATGTATCAATTTTGATTCCTTGATTAGATTTTTGACTAGGGTTTGTTCATTTTATGAGTCTTGATACGTTTTTGATTCACTATGTAGCTGAATTTTGGATTTTCTTCTTAAAGTTTCCATCTTTGTAATTTAATTTCATTGTTGATCATGTCTGCGGTTGATGAAGGTTCTTAGTTATGGGAGGAAGAGGAAAGTGATTCTAGAAGCACCACTCTACGATAAAGATTGTGTTTTGGGAAACATTTTAGCTGCTCATTACCTTTCTTCATCTGATCCTGCCAGAGCTAATTCCTACGTTGAAGCTGCGGCATCTAATCTCGTCAGTCTTGTTATCTCCACTGTTCTTGTAGTTCATATTCTACTTTGTGTTTGGGGAAAAGTTTCTTAGTTTAACTCCATTTGCTTTTTCTTCAGGAACAATCTACACCTTATGAGAAAGCGGTTTACGAGGCTGTTACTTACCTGATATCCGAGGACAGGGATGACGACTTGGCTTTTGAAATGCACACCAAGGTTGGTTCTTACTTCCATTGTTAGTTTTATCTTTTTGAATCTGGCACCAATACATGTATTCAACGGTTATGGTTTGAAATGTAAAGTTCTGTGGCTTTTTGATGATTCTCAGGTCCTAAGTACACATGCATATGCTCTGAAACTTGTTGTAGTTAGTTTCCTATGTTATTTTTGTGCCCCTTGTTTGAATCAAAATTGTGGTTTGCAGCTACTTAATAGATTCCCAAAGGACCTTGCCTCTTTGAAGAGAGCACAGCTTTTATGTTTTTACATGGGTCAACCTGATCCCTTTTTGGGTCTTGTTCAGCAGGTACTTAAGGTTCTCATTGAATTGTTGGTCACTGAATGATTCACCTGTCTAAGACTATAAAATTTGATTGTATCTGCTTAATATTGTAGGTTCTACCTGCGAATCAAGAAGAAAGTTATATTCATGGTATACTTGCGTTCCCATTGTTAGAACTTGGTCGAATGGAAGAAGCTGCAGCAGCTTCCAAAAAAGGCTATGAGATAAACAAAGAAGACGCCTGGGCACATCACTGTGTGGGTTTCTCAAACAATTTACATGACATTCATCATTTGCATCCTTTATTCTCAGGTTCCATTGAACACTTACTTTTTTTGTTGCAGTTGTGTCATGTTCTTCAACATGAATGTCGGTTTAAAGAAGCAGTGGAGTTCATGGAAGCACTCGCAGAATCTTGGCCTTCTTGCTCATCCTTCATGTAAAGCATTTCCCACTTACTTGAAGGCTCTCACATATTATCAAGCTCTCTTCTTATAATTTAGAATTCCTGAGATTTTTTAGTATTAAACATGTATAAAATTGTCAGGTATACACACAATTGGTGGCATGTTGCTCTTTGTTACTTAGAAGGAGGGTCACCAATGAGTAAAGTAGAGGAGATTTATGATCATCACATCTGGAAAGAATTGGAGAAAGACGACGCTGTTCCTCCTGAAGTAATCCTCGTTTCGATTCAGAAGTCTATACTTTTGCTTCCTGTATCCAATATTTTAGCTGTCTACAACTCTTTAGGTATATCTCAATGCGCTGGGCTTGTTGCTACGTTTAGATGTAAGAGATGCTCTTGATGGTTTTGAAGACCGTCTCAAAAACCTTGCAGTTCGTTTAACTAATCAGGTAAGCCATACGCTAGTGAAATATCATCCCAAAACGGTTGCAGTTATACGAGTTCTCCTGTTCAATAGGTTTTTATTTCTCGGCCACTTGCTTTAACATTTCAGGCAAACTGGTATTTGGAGTGGCACCTCGATATATTGATAGTCTGGGCATTAGCAAAGGTTGGAGAGACTTCAAGAGCTCATGAATTACTTGAGGGTCTTAAGTCCCGGTTAGTGTGACTTTCTTTTAGTCTACAGTTTCTAAATGATAACGAATTTGTCATGAACTTGTGTTGTTCTTGCAGATTATCAAGGATGAATAAAAAGAAACAACAAGTGATGCAGAAAGGGATTCAGGTTTGTTTATTCTCCCCTATCCGGTAGTGTTTTTAATTGTAACTACTACTCTAATATTAGTTTTGTTCTCATATCAGCTCGGGGAAGCTGTGTTTGAATTCGCAAGGGGTAACTACGAAAAGGCTTTAGAACTATTCGGTTCAGAGTTCAACGCCATTGGTTACAAGGTGAAATAAATCTCTAGCATCTAAACTCATGAAGTTTCTTGATCAAACACCTTTTGATAGTTCCTTTTTTAATAATAGATCGTCGGAGCATCAGATGAACAGATAGATGTTTTCAACGAAATGTGGTGTCAGCTGCTTCTAAAAACAGGCCAATCCTCCACTGGTAAGGCTTGTTGTAGAGTCTTTACTCATTGAATACTCATCTTTGTTTAGTATAACGATAAACAATCTTGGCTCTTCTGATGTATGCAATGCAGCTAAAGAAGTGATCAGAGAGAGGATAAAGATCAGAGATGGTGTTCCTTTCATGTGGCGTTTACTGGTAATATATAATATACATTCAAAAGCAGGACCTCACTTTTTTTGTTGAAATGAGAAAACGATGTCGTTTCTGGTTGCAGGAGAAGAGTTACTCCATGGAAGGCAATGCAGAGGCTAAGAGTAGTGCAGGAGAGACAGCTAAAAAACTGGAATCTTGTTATTTCTAACTTTTGCTTCAAAAATCAAAAATAATGACACAAAAAGTGTGTGTAATGTATACATGTTTTTAATTAAGTATTAGAGTGAAAAAAAACATTTTCCATATTCTTTTAATTTCGTATATCTGTCACATTTTCCATATTTTACATTTTTTTTATTTTGTCACAATTTTTTTATTTCCGACTACTATATGTGTGTATATAATAAAATTCAGAGTTAGGTCTCGGCAGCTCATCAGTTGATCGAATCGATTTACGTTGCGGAAACCCTAGAGATGGAGCAGGAGATGGAACGGAGATTGAAGAAAGAACACAATGCTAAAGTGAAAGCTCTGAAGAAACAAAAGGCTTTCGAGAAAGCAAAGCTGGGAGAATGGAATGCAAAATCTAAAAAGAGCGCAGCGAAGAAGATAGGAAAAGAGGAAGAGAATCATTCCGACCCTGAAACGCCTCTTGGCCAGAGGAAAAGGCTATCTTCACAGATGGCCAAACATTACAGTCCTTCATCGGTGGAAAAATCGTAAGTTACCCTAAAACCCTTGATTGATTTATTCACCAATTGGATAACTCTGATCTCTGTTTGTTGTTTTTCGGTGCAGGTGGTATGAATACTGGGAGACATCTGAGTTTTTCAAAGCTGATGCGACTAGTTCAAAACCACAGTTTGTGATTGTTCTTCCTCCTCCCAATGTGACTGGAGCACTGCACATTGGCCACGCACTAACCTGTGCAGTCCAGGACACACTGATTCGTTGGAAGAGAATGTCTGGTTTTAATGCTTTGTGGGTTCCTGGGTTTGACCATGCTGGTATTGCGACACAGGTTGTGGTCGAGAAACATCTCAGCCGTGAAACAGGAATGACGAGGCATGACTTTGGCCGTGAGGAGTTCTTGAACCATGTCTGGCAGTGGACAGAGAGTAAAAGTGGTACAATCAAATCACAGCTACGTCGTATGGGCTCATCTCTTGATTGGTCCCGTGAGTGTTTTACGATGGACGAGCAGAGATCAAAGGCTGTCACTGAGGCCTTTGTAAGGTTACACAAGGAAGGGCTTATCTACAGGGATCTCCGGCTTGTTCATTGGGACTGTTTCCTTAGCACCGCCATATCTAAGCGTGAGGTTGAGCATATCGAGATCAAAGAAAGAACACCAATCAAAGTCCCTGGGTATGAGAAGCCAGTTGTATTTGGTCTTATCACTTCGTTTGCTTACCCTCTTGAGAGAGGAGGCGGTGAGGTTGTTGTTGCCACTACTAGGGTGGAAACTATGCTTGGTGATACCGCCATTGCTGTTCATCCCGATGATGCAAGATACAAGCATCTTCACGGAGAGTTTGCTGTGCACCCGTTCAATGGGCGGAAGCTACCAATCATATGTGATGAGATACTCGTTGACCCAAATGTTGGTACTGGTTGTGTTAAGATCACTCCAGCACATGACACCAATGATTTCGATGTAGGAAGGCGCCACAATCTGGAGTTTATAAACGTATTCACTGATGATGGAAGGATCAATGCGAATGGCGGGCCTGACTTCACTGGCATGCCACGCTTTGCCGCTCGTGAAGCTATTGTTGAAGCTCTGCGTAAGAAGGGGCTGTACAGAGGTGAGGAAAACAACAAGATGACAATTGGAGTTTGCTCAAGAAGTAGTGATGTTGCTGAGCCTATGCTAAAGCCTCAGTGGTACGTGAATTGCAGCGTGATGGCAAAGGAGGCTCTTGATGTTGCTGCCAAAGGGAAGATCGAGTTTATTCCCAAGCAGTACTCTGCAGAATGGAGAAGATGGCTAGAGAGCATATTCGACTGGTGCATCTCGAGACAGCTTTGGTGGGGTCACAGAATACCGGCATGGTACGCCACTCTAGAAGAAGATCAGCTTAAGGAAGTAGGTGCCTACAACGACCATTGGGTCGTTGCTAGAAACGAGGAAGAAGCTCGAAAAGAGGCTGCACAAAAATTTGCTGGGAAGAAGTTGTTGGAGCTCTCCCAAGATCCTGATGTGCTTGACACATGGTTTTCTTCTGGTCTCTTTCCCTTATCTGTTTTGGGATGGCCAGATGAAACTGAGGACTTGAAAGCTTTCTATCCAACGTCGGTTCTTGAAACTGGACATGACATTCTGTTTTTCTGGGTTGCTCGCATGGTTATGTTAGGAATGAAAGTGGGTGGTGGGGATGTTCCCTTCAGGAAGGTTCTTTTGCATCCCATGATACGTGATGCACATGGCCGCAAGATGTCAAAGTCTCTTGGAAATGGCATTGATCCGCTTGAAGTCATTAATGGTGTAACTCTTGCGGGTCTACACGCCAGGTTAGAAGAAGGTAACCTGGATCCAAAGGAGCTGGTTGTTGCCAAGGAGGGACAGGTGAAGGATTTTCCAAATGGTATCCCTCAATGTGGCGCTGACGCCCTTCGATTTGCGCTTGTCTCATACACGGCTCAGTCTGATAAAATCAACATGGATGTCCTCCGAGTTGTTGGTTACCGCCAGTGGTGTAATAAACTGTGGAACGCCGTCAGATTTGCGATGATGAAGCTTGGCGAAGGCTATACTCCTCCTGTGCAAACTCTAAGCCCTGAAACCATGCCATTCAGCTGCCAATGGATTCTTTCTGTTCTAAATAAGGCAATATCTAAGACAGTGGATTCCTTGAATGCTTTTGAGTTATCGGATGCAGCCAACACAGTGTATGCTTGGTGGCAATACCAATTCTGTGATGTATTTATCGAGGCAATTAAGCCTTATTTTTCTTCTGACAACCGAAGCAGGATTCATGCACAAGATGCTCTCTGGGTTTGTCTCGAGACTGGCTTGAGATTGCTGCATCCGTTTATGCCTTTTATTACAGAAGAGTTGTGGCAGCGGTTGCCGTCACCACAAGACTGTGAACGGAAGGAGTCTATCATGATATGTGACTACCCTTCTCCCGAAGAGAAGTGGACAAACGTGAAGGTGGAGACCAAAATGGATGTGGTTCTGGCGACCGTGAAAACTCTCAGGGCGTTGAGAGCTGCAGAGTCGCTAGAGACACGGAAAAATGAAAGGTTGCATGCGTTTGCTCTGTGTGAAAACGCATTGACACTGGAAATTGTGCAATCCCATGAGTTAGAGATCAGAACTCTTGCAAATCTCTCATCCTTTGAGGTTATGTTGAAGGGAGAAGACAAAGCAGCCCAATCTGGATCGGCTGTTGTAGAGACTGTGAATGAGAACCTTAAGGTGTATTTTTCGTAAACAGAACGGTCCATACGAGATGGATTTTGAAGAGCATTCGAAAAGATTTAGCGAGGAGAATCTTGATCTCTTAATCTTATTCCTCACGCAACCTCTACATTTATAATCTTTTCGACATATACTAAAACTTTAATTATTCATTTCATGCGGTTATTCTTTGATAATCCTTAGTAAGACATGGTCTTCTAACACTATAGAAGATTGTTGACCTAGCGTATCAGGTTAATAGTCTTTTTTTTTTTTTGTCCCAAAAAGTTAGTTTTATTAGTTTTAAACCAAACTGTTACAACAGTGGAGGAATCCACAACAAAAGCATATTAGTTACAACATTATTACAAAGATTTTCAACGGAGAGTAAACTTGGATCATCTCTGTAACTTCTTTTGCGAGAGTAACTAATATGAGAGATCACTGTAAGCATCCAGCTTATGACCATCTTCAAAAAACCTTGTCCTTTCATCTGATACCTAAACTTCAGCACTTATACTATAGCCAAACCACAACAATCACTGTGCAAGTAAACTAAACTAAAGCTGAAACATCACTAGATATACTACACCAACACACAACAACCTTCAAAGTAAGTAGATTAAACTACCAAACACTAAAACTAGCAGCTGCAACTGAGCTTGCATAGGCCAAAAAGTGTGACAGAATGTTCATTGAGTAAAATTATCATAGCTTCAGATGTGTTTTACCTTTTCTTATGAGGGAGTTGCCTTTCTAAGATCTTAGGACCTTGGGACTTTTGCTTCTGGTTTCTCTCTGTTCCCTGTGTTGATGAACTTGAACTCTTTCTTTTTGAAGACTCACCAAATTTGTAAATCCCACAGAAGGAACTCGTCCATCCGAGTTTAGGCTGCCAGTAGAGGGCACTGAGAGATGGCTTCCTCGTGCAGCAAATTGAGTCCCAGGGACAGTAAAAACCTCAGGTTAATAGTCAATTAGTATTTATTTACAGTAGAAAATGAACCAAGGAATTTTGACACTGCGTGTCGTTCTGATCAAATAAGGACATACAAACTGTGTGACGTTTCAGAATTAGTGACTAGCCACGTTGTTGGTCACCCCGCTAAAAAAGTCAATGCGAGACTTTTGTTTTACATGAGAGAAGAAGGAAACAGAAAATGGCTTTTAACTAAAAAATATCTGATGAAAAGCCTAAACTAGAATTTTCTCAATTAGAGATTTCCCAAAATCACAAATGACATCAACTTGTTTGTTTGTTGTTGCTTATCAAGATTTGGTGTTGTGGCTTTTGTGTTATTTCTTTTGGTGAGAATGTGTGCCGCTCTGATTTATGTTAACAATGGAACTCCACGACGTTTTCTGCTTGGAAAAGAGCCACGACCGTTGTTGAAGATATGACGGCTTGTCGTGGATGTCCTCCGAGTAATTGGTTTACTTAAATTGAAGAACTTCGATTTCTGAATGACCATCTTGTTTCAGAGACATCAATTACAAGGTAGATTCTGACATGATGGAAATTGAAATTTGGATTAGTGCACATGTATAGTGTGTTGGGATTGACATTTATGTAATTGTTGGTTATGCACCTATGACATTTATATGCATGATACAACTACTCAAATAACAATGTGTGCCGTTTTGAATTTATGTAAACCATGTCCTTCGTTTTGAATACGATTCCATCATGGAAAAGCAAACTTAGGAATTCCCATGTTTCAAAAGTCAATGCATCCATAGAAAAAGTAATATATATGATCGAATTAAGAACTGTTGTGTGTGCTTTAGCACTAACTATGTTGTAATTAAAAGCTAATCAAGCTTTAGCCGACAAAAGAAAAGAAGAAGCTTACTGATTCTCTCCATTGTCACGAAAAGAATCTGTCTTTCAAACTTATTTTAACGTTTACGTTTACGGTTTGTATAAGAGCCATGTCCATTGTTTTTGCTATAGTATAATCTCTCCCTTCGGATTCACGTAAAGAATTTCTCTGCACCCTTTCCATCTTTCAAAAATTGATTTCGAAGAGGAAAGAATCGGAGATGTTGAAGACCGGTGATGTTTCTGATCGGCGTTCGAGGCTCGAGTGGGATGTATTCCTCAGCTTCCAAAGAGAGACTAGCCACAAATTCACAGAGCGTCTCTATGAAGTGCTCGTCAAGGAACAGGTCCGGGTTTGGCACGATGATGTGGAACGCGGGAATCATGAGCTTGGTGCAAGTCTCCTGGAAGCTATGGAGGACTCAGCCGCCTTAGTCGTCGTCTTATCTCCTAACTATGGTAAATCTCACTGGTGTCTTGAAGAATTAGCCATGCTCTGTGATCTAAAATCGTCATTGGGTCGTCTGGTGCTACCGATCTTTTACGAGGTTGAACCGTGTATTTTTCGTAAACAGAACGGTCCTTACGAGATGGATTTTAAAGAACATTCGAAAAGATTTAGCGAGGAGAAGATACAGCGATGGAGGAGAGCTATGAATATAATCGGAAATATTCCTGGATTTGTTTACAGGTACAACACTCCAATATCTTCATCTCTTAATCTTATTCCTCACGCAACCTCTACATTTATAATCTTTTTGACATATACTTGTTATCTTAAATTTTAATTAGGTTATTATATGATAATCTTGAGTAAGGAGACATGATCTTGAACACTAAGTAAATAGTTTTTAGTTTTTTCGAAGAAGAAAATGAACAAAGGATTTTTAACACTGCGTGTCGTTGTGATCGAATAAAGACATAAAAACTGTGTGACGTTTCAGAATTAGTGACTAGCCACGTTGTGTTGGTTACAGCACTAAAAAGTCAATGCAAGACTTTTGTTTTACATGAGAGAAGAAGGAAACAGAAAATGGCTTTTTAACTAAAAAATATCTGATGAAAAGCCAAAACTAGAAATTTCTTAATTAGGGGTTTCCCAAAATCGCAACCTTCGTCTTCACCGTGTGTAGTCAAAAATTGTAATCCAGTTTCTGGTAACTTCTTCGATCGTGATTGCGAAATTGAGCTATCGATTGCTACTCAGAGTTGACTAAGAAGGAGGGGGAGATCGGAGATGGAATCTGAGGTTGTTCCGAAGCCGCATAGGCTCAAGTATGACGTCTTCCTCAGTTTCCGAGGCGCAGACACGCGCAAGCAGTTTGCAGGGCCTCTCTATGAAGCCCTCATGAAAAAAGTTCGGGTCTTCCTCGACGACGATGGTATGGAACGCGGAGATGAGATCGGTTCAAGTCTTCAGGCAGGAATGGAGGACTCTGCGGCTTCCGTCATCGTCTTATCGCGTAACTACGCTAACTCTCGCTGGTGCCTTAATGAATTAGCTATGCTCTGCAAGTTGAAATCATCTCTGGATCGTCGGATGTTGCCCATTTTTTATAATGTCGATCCCTCGCATGTTCGCAAACAGAGCGATCATATTGAGGCTGATTTTAAAAGACACGAAGAAAGATTTAAGAAGGAGAAGGTACAAGAATGGAGAAAAGCTATGGAATTAGTTGGAAATCTTGCTGGATATGTTTGCGAGTAGGACTCCACATCTCATTTCTTGTTCTATTCGTCTTATTTACAATCTCTGCATTTAGAATCATGTGGACATTAGAAGATGAATTGAATTTAGGATGTGACTTTGTTTTTTTCCTTGGAATTTTGCAGCGAGGGCTCGAATGAGGATGAGATGATAGAGCTTGTGGTGAAAAGGGTTTTAGCTGAATTGAGCAATACACCAGAGAAAGTGGGAGAATTCATTGTTGGTCTGGAATCACCTATACAGGATTTGATGAAGCTGTGCAATACTGAATCCAGTTCTGGCGTCCAAGTCCTGGGACTTTATGGTATGGGTGGTATTGGGAAGACTACCCTTTCAAAAGCCTTTTATAACAAGATTGTCGGAAACTTCAAGCAACGAGCTTTCATCTCAGACATTAGGGAAAGATCATCAGCTGAAAATGGGTTAGTCAGTCTTCAAAAAACTCTCATCAAGGAACTTTTCCGTTTGGTACCTGAAATAGATGATGTTAGCAGAGGCCTGGAAAAGATAAAGGAAAATGTTCATGATAAGAAGATTATTGTGGTTTTAGATGATGTTGATCACATAGACCAGGTTAATGCCTTGGTTGGTGAAACAAGATGGTATGGTCAAGGAACTCTTATAGTCATCACTACCAGAGATTCTGAGATTCTGAGTAAGCTCTCAGTAAACCAACAGTATGAGGTCAAGTGCTTGACTGAGCCGCAGGCGTTGAAGCTCTTTAGTTATCATTCACTACGAAAAGAAGAACCAACAAAGAATCTGTTGGGGTTATCCAAGAAGATTGTCCAGATATCGGGACTCTTGCCGCTGGCGGTTGAAGTGTTTGGATCTCTTTTGTATGACAAGAAGGAGGAAAAAGATTGGCAAACGCAACTGGATAAGCTGAAAGGTACCCAACCAGGCAATCTTCAGGATGTTCTGGCACTGAGTTTCAAATCTTTAGATGATGAAGAAAAGAAAGTATTCCTCGACATTGCATGTCTCTTTCTTAAAATGGAGATAAAAAAAGAAGAAGTTGTCATTGTACTGAAAGGATGTGGGTTAAACGCTGAGGCTGCTCTCAGTGTCCTCAGACAGAAATCTCTTGTTAAGATCTTGGCAGACGATACTCTTTGGATGCATGATCAGATTAGAGACATGGGTAGGCAGATGGTCCTTAAAGAAAGCGTTGAGTATCCTGAAATGCGAAGTAGACTATGGGATCGTGGTGAAATTATGACCGTATTGAACAATATGAAGGTATTTTATCTACAGTTATATATCATTTGTATTGACTTACATACTCATGATCTGTGTTTTTTTTTTCCTTACAGGGAACATCATCCATTCGAGGAATAGTACTTGACTTTAAAAAGAAGTTTGCGAGGGACATGACTGCAGATGAAATTGTCTCGAGGAATCTACGCAACAATCTGGGTATCAACTCTGTATTCAATTACCTGAAGAATAAATTTGTAGGATTTCCAGCAGAGGAAAAGCCAAAAAGTTCTGAAATCACCATTCCCGTAGAATCTTTTGCACCAATGACGAAGTTGAGACTTCTTCAGATTAATAACGTGGAACTGGAAGGAAATCTTAAAATTCTCCCATCTGAACTCAAGTGGATTCAGTGGAAAGGTTGCCCCTTAGAAAATCTCCCTCCGGATTTTCTTGCTAGGCAACTTTCTGTTCTTGATCTTTCAGAGAGTGGAATAAGAAGAGTCCAGACTTTGCGCAGCAATAGGGTAAGCTTTCTTATTTCCTATAGCATGCGGAAGCATATAGTTTTAAGTTAAAGTCTCACTGTTAGAACAATTCTCCGTTTCTTTCAGGTGGATGAGAATTTGAAGGTTTTAATTTTGCGTGGTTGCCACAGCTTAGAAGCCATTCCTGATTTATCAAACCATGAAGCCCTAGAGAAGCTTGTTTTCGAGCAATGCACGCTTCTGGTGAAAGTTCCTAAATCAGTTGGTAATCTGAGAAAATTGCTTCATCTGGACTTCAGCAGGTGTTCAAAGCTTTCTGAATTTCTTGTGGATGTTTCTGGACTTAAGCGTCTTGAAAAACTTTTCCTCTCTGGCTGTTCAGATCTGAGTGTGTTACCAGAAAACATTGGTGCCATGACAAGCTTGAAAGAGCTTCTTCTTGATGGAACTGCTATAAAGAACTTACCAGAATCCATAAATCGCCTCCAAAATCTTGAAATCCTTAGTCTAAGTGGTTGCAGATATATTCAAGAGCTACCTTTGTGCATAGGAACATTGAAATCACTGGAGAAGCTATATCTTGATGATACTCCATTGAAAAATCTTCCGAGTTCTATTGGAGATCTGAAAAATCTCCAGAACCTGAGTTTGGTGCGCTGCACATCCCTTTCTAAGATTCCTGACAGTATCAATGAGCTCAAATCATTGAAGAAACTATTCATCACCGGAAGCGCGGTGGAGGAGTTACCTCTAAAACCGAGCTCACTGCCAAGTTTGACTGACTTCTCAGCAGGAGATTGCAAATTTCTGAAACATGTTCCGAGTTCAATTGGTGGATTAAATTCTCTTCAACAACTTCAGTTGGATAGTACCCCAATTGAAACTCTACCAAAAGAGATTGGAGACTTGCATTTTATTCGCCAACTTGGGTTGAGAAACTGCAAATCTCTGAAGTTTCTGCCTAACTCAATCGGAAATATGGACACACTCAATAGCTTAAACCTTGAAGGCTCTAACATTGAGGAACTGCCGGAAGAATTTGGCAAGCTGGAAAATCTAGTTGAACTGCGAATGAGCAACTGTAAAATGCTCAAGAGGCTTCCTGAATCGTTTGGAGACTTGAAATCTCTTCACCGTCTGTACATGAAGGAAACTTTGGTCTCAGAGTTGCCAGAAAGTTTCGGAAACCTCTCAAAGTTAATGGTACTGAAAATGCTGAAGAAGCCTCTTTTTAGAATTTCTGAGAGTAATGCTCCAGGTACAAGCGAAGAACCTCGTTTTGTAGAAGTACCAAACTCTTTTTCAAACCTCACGTCACTTGAGGAACTAGATGCTCGCAGCTGGAGAATATCTGGTAAAATCCCGGATGATCTTGAGAAGCTTTCGTCTTTGATGAAACTGGATCTGGGGAATAATTATTTTCACAGTCTTCCGTCTAGCCTTGTTGGGTTATCAAATCTCCAAGAACTTTCATTACGTGACTGCCGAGAGCTCAAGCGTCTTCCCCCTCTTCCATGTAAACTGGAGCATCTAAACCTGGCAAACTGCTTCTCATTGGAGAGTGTATCCGACCTTTCAGAGTTAACGATCTTGGAGGATCTCAATCTCACAAACTGTGGGAAAGTGGTTGATATTCCAGGCCTAGAGCACTTGATGGCTCTGAAAAGATTATACATGACCGGATGTAACTCCAACTACTCCCTTGCAGTAAAGAAAAGACTTTCCAAGGTGATTCCAAGAACTTCACAAAATCTCAGGGACTGTTAAAATTTTGCTTACATCTCTTTTGAACTGTCACTGCAGGCTTCTTTGAAATTGCTGCGGAATCTGAGCTTACCTGGAAACAGGGTCCCGGACTGGTTCTCACAAGGCCCTGTCACATTCTCAGCTCAACCGAACAAAGAGCTCAGAGGCGTAATCATTGCTGTTGTTGTGGCTCTTAACGATGAAACCGAAGATGACGACTACCAGCTGCCTGATGTGATGGAGGTTCAAGCCCAAATTCATAAACTTGATCATAACGTATGCACCAACACATTGCATCTCCAAGGAGTGCCTAGAACAAGTAATGATCAACTCCACATCTGCCGCTTCTCAGCTTTTCACCCACTGGTTACGATGTTGAAAGACGGGTACACCATACAGGTGATCAAACGAAACCCACCAATTAAACAAGGCGTTGAGCTAAAGATGCATGGGATTCATCTGGTTTACGAGGGGGACGATGATTTGGAAGGTAGAGAAAATACATTACCTGAGACTCAGCAAACCGTTTCTCAGAAACTTGCCAATTTTTTCAGCTCTTTCGAAGAAGAAGGTGAAACTAGCTCAGAAGTTGATTCTACTGTTACATGATCTGCTACCGCTGAGAAGTTAAGAAACTGCTGCACACAAACTGTTGCGACATGGTGATGTAGCGTGTCCAAACAGGATGTGGTGTTTTGGCTGTTGTTTCCTATTTTCAAACTTATTTGCTTCTTTAAGTTCGTTCCTTCTATGTTGTTTCGTAACCTGTGCTTTTATAATCAATAAAAAAAACAAAAAGAGGAAACTCTTGTTTCGCACAATTCTGCGCATTTTTTAAAACAAAAAACAAAATATCAACATGCATCCAACAAATTCAGTGTTACCTTTGCGATATCAAATACTTTCGTTTTGTCACTCACATGTGCTCGTTCTGTTTCTCATGCTCCAAGATACTTTCATAAAACTTTATAATGTTATAGTAGTTGCTCCATGATACATTTTCAATCAATTTGAAAAACCAAAAAGGAGGAAACTCTTGTTTTCCAATGATCTCAGGCATTCTTTAACAATCCAACAGAGAGTTGTGAACTGATGGCTTGGCTAGCGAGCATTGGAAGAATTCAGTTTGGTCAAAAATCAACTAGTTCGAGGCAGGGAAAGTGCATCTTTTATAATCACGATGGTGTGGATTTTTGTGGAAGACAGAAGCTTGTGGAAGAAGCCAAAACTTCCGGGGTTTAAGAATAGCCAAGAACAACTCGTTCACAGCCTAATAACCCCTACGTGTTTAAAGCTCTTGTCAATGTTTGGATGACATCATCTTATAAGAAATCAATTTTAGGAGCATCAATGTCATATATCCTTTTTGTCTTTCAAATTAGCAGTGTGTGCCGTTCTGATTTATGTTAGATATAGAACTGCGTGACGTTCTGGTTTGGAGAAGAGTTATATCCATTGTTTGGATTATATAAAACTCTTGCGTGTGATGTAACTAGAGATGTTAATATGGGCTAACCCACCCCATTTAGACCCACCCCATTTAAAACCCACCCCATTTAGACCCACCCCATTTAAACCCATTTAAGTTTACACCCCATTTAACCTCCCCATTTAAACCCATTTAAATTTCACTTTCCCATTTAAACCCATTTAGACCCATATAACATTGTTTTGTTCTAAACAATATAATATAATCAATAATTATTTTAATTGATTATTTATAATTTACAGATTATTTTATTAAATATAATTGATAAATAATGATATAACTGTTTTTATTATTTTGATGAAGAATAATATAATTTCAAAAAACGCAATTTTACGATTATGGTAAACCTGCAAAATCGCAAAATTGCGTTTTATCACCAAAAATTAATTTTCCATAAAATAGCGTTTTCCCGCCAAAATCGTAAACATGCGTTTTCCCGCCAAAAGCGTAAATCCGCGTTTTCCCGACAAAACCTTAAATCCGCATTTTCCCGCCAAAACCGTAAACCCGCGTTTTCCCGCCAAAACCGTAAACTCGCATTTTCCCGCCAAAACCGTAAATCCGCGTTTTCCCGCCAAAACCGTAAATCCGCGTTTTCCCGCCAAAACCGTAAATCCGCGTTTTCCCGACAAAACCGTAAACCCGCATTTTCCCGCCAAAACCGTAAACGTGTGTTTTCCCGCCAAAACCGTAAACTCGTATTTTCCCGCCAAAACCGTAAATCCGTGTTTTCCCGCCAAAACCGTAAATCCGCGTTTTCCCGCCAAAACAGTAAATCCGCATTTTCCCGCCAAAATCGCATAACCATGTTATAGAAGACGTGGTTTTACGTTTTGTTTTAAATATTTAAATCAAAAATTAAATTTAAGTAGAATATTAGTTTTACATATATTTAATATTTTGCTTTTTTATTTTAGTTATTAAGATATTAACATTTTTAATAAAAATAACTAATATAAAATGAAACATAAATGGGTTTAAATGGGTACCCATTTATTTGTGTGAAACCCCATTTAATAAATGGGTTTAATTGGGGTAACCCATTTAACCCCATTTAACATTTTTCCCTAAATGGGTTTAAATGGGTTAATTTTTTTTGTACATACCCATTTAATAAATGGGGGTTCCATGCCCAAGTTAACATCACTAGATGTAACACTAAAGTATATAGACTCACGTGAAGAGTTTCTGCATTCTTTGAGGCGTTGAATTTCAAACTCGATTTCGAAAAAGAAAGATCGGAGATGATGAAGACCGGTGCCTATGTTTCCAATCCACGTTCGAGGGTCAAGTGGGACGCATTCCTCAGTTTCCAAAGAGACACGAGCCACAATTTCACGGATCGTCTCTATGAAGCGCTCGTCAAGGAAGAGCTCCGGGTTTGGAACAATGATGTGGAACGTGGAGATCATGATGAGCTACGTCCAAGTCTCGTGGAGGCTATAGAGGACTCGGTGGCTTTTGTCGTCGTCTTATCTCCTAACTACGCTAACTCTCATCTGTGCCTGGAAGAATTAGCTAAGCTCTGCGATCTAAAATGTCTGGTGTTACCGGTCTTTTATATGGTCGAACCATGGGACGTTAAGACACAGAACGGTCCTTTCGAAAAGGATTTTGAAGAGCATTCCAAAAGATTTGGCGAGGAGAAGATACAACGATGGAAGGGAGCTATGGCTTTAGTCTAAAATATCTCCGGATTCATTTGCAGGTATGTATGACTTCAATTTCTCATCTTTATACAAGTAAATATCATAAGTTTGGTAGATACCTTGACATATACTACTACATCATCATTTAAAACGTCTAAGCATTGAGGCATTTTCTTGGCACCTTAAGTTGGTAATAATGATTAGTTGATCTGGCTGTTCCATTCTTTATTTGAAAGATTGAATATTTCTGTTTTCAGATCTTTATGTTTTTTGAAATCATCTCTTCCATTCATCCTTAACTAGGACTCTGGTTCTCTTATTGCCTTTCAAATACTAAAGCCAAGTTTTTGTTCAAAGATGAAATCTCTATGGGTAACTAGGTCCTCGACAAAATATTCGTTAGATTCTCGTTGATCCGTTATTTGCTTTGATTCGATTTGAAAAATCCGGATACATGTGACTCTGCGAGTCAAATCAAAATACGAAAAATTAATATCCGTTAAAATGTAAGCAAATCACAAATACTAAAATTTTAAGAGATGATATCCGCTCCGCCCATTATTATTCATATATATAAGTTTTATGAATCTTTATCCAACAAATAAGTTATTTAAATATTAAGTTTTAAACAAATACAGAAATTTTTTTTAATAAAATGTTGCTATATTTGGCTTAAATTTTGATTTTTAACAGTTTTCTGATTTGTATAATTATTTGAAAATTTTTATGAAGTAATTCGGATCCGGTAAGTAATCCAGATTTTAGCGGATAATGATCGAAAAAGTGATTATCTGGACCGAGCGGATCCATGATATCACTAAAATCCGGGATATCATTTTTGTGGCAAGGTACTAATTAATCAAGCTTAGAGTAAAAATATGAGTCAATGAATTGGACACTGCGTGTCGTTCTGATTGACTATAGACAGAACTGTGTGGCGTTTCAGCGATTAGGTTTAAAGGCCATTTCACGTTAGTCAAAAAAGTCAAATGCGAAGTTTTTTTTTTTTCTTTTTTTTTTCTTTTTTTTCTTTTTTTTGTGCCATGAGAAGTGTTGACCAAAAAATAAAAAGTACAGAAAGTATCCAAAATCGAAAAGCTTCGTCATCGTCGTCTAGTCAAGGGATCGTCGTGATGTGATTCTGGAGACACATCTTCGATCGTGGTTTAGAGTCTGGAGATAATTTCGAATCCGAGAATCGATAGCGCCATGAAGTGATTTTGCTGGAGATCCAATTAGAGATGGAGACTGGCGTTGCTCCGCATAGGCTCAAGTTCAGCGTCTTTCTCAGCTTCCGAGGATTCGACACGCGCGCCAACTTCTGTGAGCGTCTCTATGTCGCTCTCAACGAAAAGCAAAATGTGCGGGTCTTCCGCGACAACGAGGGTATGGAAAAAGGGGATAAGATCGATCCAAGTCTATTCGAAGCCATTGAGGACTCGGCTGCCTCCGTCATCGTCTTATCCAAGAACTACGCTAACTCTGCCTGGTGCCTAAATGAATTAGCTTTGATCTGCGAGCTTAGATCATCTCTCAAACGTCCCATGATACCTATCTTCTATGGAGTCAATCCCTCCGATGTCAGCAAACAGAGCGGTCATTTCGAGAAAGATTTTGAAGAAAAAGCGAAAACTTTTGATGAGGAGACGATTCAGCGATGGAAGCGAGCTATGAATTTAGTCGGAAACATCCCTGGATTTGTTTGCACGTAGTAGACTTAGACATACTCGATAACTTGAATTTTGGATTTAGCTGCTGTTTGTTGAAATTCTGTGTGTGTGTGTGTTTTTTTTTGTAGAGAAGAGACTGTTAAAGATGACAATGATGGCATAAACAGAGATAAAGTAGATGATATGATTGCGCTGGTGGTGAAAAAGGTTTTAGCTGAAGTGAGGAATAGACCAGAGAAAGTTGCAGACTACACTGTTGGCCTGGAATCTTGTGTGGAGGAAATGATAGATCTGCTCGACTTTGAATCCTCTTCTGGCGTTCAAATCCTGGGGCTTTATGGTATGGGTGGTATTGGCAAGACAACCCTCGCAAAATCCTTCTATAATAAGATCATTGTCAACTTCAACCGTCATCGAGTTTTCATCGAAAATGTTAGGGAAAAATCATCAGACCAAGATGGTTTAGTCAATCTACAAAAAACTCTCATCAAGGAACTTTTCGGTTTGGTACCTGGAATAGAGGATGTTAGCAGAGGCCTGGAAAAGATAAAAGAAAATGTTCATGAGAAGAAGATTATTGTTGTTTTGGATGATGTTGATCACATAGACCAGGTTAATGCGCTGGTTGGTGAAACAAAATGGTATGGTGATGGAAGTCTTATAGTCATCACTACCAGAGATTCTGAGATTCTGAGTAAGCTCTCAGTGAACCAACAGTATGAGGTCAAGTGCTTGACTGAGCCGCAGGCGTTGAAGCTCTTTAGTTTTTATTCACTAAGAAAAGAAAAACCTCCAACACAGAGTTTATTGGAGTTGTCCAAGAAGATTGCCGAGGTGACGGGACTGTTGCCACTGGCTGTTAAAGTGTTTGGTTCTCATTTGTATGACAAGGACGAAAACGAATGGCAAGTTGAACTAGAGAAGCTGACAAATACCCAACCAGACATACTTCACTGTGTTCTGGCTCTGAGTTTCGAATCTTTAGACGATGAAGAAAAGAAAGTTTTCCTCGACATTGCATGTCTCTTTCTCAAAATGGAAATAACAAAAGAAGAAGTTGTCGACGTACTGAAAGGATGTGGGTTTAAGGCCGAGGCTGCTCTCCGTGTTCTTATACAGAAATCTCTCGTTACAATCATGAAAGACGATACGTTGTGGATGCATGATCAGATCAGAGACATGGGTAGGCAGATGGTCCTTAAAGAATGCAGTGATGATCCTGAAATGCGGAGTAGACTCTGGGATCGTTGTGAAATAATGAACGTATTGGACTATATGAAGGTTATTTATATTTATATCTACAGTTATAAATCATTTGCATTTGACTTGCATACTCATGATCTGTTTTTTTCCCTGTAATGGAATGACAGGGAACATCATCCATCCGAGGAATCGTGTTTGATTTCAAAAAGAAGTTTGTGAGGGACCCTACTGCAGATGAAATTGTCTCGAGGAATCTACGCAACAATCCGGGTATCAACTCTGTGTGCAATTACCTGAGGAATATATTTATAAGATTTCGAGCAGAAGAAAAGCCAAAAAGGTCTGAAATCACCATTCCCGTTGAGCCTTTTGTACCAATGAAGAAGTTGAGACTTCTTCAGATTAATAACGTGGAACTGGAAGGAAATCTTAAACTTCTCCCATCTGAACTCAAGTGGATCCAGTGGAAAGGTTGCCCCTTAGAAAATCTCCCTCCGGATATTCTTGCTAGGCAACTTGGCGTTCTTGATCTTTCAGAGAGTGGAATAAGACGAGTCCAGACTTTGCCCAGCAAAAAGGCAAGCTTTCTTATTTCCAATAGCATGGGGAGTATATAGTTTCAGTTAGAGTCTCATTGCTAAAAATAATGATTTCTGCTTTTCAGGTTGATGAGAACTTGAAGGTTATAAATTTGCGTGGTTGCCACAGCTTAAAAGCCATTCCGGATTTGTCAAACCATAAAGCCCTAGAGAAGCTTGTTTTTGAGCGATGCAACCTTCTGGTGAAGGTTCCTAGATCAGTTGGTAATCTGAGAAAATTGCTTCAGCTGGACCTCAGAAGGTGCTCAAAGCTATCTGAATTTCTTGTGGATGTTTCTGGACTGAAGTGTCTTGAAAAACTTTTCCTCTCTGGCTGTTCAAATCTAAGCGTGTTACCAGAAAACATTGGTTCCATGCCATGTTTGAAAGAGCTTCTTCTTGATGGAACTGCGATAAGTAACTTACCAGACTCTATTTTTCGCCTCCAAAAGCTTGAAAAGCTTAGTCTAATGGGTTGCAGGTCTATTCAAGAGCTACCTTCGTGCGTAGGAAAATTGACATCGCTGGAAGATTTATATCTTGATGATACTGCATTGCGAAACCTTCCAATTTCTATTGGAGATCTAAAAAATCTCCAGAAGCTGCATCTGATGCGCTGCACGTCCCTTTCTAAGATTCCTGACACTATCAATAAGCTCATATCATTGAAGGAATTATTCATCAACGGAAGCGCGGTGGAGGAGCTACCTCTAGTCACCGGCTCACTGCTATGTTTGGAAGACCTCTCAGCAGGAGATTGCAAATCTCTGAAACAGGTTCCGAGTTCAATTGGTGGATTAAATTTTCTTCTCCAACTTCAGTTGAATAGCACCCCAATTGAATCTCTACCAGAAAAGATTGGAGACTTGCACTTTATTCGCCAACTTGAGTTGAGAAACTGCAAATCTCTGAAGGCTCTGCCTGAATCAATCGGAAAGATGGACACACTCCATAACTTATATCTTGAAGGCTCTAACATTGAGGAACTGCCGGAAGAATTGTGCAAGCTGGAAAATCTAGTTGAATTGCGAATGAGCAACTGTACAATGCTCAAGAGGCTTCCTGAATCGTTTGGAGACTTGAAATCTCTTCACCATCTGTACATGAAGGAAACTTTGGTCTCAGAGTTGCCAGAAAGTTTCGGAAACCTCTCAAATTTAATGGTACTGGAAATGCTGAAGACGCCTCTTCGTAGAAGTTCTGAGAGTGATGCTCCAGGTACAAGCGAAGAACCTCGTTTTGTAGAATTACCACACTCTTTTTCAAACCTCTTGTCGCTTGAGGAACTAGATGCTCGCAGCTGGAGAATATCTGGTAAAATGCGGGATGATCTTGAGAAGCTTTTGTCTTTGATGAAACTGAATCTGGGGAATAATTATTTTCACAGTCTTCCGTCTAGCCTTGTGGGGTTATCAAATCTCAAAGAACTTTCATTATGTGACTGCCGAGAGCTCAAGTGTCTCCCCCTTCTTCCGTGGAAACTGGAACAGCTAAACCTGGAAAACTGCTTTTCATTGGAGAGTATATCCGACCTTTCAAACCTAAAGATCTTGCATGAGCTCAATCTCACAAACTGTGTGAAAGTGGTTGATATTCCAGGCCTAGAGCACTTGACGGCTCTGAAAAAATTATACATGAGCGGCTGTAACTCCAGCTGCTCCTTTCCAAGAAAAGACTTCATACACATTGTAAAGAAAAGACTTTCTAAGGTGATTCCAAAAATTCCACAGAATCTCAATAAGTTGAATCTCAGGGTCTGTTAAAAACTTGCTTTTCTCATTGCAGGCTTCTTTGAAAATGCTACGGAATCTGAGCTTGCCTGGAAACAGGGTCCCGGACTGGTTCTCACAAGGCCCTGTCACATTCTCAGCTCAACCGAACAGAGAGCTCAGAGGCGTAATCCTTGCTGTTGTTGTGGCTCGTAACCATGAAATTGGAGATGACTACCAGAAGCCTAATGTGGTGGGAGTTCAAGCCCAAATTCTCAAACTTGATCTACCCCTATTCACCCACACATTACACCTCTCTGGAGTGCCTAGAACTAGTGATGATCAACTCCACATCTGCCGATACTCAGCTTTTCACCCAATGGTTACGATGTTGAAAGACGGGTACACCATACAGGTGATCAAACGAAACCCACCAATGGAAAAAGACGTTGAGCTAAAGATGCATGGGATTCATCTTGTTTACGAGGGGGATGATGATTTTCCAGACAAAGAAGATACAATAACCGAGACTTATTTAACCGTTTCTCAGAAACTTGCCAATTTTTTCAGCTCTTTCGAAGAAGAAGGTGAAACCAGCTCAGAAAGTGAATCTACTGTTACATGATCTGCTACCAAAGAGAAGTTAAGAAACTCTGCGCACAAACTGTTACGACATGGTGATGTAGCGTGTCCAAACAGGATGTTGTCTTTTGGCTGTTGTGTTCATCTTATTAACCATTCTCTTTTTCTCATTGTCACCTATTTTCAAACTCATTTGCTTCTTTAAGTTCGTTCCTTCTATGTTGTTTCTTAACCTTTGCTTTTATAATCAATAAGAAAACCAAAAAGAGGAAACTCTTGTTTCCCACAATTCTGCGCATTTGAAAAAACAAAAAATCAACATGCATCCAACAAATTCAGTGTTACCTTTGCGATATTAATACTTTCGCTTTGTCATTTACTCACATGTGCTCGTTCTGTTTCTCATGCTCCAAGATACTTTCATAAAACTTTATAATGTTATAGTAGTTGCTCCATGAAACATTTTCAATCAATTTAAAACACCAAAAAGGGGGAAACTCTTGTTTTCCAATGATCTCAGGCATTCTTTAACAATCCAACAGAGAGAGTTGTGAACTGAAGGCTTGGCTAGCGAGCATTGGAAGAATTCAGTTTGGTCAAGAATCAACTAGTTCGAGGCTGACTACAAGGGAAATTGCATCGATGGTGTGGATTTTTGTGGAAGACAGAAGCTTGTGGAAGAAGCCAAAACTTCCGGGGTTTAAGAATAGCCAAGAACAACTGGTTCAGCCTAATAACCCCTACGTGTTTAAAGCTCTTGTCAATGTTTGGATGACATCATCTTATAAGAAATCAATTTTAGGAGCAGCAATTTCATATATCATATATGAATATAATTTTTAATCTTGAGCTTAATGATGATTTGTTTAATCTTTGAATATATTTTATAATCTTTTTCTTTTGACGGCTTCAATCAATCTTTAAAAAAGTCAATGCATAGAAAAGAATAGAATAAAACCTGTTGTGTGAGTGCTTTAGCACTAACGAAAAAGAAGAACATGTGTATCCTTTTCTGATTAGCAGTGTGTGCCGTTCTGATTTATGATAGATATAGACATATAGTATAACTGCGTGACGTTCCGGTTTGGAGAAGAGTCATATCCATTGTTTGGGATTATATAAAACTCTTGCGTGTAATGTAACGCTAAACTCTATAGACTTTAAACTAATACTAGAACTTCTTAACTGATCAATCACGTGAAGAGTATCTGCATTCTTTGAGGCGTTGACTTTCAAACTCGATTTTGACGAAGAAAGATCGGAGATGATGAGGACCGGCGCCTCTGTTTCCAATCCACGTTCGAGGGTCAAGTGGGACGCATTCCTCAGTTTCCAAAGAGACACGAGCCACAATTTCACGGATCGTCTCTATGAAGCGCTCGTCAAAAAAGAGCTCCGGGTTTGGAACGATGATGTGGAACGTGGGGATCATGATGAGCTACGTCCAAGTCTCGTGGAGGCTATAGAGGACTCCGTGGCTTTTGTCGTCGTCTTATCTCCTAACTACGCTAACTCTCACCTGCGCCTTGAAGAATTAGCTAAGCTCTGCGATCTGAGATCATCCCTGGAACTTCTGGTGTTTCCGATCTTTTACGAGGTGCAACCATGGGAGGTTCGGACACAGAACGGTCCTTTTGAACAAGATTTTGAGGAGCATTCGAAAAGATTTGGCGAGGAGAAGATACAACGATGGAAGGGAGCTTTGACTTTAGTCGGAAATCTCTCTGGTTTAATTTACGGGTATGACTTTAATCTCTCATCTCTAATCATAATTACTGAATTTATTATCTTTTTTATTTCAAGTAATATTATAATTTTGGTAAATACATTATTTGTCATATACATCTCTCATCTAAAGACAAAAGGGTGTTTTGTGCATAGTAGCTCTTCTTTTCTTTACTTGGATCTTTCTGTTTCTTGAAACCATCTCTTCCTTTCATTTCCTATGAGTCTATGGTACCAAGTAGGGATGGCACGGGATATTCGGGATCTTGGTGGTATTCATGATTCGATTCGTTTCATCCGAATAATTAGTTTTCCGATCCATATTTGATTCGTTAGTGATCGGATATTCGGCTGTTCGGATATCCGATAAAATCAGGACTATTTGTTGGATATTAGATCTGTTAATAATTTATTTTAAAATAATTAAAAAATTAATTAAAAAAAATAAAATCTAATCCAAAAATAGTAAAAGTTTATCAGAATAGTAATATTTTATCAGAAATACATATTTTTCTTTAATTGTTAGAACGAGTAGTTCAAATAATTAATTATGATTAGAAAATTATAAAACACTTAAGATTAGTAAAAGTTTAATTTAGTTATATATGTAATTATCTATCTATATATATATTTATATTCCAGAGCGGAACGGTTATAGTATTTGTGATTTGCTTCGCTTTTTATGAAACCAATTTTTAGTATTTAGTTTGCTTCGTAAAATTACAGATATCTAGAATTTTTAAATCAAATCGAATCGAATAACGATTTAAAGCGAATCTACCGGATATTCTATCAAGTAAGGAATTCTACAATGCGTGTCGTTCTAATTGACTATAGACAGAACTGTGTGGCGTTTCAGCGTTAGAGAAAAAGCTATTTTAGTCAAAACTCAAAAGTCAATAACGAGGATTTATTGAAAAAGGCATTTAGGAATTGAAAAAAAAAATCGAAAAGCTTCCCAAACCCAAAATCTTCTTCATCATCCGAGTGATTCTGGAGACTTTGTCGAAAGTGATTGCAGATAATTGCCCATGGAATCCCAGAAAGAATCGATTGGTGATGAGAAGTGATTGCAGAAGATCCGAGTTGAGATTTCGAAGAGCACAGAGTTTGTTGACTTATTGAAGGAGACCGGAGCTTGGAGATGGAGAATGGCGTTTTGCCGCATAGGCTCAAGTTCAACGTCTTTCTCAGCTTCAGAGGCTTCGACACGCGCAGCAACTTCTGTGAGCTTCTCTATGTCGCTCTCAACGCGAAGCAAAAGATCCGGGTCTTCCGCGACAACGAGGGTATGCAACGAGGGGATGAAATCAGTCCAACTCTCGACTTAGCCATGGATGACTCGGCGGCTTCCGTCATCATCTTATCCACTAACTACGCTAACTCTTCTTGGTGCCTAGATGAATTAGCTTTGCTCTGCGATCTTAGATCATCTCTGAAACGTCCCATGATACCTATCTTCTATGGAGTCAATCCCTCGGATGTTCGCAAACAGAGCGGTCATTTCGAGGAGGATTTTAAAGAACACGCGAAAGTTTTTGACGAGGAGAAGATACAGCGATGGAGGAGAGCTATGAATTTAGTCGGAAATATCCCTGGATTTGTTTTCACGTAGGGACTCCATATCTCACCATCTCTGGCTTTGTGAATCATGTAGTAGAATTGAATTTTGGTTGTGGCTGCTTGCTTTTTTGTTTTAAACTCTCTGGTGGTGGTTTTTTGGAACTTTGCAGAAAACCTACTGTTGAAGATGTCTTGGCTGGCAAAAACAGAGGGAAAGTGGATGAAATGATAGGGCTGGTGGTGAAAAGGGTTTTAGCTCAAGTGACGAATTCACCAGAGAAAGTGGCTGACTACACTGTTGGGCTGGAATCTTGTGTAGAGGATTTGATGAAGCTGCTCAACTTTAAATCCACTTCTCCTGTTCAGTTCTTGGGACTTTACGGTATGGGTGGTATTGGCAAGACAACCCTTGCTAAATACTTCTATAACAAGATCATTGTAAACTTCGACCATCGAGCAATCATCTATAACGTTAGAGAACAATCATCAACCCAAGATGGCTTAGACGATCTGAAAAGAATTTTTAACAGTAAACTTTACCAAGGAGAAGTTGCTCGTGAGAAGAAGATTATTGCGGTTTTAGATGATGTTGATAACATCGACCAGGTTAAAGTGCTCGTTGGTGAAACAAGCTTGTATGGTCGAGGAAGTCTAATAGTCATCACTACCAGAGATGAAGAGATTCTGAGTAGGCTCTCAGTGAACCTACGATATGAGGTCAAGTGCTTGACTGAGATGCAGGCATTGAAGTTGTTTTGTTATTATTCACTACGAAAAGAAAAACCACCAACAGAGAGTCTATTGGAGTTGTCCAAGAAGAGTGTCGAGTTAACAGGACTGTTGCCACTAGCAGTTAAAGTGTTTGGTTCTCATTTGTATGACAAGGAGGAAAACGAATGGCAAGTTCAACTAGAGAAGCTGAAATTTTTCCAACCAGACAAGCTTCAGGGTGTTCTGGCGCTGAGTTTTGAATCTTTAGACGATGAAGAAAAGAAAGTATTCCTCGATATTGCGTGTCTCTTTCTCAGAGTGAAAATAACAAAAGAAGAAGTTGTCGACATACTGAAAGGATGTGGGTTTCAGGCTGAGGCTGCTCTCAGTGTCCTCAGACAAAAATCTCTCATTAAGATAAAAGACAATAATCTTTGGATGCATGATCAGATTAGAGACATGGGTAGGCAGATGGTCCTTAAAGAAAGCAGGGAGGATCCTGGAATGCGAAGTAGACTCTGGGATCGTGGTGCAATTATGACCATATTGAACAATATGAAGGTAATTTTATCTACAGTTATATATCAGTTCTATTTGACTACATTGTCATGATTGTTTATTTCCTGTAATGGATAACAGGGAACGCCATCCATCCGAGGAATCGTATGTGACTTTGAAAAGAAGTCTGCAGATGAAATTGCTTCGAGGAGTCTACACAACGATCCCGCAGAGGAAAAGCCAAAAAGTTCTGGAATCATCATTCCCGTAGAGCCTTTTGTACCAATGACGAAGTTGAGACTTCTTCAGATTAATAATGTGGAACTGGAAGGAAATCTTAAACTTCTCCCATCTGAACTCAAGTGGATACAATGGAAAGGTTGCCCGTTAGAAAATCTCCCTCTGGATTTTCTTTCTGGGCAACTTGCTGTTCTTGATCTTTCTGAGAGTGGAATAAGACAAGTCCAGAGTTTGCGTAGCGAAGAAGTAAGGCTTTCTTATTTCCCCTATACTGGGTAAGTATATAGTTTGAGTCATAAAGACTCCTTGCTAAAAATAGTTATTTCTGCTTTTCAGGTTGATGAGAACTTGAAGGTTGTAAATTTGCGTGGTTGCAACAGATTAGAAGCCATTCCTAATTTATCAAACCATAATGCCCTAGAGAAGCTTGTTCTCGAGCGATGCAAACTTCTGGTGAAGGTTCCTAGCTCAGTTGGTAATATAAGAACATTGCTTCAGCTGGACCTCAGAAACTGTTCAAGTCTTTCTGAATTTCTTGTGGATGTTTCTGGACTGAAGCATCTTGAAAAACTTATCCTCTCTGGCTGTTCAAATCTGAGTGTGTTACCAAAAAACATTGGTGCTATGCAATGTTTGAAAAAGCTTCTTCTTGATGGAACTGCGATAAAGAATGTACCAGAATCTATTTATCTCCTCCAAAATCTTGAAAAACTTAGTCTAAGAGGTTGCAGATCTATTCGAGAGCTACCTTCATGCGTAGGAACATTGACATCACTGGAGAAGCTATATCTTGATAATACTGCATTGCAAAATCTTCCGAATTCTATCAAAAATCTAAAAAATCTCCAGAAGCTGCATTTGAGGCGCTGCACATCCCTTTCTGAGATTCCTGACACTATCAATGAGCTCATATCATTGAAGGAATTAGTCATCAACAGAAGCGGGGTAAAAACGGTACATCTAAAATCAGGCTCATTGCCATGTTTGACTGACTTTTCAGCAGGAGATTGCAAAAATCTAAAAGAGGTTCCGAGTTCAATTGGTGGATTAAATTGTCTTCTCCAATTGACGTTGGATAGGACCCCAATTAGTACTCTACCAGACAACATTGGTGACTTGCAATTTATTCTCAAACTTGACTTGAGGGGCTGCGAATATCTGAAAGTCCTGCCTAACTCAATCGGAGCTATGGATACACTTCGTAAGTTATACCTGGAAGGTTCTAACATTAAGGAACTACCGGAAGATTTTGGCAATCTGGAAAACCTTGTCTTACTCCAAATGAACAAGTGTAAAATGCTCAAGGGGCTTCCTAACTCATTTGGAAACTTGAAATCCCTTCACCATCTATACATGGAGGAAACTTTGGTCATGGAGTTGCCAGAAAGTTTCGGTAACCTCTCAAATTTAAGGGTATTGAAAATGCTGAAGAAGCCTCTTTTTAGAAGTTCTGAGAGTTATCCTCCACGTACAAGCGAAGAAACTCGTTTTGTAGAATTACCAAACTCTTTCGCAAACCTCTTGTTGCTTGAGGAACTGGATGCTCGCAGTTGGGGAATATCGGGTAAAATCCCAGATGATCTTGAGAAGCTTTCATCTCTAATGATACTGAACCTGGGGAATAATTGTTTTCATAGTCTTCCGTGTAGTCTCAAGGGGTTGTCAAATCTCATAGATCTTTCATTGTATGACTGCCGGGAGCTCACATGTCTTCCCCCTCTTCCATGTCAACTAGAGAAGCTAAACCTTGCAAACTGCTTTTCATTGGAGAGTATATCCGACCTTTCAGAGCTGACTATCTTGCACGACCTCAATCTCACGAACTGTGTGAAAGTGGATGATGTTCCAGGTCTAGACAAGTTGACGGCTCTGAAACGATTATATGTGAGCGGCTGTAACTCCACCTGCTCCCTTGCAGTAAAGGAAAAACTGTCCAAGGTGATTCTCCAAACTTCTTATAATCTCAATTAGTTGAATTTCAGGATGTGGTAACAACTTACTTGCAATGTTTGTGAACTTCTCATCACAGGTTTCTTTGAAAATGCTGCGGAATCTGAGCTTGCCTGGAGACAGAATCCCAGGCTGGTTCTCACAAGGCCCTGTCACGTTCTCAGTTCAACCGAACAGAGAGATCAGGGGCGTAATCTTTGCTGTTGTTGTGGCTCTTAACCATGAAAAAGATAACTACCAGCTGCCTGATGTGGTGGATGTTCAAGTTCAAATTCTGGAACTTGACCTAGCGTTATACACCCACACATTGCACCTCTCTGGAGTGCCTAGCACAAGTAATGATCAGCTCCACATCTGCCGTTACTCAGCTTCGCACCCAATGGTTAGGACGTTAAAAGACGGGTACACTGTACAGGTGATCAAACGAGAAAAACCACACAAACAAGGCGTTGAGCTAAAGATGAGTGGGATTCATCTGATTTACGAGGGGGATGATGATATTTCAGGTGATGAAGATTTCTTAAACGAGACACAGCAAACCGTTTCTCAGAAACTTTCCAAAATTTTCAGCTCTTGAAAGGTGAAGCCAGCTAAGAAAGTAAATCTACTGTTATATGATCTGCTACCGCAGAGAAGTTAAGAAACTGCACACAATCAATCGTATCGATACAAACTGTTTGTTGCTCATATAAAAGTGTTTTGGCTTTTGTGTTTTTTTTTTTCTTTCTTTTTACGTATTTTTCTCCTTAGAGGAACTCTTGTTTCCCAATTTTTTGAGAGTTCAACGGATTTGTGAAGATTTGAAATTCAACAGGTGATCTAGGTTTTCACTTTTCACTAAGCGCTGCTCGTTGTTAACCGATAAGCTCCCTTGGTCTATCAGCTTCGATGAATAACAAATAATTTTATCTTTTTTACCTAACTGTGTAATTGTGTATTATTAAAGAAACCCCTGAAATTGAGCTCTGTTTCAACATTGACATTACTCTATTGGGATGAAAGAACAATTTGAGTCAAATAGTGATAACATTTTGACTTGGAGACTCTGAAGAGTGAAGAGAATCGATTGGATAAAACTGATGTTGATTTGATCTTTGCCAGATTTAAATCACTCAATACATTGACTTTCACAGCTTGTCACTGTAACAAAGAAAAGAGAAACAGATTGTCAAAGGAAATGGTGACAAGACGATAGCAAGCATTATTCAAAGATGAGAAGTGGGGTCGAAGTTCATGTGTCTATGGCCAGGCGAGACGCAGACATCTCTAGATCTGCCTCAAACATACCGTTTCTTTTTAACTCTCTTGTCTTCTTATAAGCAAACCCCACATCTCATCCAAAAGATATCATCACAACAACACAACAAATTATTCATTGACCCTTTTTGACCATCCAAGACATTACTTCAAAGATAAAATCAACAGTCAAAAAACACATACTTCAATGATTCAACTCCAAGGCATAGAGCCGTTTCCAACCTAAGAAATTAAACCTAATGGCAAAGTAGGAGAGCAAGAAGAACTTGCTGGCTTTTGTACATACAATTATGAAATAAGACAGAAATCTTCTCATTTGATCAGAAGAGTTACATTTCAAAGAGTACATTGATGACCCAAACAATGTACAGAATTATACGGTAGGAGGATACAAGACAAACACGAGCACTGACATGGTTAAAAACTAAGAACAGTGGGGTAGGAACAAAGAATGAGATATAAAGATAAAAAAGGCTTTTGATACAAAGTAGATTTCTCATACCTTTTTAGCGCTTAAGCTGCCAAAAAACAGACTACTTTTTGGTAAGATACTCAAGGTTCTTGTTTGTTGAAGACCAATGGAAATTCATCGTAATGCTCAGAAACACCGTGCTTATCTGCCATGTTCTTCAAAGATTCATACACCTGAATCATCGTTGGCCTTTCTTTAGGCCTGGACACAACACAGCTACATGCGATTTTCAAGAACTGCAATATCTCCTCATCGTGTCCTTTATCACATATGCTTCTATCAATAGCGTCTTTGCTTCTACCAGTACCCAAATACTGACTCACCCAGTCAACTAAACTCCCTTTAAACCCTTCCACACCGTTAATAACAGACAAAGGCTTTTGCCCTGTAACCAATTCAAGAAGCACAATCCCAAACCCATACACATCTCCTTTCAAAGATGCAACCATGGTGCTCGAATATTCAGGCGCCACATAACCTAACTCCCCCAAATCCCCATTATTGAACGAGCTATCGTTCGAATCACGAGATCCAACTAGCCTTGCCAAACCGTAATCGGTTATCCGAGCATCAAAATCATCATCAAGAAGTATAACATTGGAACTAATGAACTGATGCAAATACGGCGGTTGGCATCCATGATGCAGCCAAGCTAACCCTTTAGCAGCTCCCACACCAATCGCAAGCCGAGTCGGCCAATCCAAAACAGCATCACACAATCCACCATTGTGCAACTGAGAAAACAACGTACCATTAGGCATATGCTTATACACCAACAGTCTCTCATCTTCCACAACACAATAACCTAAAAGCGGCACCAAATTCGGATGTCTAAGCTCTCCTAACCTATTCATCTCTGACCTGAACTGTTTCTCACCAAAACCACAAGCACTAAGCCTCTTCACCGCAAGCGCAGACCCATCAGGTAAATCCGCTTTATACGAAACCCCAGTCCTCGACGAAACATCGATATTCCCAGAACTAAAATTGTTTGTAGCAGCCATTAAATCACCCAATTTAATCTTCACAATAGGTTTCTGAAACAAAGTCACTTGAACAAGCTTATGTGACCTCAACAAACCAATCCAATCACTATCATCCTTAGATTTCCCAGCACCATAACCTTTCTTCTTCCTACTACCTTCTCTAATAAAGAACCACCAAAATATCACTAAACCAACACACAAAGATCCAACAGCTCCAATAACTCCAGCAACTATAATAATACTCAGATTCCTCCCATTCAACGCACCACATCTCGATAAAGGCTTCCCGCAAAGTCCGTCATTCCCGCTAAAATCGTCTCCTCCGAACCGCGCCAGCTCAGACGGAATCGTACCGGAGAGATCATTACCAGCAAGAGAAAGACGACGAAGCCGATCTAATCGACTCAACTGAGAAGGAATCGAACCAGAAAGCTTATTATCACTCAAAATCAAAGCGTTTAAGAACTTACACTCAACGATCTGAGTAGGAATCGAACCACCAAGCTTATTCCCAGATAGATCTAATGTAACGAGATAAGGAAGCCAAGAACAGATTTGAGAAGGAATCGAACCAGAGAGATCGTTTCCAGAGAGATCCAGAGATTGTAAACTACGACAAAGCTTAAGAGACTCAGGAATCTCACCGGCGAGCTGCATCGATTGAAGCTGAAGAGAAATAATCCGATTCTCTTTCTCGTTCCAGCAGGAAACACCAGTGAGCTTACAAATCGAAGAAGCTGAAGAGTTTGGGAAAGACCAAGAACTGAGTCTAGAAGAAGGATCGATGAGTGAGTTTTTCAAACCTTGGAGACAAAGAACGTCGTCTTCAGCTGAAGAAGAAGAACAGAGAAAGGAACTTATGAAGAGAAGCCATAAGAGTGTGATGAAGATCTTCTTCATGATAATGGATGGATCTAGTTTCTTCTTCTTAGGGTTTTTTCTCTTTGGTTAAAGCAGAGAGAGAGCTTCTATGGAGGAAGAAGAATGGTCATTGACTGTGTGATACTGTTGAGAGAAAAGAAAAAAAGAAACTTTTTTTTTGCTCTTTTGACTATTTTTTTTTTTAGTAACTTAAGTGGAAATTAGTATTTATCTTTTGTTTTTGTGTTTGTTTGGGAAAAAGAATCTTCTTATAAAACGACACCGTTTTGGAATAGCAAGTCTGAAGAGAAGCAGAGGATATATATGTCAGTCTAGTCTCCATGATGTTGCAATTGAAAGGGAAAGCTAATTTTTCAAACTACAATAACACTTTTTGGGTCAAGAATTTTTTTCATTTCTTGTATTGATAGGTTTGCCTAAACACAGCCATGGAATTTTAGAACCATGATTCTTTCTTTTACTCAACATATCAATTGATCAAATTTAAGTTTTTCCTCTATTGATAATGTGACTTAAATGGGATTCTTTTTGTGTGAAAGGTTGGTTGGCTGGTAATAATAAGTCACAAGAGTTTTGAACTTGTTATAAAGAAAAAGACAAAATATTTATAAAAAAAAAAAAAAAACAGACATCACTGGAACAAAAATGTGTTTCGGCCCATGGGCTTTTACACCATCTACTTTCAGCCCATATAAAAAGCCAAGATAATAAGGTCCGCCAGTTTTTCGTTGGCTCGAGACTAACCGTAGATAATAAGGTCCGCCAGTTTTTTCGTTGGCTCGAGACTAACCGTTGATAATTCATGCCTACATGGTAAATGCGTAAATCATCTTTTGTAGTGGAGACTCGAATTCAGAAGCAATAACAAGTTTTGTTCTTACAATCTTCCTCACAACTTTTCTTATGGATAAAAATAGCAAGAATGGCATCAACCAAACAAAGGATCAAAAGACTTAAACTCATATAAGAACAAGAAAAAGAAAGGATTTTGCAGTGTTACCGAAATTTACATATGTGGTAAACTCTAAGAAACAAAAGATTAGAAGCCATTTTCAATTCTCTCCCCCACCAATCAAAAAAAAAAATGAAGTAACAAAAGAAGGAAATATTAATGTAGATTTCGTATGTATCCTTGTCAAATGTAAATAAAATGTACACCTGCTGCTGAATCAGAAACCAACTAAAAGTTATTCTTGTTGTTGCCTCTGCCACGGCAAATAACCAGTCACTTGATCAGCGAAATTCGACAAAACCAAATCCTTCAATCCAGTATCCCACACTTCACAGAACCGTCGTTTCCAATCTGGCGGCTCGATTGCCTCTGTCCCGAGCCCTGGAGCTCGATCTTTAGACCCTTGATTTTGATTCTCTTGCCAGTCCACAACATAAGTAGCCACTCTTCTGTAAAACTTAGCTTTGAAAGTGTCCCAAACTTGGTACTTGTAGTGATTCACTACCGCAACACTCTCCACCAAACTCATATGCCCGACTCCTTCTTTCAACTGAAAATGATGAACTTCGTTGAGCAATGAGCTTGTGAGCAATTCAGGTCGGACTATCGACTTATGTCTCTCGGGATTCGCTTGTCTACAAGTGTACCCAACCGTCACGCCTTGAGATGGAACCGAGGTTAGACCAGACGGACCGTAGCTATGACAGTCCGTTCTGATCTCTCCAACGAGATCCCAAGAAGTGTAGTTCGACACAAGCGACTTCAAAGCATTTTTGCTCGGTAAGCCTTGAGAACGATACGTAGGGAAGTAGTAGAACTCGTCGACATCAAAGAATCCAACCCAATTACATTCTTCTTTCGCTCTAACCGCACAATGCGAAAAACCGGCTTCTTGAGTCTTGATCCAAGGCCAAACATGTCGACTCACATTGTAATTCTCCGAACTAAGCAACTCAATCTCCTCTTGTATACCATCATCGCTATTGTTATCATATATAAACCAGCGTTCAACACCAAGCCACGAGTGATACATGATCCATTCACGCAAGAACGGAGCTTGGTTCCATAACATTGTACAAACACAAAGCTCATGCTTAACCCCACTCTTCTTCTTCTCAATCGAATCAGAACCGTAGATTCTCGCAACGGAAGGCAGAGCAGGCGTAGTTCTTCCTCTAGGATCAATGTGAATTACACTCACTCGAAACATCATCTCTGGATTTAGCTTCAAACTCTCAGGCAAAACACACCTCACAACTTCTTGCGCTGCAGCAATAGCTTGAGTCACCTCTTTCTCCTCTGAATCCCCCATCTCAAATTGACATTTATAGTAAGAAGGATCTGATTCCTTATGAGGTCTTCGAGTCAATCCTTTAACAAACACAACCACCGTGTCTCCATCAATCACCGCCTCGTAACCAACTTTTTCCCAATTATGAACACGACGACGACTCTGCTTCTCCTTCTTCATCTTCTTCACCAACTCTCCACGAAATTGCAACTCAACAGATGAAGAATAGTTCAAAGGAGCATTAGGGCATCGAACAATCGATCTAAACTCATCGAATTCATCACTAGAAATCGAGGGCAACACCAAAGTCTCTTCCTTTACACCACGATAAACACAAACTAGGTTTTTTTCACCTCTCCCGATTCCGTGCGAAAGAATCAGCAATAAATGGTCGGGGAATTGAACTCTGTCTTCAACACTCAACGCAAGGAATCTACCACCGTGAAACGAATCCATGGATGATGATAAAACGGAGAGAGCAGGAACACGAAGAGACGGTCTCAGAGAATCAGAACGAACAGAGAGTGTAGAGATTCGGTCGGAAGATAAGAAGAAGAGCAAGACGAAGAAACAACAAAGGCATAAGATTAGATACCTTTGAGACAAGAACTGTACTTTTACTTGTTGTTTGTTTCGTACTTTCCTCTTCTTCCCATTCTCATACTCCGTCATCTTCTTCAACAAAAATTGAAACCTTTTTTCTCTTCTGGTTGTTAGAAACAGAACAAGGTTCTTGCTTGATAAACTGATCTAGAGAAGGCTTTACTTAGGGAGAAGAGATCTGGTTTTTGCGCCGGCCGACAAAAGTACCTTCTTCTTGTTCCTTTTCTTTAACAAAGATTAAAGAAGGGAAATATATAAGGAATTTAATTACTTTACTTTGTGAAATAATTCGATTTTGATTTGTTGAGAAAAAGGAAATAATCGTTGTGATAAAGAAGGAAAGAAACAAGGAAGACAGAGAGAGACGCGTTTTTTTTTATACGAGTCGTTCTCATAATCTTGAAAGCCACCGAGATTAGTAGCACTAATCATCATTGTCTTACTTTTGGGTTAATTAAAAGTGATTAATTAAGGAGATTAAAGTGATTTTTATATGGCTTTATGATTTGTGTTAGTTTAAATAATTAAGACCATACCAGTGGGGCATTTTTCACCCGGGTGTAAGGAATAAAAAAAACGGAAATAAGGGAATAGTGAGCCTGGAGTCGGAAGTCGCGTGTTAGTTTACATCCGGGTGTAAGTGCCAGCTGTCAAAGTTTGGTTGGTTCCAATTTTGTTATTGAAAAAATGATTTTTATTTGTTGGGGAAAAACAAAATCGATTCCTTCCCTTCCTCCTCTCTCGAGTCTCGTCTCTCATAGTCAACTCTTATTACATAGTTTCTAAAATAAACCTCTAACATTATTTTACTAATTTAATTTCCCTAACATCTATCCTCTAACTTACACCACTGTGGATGCTCTAAGGGGAGAAAGAGGGGGAAAAGGGGATTTTCATACCCGTACTATATGCACCGTGGATTTTCATACCTGGACAATTTCGTAGGGTATTTTACAACCTAAACTTCAATAAAATTTGAATTTCATACCTATACTTGATACAACGTGCAAAAATCGGAGTCAATCTAACGGGTGTTAGTCAACTCCGTTACGGTGCTGAGTCATCGTACACGTGTACGCTGACGTGTATCAAAACGACGTCGTTTTTATACCCGTACTGTCTGCGCCGTAGATTTTCATACCTGGACAATTTTGTAGGGTATTTTACAACCTGAACTTCAATAAAATTTTAATCTCATACCCTATACTTGATACAACGTGCAAAAATCAGAGTCAATCTAACGGGTGTTAGTCAACTCCGTTACGGTGCGTATCGAAACGACGTCGTTTTGATATGTGTTCTCAAAGTTTTAAATTTTTTTGCAAAACTGGGCACTCGAACCCGCGAGCCGTACTCACATGGGAAGCACCGAATACCAACTGATCCCACAACATTCATCGAGTATTCCTCAATCTTTTTAACTTATAAACCCAAAAAGTTGTGCGAAACCGTAGTCACATGGTAAAACTTTGTTCATGCCTAATTTCTGAGAAGAAGAAGAAGAAATGAGAAAACGATTTCTCAATTCGAAACCCTAGTATTCATAATTTCCTCCCAATTTAAAACGATTGACTACGGCTCGCGGGTTCAATGAACGTTGTGGGATCAGTTGGTATTCGGTGCTTCTCATGTGACTACGGCTCGCGGGTTCGAGTCTCCAATTTTGTAAAAAAATTTAAAACTTTGAGAACACATATCAAAACGACGTCGTTTCGATACGCACCGTAACGGAGTTGACTAACAGCCGTTAGATTGACTCCGATTTTTGCACGTTGTATCAAGTATAGGGTATGAGATTCAAATTTTATTAAAGTTTAGGTTGTAAAATACCCTACAAAATTGTTCAGGTATGAAAATCCACGACGCAGACAGTACGGGTATGAAAACGACGTCGTTTTGATACACGTCAGCGTAAACGTGTACGATGACTCAGCACCGTAACGGAGTTGACTAACACCTGTTAGATTGACTCCGATTTTTGCCCGTTGTATCAAGTATAGGTATGAGATTCAAATTTTATTGAAGTTTAGGTTGTAAAATACCCTACGAAATTGTACAGGTATGAAAATCCACGGTACAGATAGTACGGGTATGAAAATCCCCTTTTCCCGGAGAAAGAGGACACTAGTTTTGCGACTTGTGTCAAAAGATGCTACGTTGAGGTGGACCATAGAGTCTTTTGAATTTTTCATTTAATTTAATGTTTTGGGATTGAAGAAAAAAGAGAGACCTATGATTCTGTGACAGGTGTGTTGCGTTGCGTGGTCTTTTAGTTTTACGGCAAATAATAATTGTTTTTCAAGATTCGCCGGATGATGAGGAGGAGGACCAAACTTGTTGGTACGATTATATAAGACTATAAGTAATTAAGGCTGCTAATGTGTGTAGCAACACGATTCGTCGGTGTAGAATAAGTATGGTTGATTAGTTTAATTTAGTACAAGAAAAAACTTAACAATAATATCAAAGCGTTGAATGATGACATCAAAGATGAAATGAATTGAACCTAATTAGATAGAACTGTTTACATCTATATACTATTCACTAAAGAATGGTTTAGGAATTGACATCTTGCTTAATTCAATTGGTCAAACCAAATCTTGTGAACATGTTTTGTCACTACCAAGCATGTTTGACGAGAAACTCTTTCCAATACATAAAAAATTTCAATTAGTTATATATCTAACGTAAAAAGACATGTTATATTAGTAATCTTTAGCTCTTAAATTGATGATATGATCAGTATATTACAATTAGTTTGTCCGTCGTATTACAATGTAGGTCTTGATGAATGTGATGCTGAAGACGATTTGCTCTTCATTCATATTGCGTTGCCGACCTCAAAAGTTTGTTCATTCAATCGGTGAGTTTGATTAGGAATCATATAAATTTTTTGCTAAGGGTATAGTAGTAAATAATAATTTTTGTATCTGATTTGAGATATTTTTATTGCTTAGTTTGTCCTTTATAACCGACTTCTAGTATTTTTTCCATTTCATTTTAAGCTATTATTGAGTTTGATAGGTGTGTCTTGTGTAATTATTGTGATTGTTATGGATTTTGTAAGTTATACTTAAATACATATATAATAAATATATGTTTTGATATAATAAAATTATTGTGATTTATGGTTTTTGTGATTGTCTTTGTGAAATTATTGTGATTGTTATGGATTCTAATTTGTTAGTTAGACATAAATGATATTGCTAAAATTTAAATTAAAAAAGGACAAACGAGAAAAAGAGAATGTGATGAATTATTTATTGATCCCAATTTTTTTCAATGAGATATGTTGCAAAGTAAGTAAACATGGTTGTGCAATTGGACTTGTGTATATTTTTTAATTGTATATTTATCGATTTTTTAATGGGTCGTATTTTACACTGTTAAAAATGAAATGAGAAAACCTTATTTTGATCGATTTCTAATGAGTTATATTTTAAAATATCGTATATTGATCAATTCTGTAATGAGTCATACTATAGAAAAAGATTAGGCCAAAACTGGAAATGAGGAACGTGGAGATTAGGTATAGGGTTTTATAGGATAGTGGGAAGTTGTTGTGTACATTATATTGCTTCAAATCGCTGGATTCATGTTCCTTTGTTCTCGCCCCCATTTTCTTTTATTTATAAATTCTAACTAATGATGATAATGAATAATAATACGAAGAAGAAAAAGAATGTGCCTTCCATTACAATTATACACCAACCATTTTAATCCCTTTCATGTTTGTTATTCTTGTTTGGCTCTTGTTTTAATTTCTGAATGATTACAATAAAACCAGCCAGTGGCGGATCTAGAAAATTTATTTAGTGGGGGCAAAAATATAACCAAAAAAATCAAATATTAAAATATCAAAAAAACATAAAACTGTCACTTGGTCAAAAGTAAAAAATAAAATAACATAAAACTGTCATATGAAAACACCAAAACCTCTCACAAATGCACTCTACGCTCGTTTATCTTTTGAAACCTTTCTATCACTTTTTCATTTGTGACTGAGTCAAATAACTCTTTTTCAATATAGCAGATAAGACAATCGCTTAGAAACTGGTCTCCAATTCTATTGCGTGCAGCTGTCTTCACCAACTTCATTGCAGAAAAACATCTCTCAACACTTGCTGTAGCAACAGGTAAAGTTAAGACTAACTTCAAAAGCCGGTAAACCAAAGGATGTGCAAGATGCTTTTGGGTTTTCACCATCAAACGAGAAAGATCTCCAAGACTTTTCAGACTCTTAAATCGTTCATCTCTGCGCATATTATCAATGTAGATATCAAGATGCTGCTCAAGGTTGATAAGGACCTCTAACCAGATATTTGCGTCTTATCTCATCTCTCTGGTTCGGATGATAACTCGCTATCTCTTTCCTCTCCGCAGGATCCCATGGCAAATCATCGATATTGGTGTTGGACGTTGAATCAGAAATTGGGTTATAATATCGTTTCATCTTGGTGGTTTACCTATAAAACAAAAACATGTAAATTTAAAAGCCTATAATAAAAGCATCACATCACACTAAAATAAATTACATAAGAAAACAGCAAAATAATATATTGGTCTATATCCTATGAGTTATGAATTTTATATTCATTGAATTATGTAACAAAATTCTATAAAAACATAATCATGGAGTAAACTTATATTTACCAATTGAAAACAGCAGTTATACGCTTCTAATGTTTCATTCGTTTTTTACTGATTATTTTGGAAAATTAAAAACAAAATTACAACTGTTTTGAAAAACTAAATACAAAATTATTATAAAAACATGTTACATGTGTTATGTATAAAATATCATCAAATCACATCGAGAACAACTGAACCTCTACAATTAGAAGAAACAAATTTACCTTTAAATTTCTAATCGTAGAATTTTAAAATATAGAAATTTGCTTTTAAACTCTTATAATTATAATAAACAGATATAATCATATAAAAGAACAAAGAAAAAAGGTCTTACCAGTTACCAGAGAGTTCTCGTCTGGCGTCTGCAAAATAATCAGGAGGAGAAAGAGAGAACAGACAAAAAAAAAATTGGATACAAACGTTTTAGGGTTTTAATTAGTAAAATCAATTAGTTTTAGTTTATAAATAAGGCTTTTATTTATAAAATATTAGTGATATGGGCTTTTGGCCTTTTAAAAAAATTAAAACAAAAGATGGTAGGACCATAAACATAACTTTTTTGAGTTTTTCTCGATGATGGGGGCAGCGTTTTGTTTTTTTGTGGTGGCAATTATTTATATATAATACATATATACTAAAATCCCTGCTAAAATCTAATATATTTTTTTTTTTACTGGTGGCAGCTGCCACCTCCTTACTAGGCGTGGGTCCGCCCCTGAAACCAGCTACATTATTCTTCTTTCCGTTTCCCATACTTTATTTTTGTTGTTTATATATTCTTATACCTTCGTAGCATACAAGTTTGAACTTGTCTATCTACTACATACATTACACATGTTATTATTCACAGTGAGTCAAACAACTCCTAACAAAATCAAACTATATATACTACAATATTACTAGCTAACCCTCGGGGTTTAAAGGTGATGCCATCGTATGCATGCATGCCTGATGCCTGCATGGTGACTTCCAAAACACTTGAAGTCTCTACGTAAAATATTTCAAATAAAATAGTACTTTTTTTTTTTTTTTGGGTTAACTACCGAACAACAATTTCCATATTTTCACAATGTTGTAAACTCTTAAGACTCGAATCATGCGATGATTCTGTTGGGTTTATGTAAAACCCAATAGGTCCATCTAGGTATTTACAAAATACCACTAATTTATGCATATAATGCAAAAATACAATCAACTTTTTTACTTTTGTGCTTTTTTTTTTTAATAAAACACCACTTGCTACATACAAATCGGCCAAATTACTTTCATAATTAGTAGAAATTGAGAAAAATGCACAAAATTGAACTTCAAGCTCTTGTCACCAGCTCCACAACCTTAATTCACAGAAGTTAAGAAAGCAAATGAAAAGGAAGGGGCTGTTAAGAAGATGCAATCCACTAACGATAAACGTAAACATTTGGAATATGAACGTTATGAAATCATTGGAAAAGGAGTTCCAATTTTTCTGTACCACATTTTGGTAACAAAACCCAATAAATGATTCTGGAATTCAAAAGTCACAAAATTCCACAACGATTGGGTCACAGGAACAACCCAAGTCAATCTTCAACCTTCGGCCCAATAGGGCGGCCTAAAAGCAAAAGACCGAGAGAATCGGATATTATTTTGCATACAAGTACAACCCAAAAGAAATCCAGCTTGTACTTAACGACGATTATACCAAAAAATAGTGAAAATTAAACGTAACTAATCAAACCGAGTGTAAAGAAAACGAGTTGAACCAAGTAATTTATCCAACAACTTAAGAAAATGTGTCGTTAGAAAAGCTCTTTGACGGACAAAAAACCACAACACTTTTAGTCTTGATGTGGTCTACTTCACTTTCACATCCTAAGCACAAGCAAAGATGTAATATCAATACCAAGTTCATGAACACTATATGTAAAACAGAATTTTTGCTTAATTAAATTTTACATTCATTTTTTTTAAAAAAACGGTTTAAAATCAGTTCTAATTTTGATATTGTAGAGGATGCTAATTTTGCTTATTTTGGTCTTTGGTCCGAGGAGATTTACCGGCCAAAAGTCCATAATCTCAAAAATAAAAGCTGGAATGAATGTTCTTGTACATGATAATTATTCAAAATTTGCGGCCACCGGATTTGCCAAGTGATTAAATGATCCCTTGAATGTTCTTAAATTTTGGTCTCTCTATATTTTTGAAATTAGGTTCGTCCATTGAAACGCGGGCCCTAAACCTGAAACCAATGCAGGACTTTTGTGGTAGTCATGTTTTTTACCTACCTTATCTTATCACTATTCATTTCTACGAAATTCGTTTTTTTGTATCAGACGGTCATAGGAATAGGACTATAGGAGTGGTAGCCAATAATTTCTGACACTGACTTATGGAGTCTAATGTAGTCGTATCTGTATTGTCCTCATTCTTCTTATATAGCAGTAACCAATAATTCCTTTCTTCCCAAACGATTTACAATAGAAATCAGAGTAACACAAAACAGTCATATAAATCTTTACACCATGGTTTTGTCATAACTCTCTAATGCTCACATTACCATAATTATCAGATCTATTCACATGCATTTTTATCTTTTGAAACTCTATTTGGTTCACGCAGCTGATTAAATTATTGAAGCTTAACTTAAACATGTGCGAGAGATTTGAAAACTCAAACAAGCGGTTTGAAGCAAAGCATCGAATCTGAGATTTTTCGCTTTTCATTTTCAGCTTCTTGAGTTAGTGTCTGGTCAGCTTCTATTTGTGCTTCAAAGTTCAATCTTCTCAAAAATTTGAATCACTCTTTTCCTCTTTTGCTTCAAGTAGATAATCTGAAAAGTGAAAACGCAAAGCTAACCTTTAGAACCATGTTTTTTATAAGCTAAAGGAAACAAAGATTGTTTTTCTTTACTCAAAGATGGTTTTACCTGGTTGTTGGTTTCTGTAGTGTTGTATGCATAGAGTCTTGGAACTGGTCTCTTGGTGATCTCTTTTGAAAAACTGAACCTCCTCTTTGACTGTTGTTTGCATCTGTTGATTCTCGCATTCCCTGGTCGTATGCAGCCATTTCACTAGCTGTGTTTCTAATCCGTGGTCTCTCCTCGGTTTTTCTCCAGAACTTGGGACTTAAGAACTCTGTACCAGGTAGTTTGGAACAACTGTCTCCTGCACAGCTACTACTATTCCTAGGAACTCTCCCGTTAGAAACCGCAAGATCGCTTGATATTTCATCCAACGCCATCTCTAGACCGCTTACACGAGACTCCAGAGACTGGATGCCACTCTGTGAGGTTCCCATGAATTTCTACATCCAAAATCAAAAAAATATCATTAAGGATTGAGCCATCTATAACATTCATAACCAAACAATTCATCTACTTTTAGGAACCCTATGCTTATGAAGACCAATTGTATGTATACCTGTAGTAAGTCTAAGAGACTGGACTGTTGGTTCTCAATCAGAGCAAGCTGTTCCCGTATCAAAGACAGTTCCTCACTATCTTTCTTGCTCTCTTCAACATCATCTTTACAGTTCTTGACTACAGAATCACAAGAATCACCATCATCATTACAAGGTGCAACCCTTGAGCCAGACCTCAAACCACCAAAGCTCGATACTTTACTATCTTCCCGGCTTTTCTCAGAGATAGTATGTTTGATTATATCTGGTCCCCCTGAGTTATCCTTCTCTTCCGATTCTTCCGAATATTTCTTTACCGGCGTAAAATGTGGTCCCTTGTTATCCACACTAGAGGCTTCTACTGCTTGATTTCTTTTTGGAAGATTTTCTTTTTGTCTAGTTGCTGCATATGATCTATTCACAGGCAAAGATGGGGACCTCTTCATTATAGGCGTTACTTTCTTTGGTCTAGCGGATTTTAAACCAACGTCAATGGTAGAACTTCTCGTGACTGAAGAGAAGCATCCAATGCTACCTTCATCTAAAACCACAATTGTAGAATTCAAGATATCAAATTCAAGTTAAAATTGTATTGAGACTACAAAGTAATGACTACTACTACATACCTGTTGAAGATCTTGATGGAGATAAAGAAGCTTCTTCATCATTTGAAACTTCCTTCCATAGATTCAACGCTCGATTCATAGTTTCTCTCACACTTTTTACCTACATTGTGAATCCACCAAGTGTCAAAATCTGATTTCAGATTCTCATTGAACAACAAAAACAAAACTTTAGTCTCTTTTTTTTTACCTTATCAAATCTTCTACTCTCTAGAGCCGTCGTGCAAGTCTTCTTATACTGTGACGCCAAATCTTCCGCCGTCGCAACTTTACCCAACGCCTCCGCCGCAGATTTCCTCGCCGCCCAATCCTCACTACTCAAAAACTCAATCAAAACCGGAACTAACCAATCCAAAACCGGTTTAGTTCCCGCACCACCGGCGTTAATTATACTCCCGACGGCGCTCAACAACGCAGCTTTAGCCTTGAAACCATCACTCTTAAGCAATTTCCCAATCTTAGGCAAAGATTTCCTCAATTGCTCACATTCCGGATCCGTCGCCGCTTCAACAGACGCAGCTAAACACAACGCCGCTCCGATCTGCAAATTCGAATCACCTTCCTGAATCAACGTCTCAATCAACGGCTTTGCAACAGAAGCAAACGGCTGCCTCGTAACATGAGCCGACATATCCGCCGTCGCGACGGCGCAAGCAGAGCGAACAGAAGAATCCGGATCTCGGAGACGGCGGATTACAGTTGAAACCATCTTCGCAAGGTGAGGCGTGAGAGAATCGCCGTGGTAACGAGAAAGAACCGATAAGAGAGCAACGCACTGTTTCCTCACCGGAGATTTAACGGAAGAGTCAGTGTTATGGATACAGTTAAGAAACGAAGAGAAGGAATCGTGAGTTAGGTTTCTAGCGATGGAGTCAAGCTCAGCGGAAGCGAGAGCTAAAGTGTCACGATCAGCGAGCTTGTTGAGACAAGCGATGACTCGTTGCTTTAGATCAGGTGGTGTTGATGGTGACTGCGACGACGGAGATGTTGAAGAAGACGACGGAGATAATGAAATCGGTGGACTCGCCGGAAATCGTCCGTGAACCGACATTTTTTTTTTCCGATTAGAGATTTTTTTTTGGTTAGTGATAGATAAAACGTGTTCACATTAAATGTGTGAAACTGCTTTGAATATGGCGGCAGAGAGATTTCTCCGATTATATGCGTAGACGGTTGGGTTATTTGGGTTTTTAAATGCTTACAAAGAAGAGGGACTTGTGTTATAAAATTAAAATAATGTTACTATTTTCGTAATCTTGCTTTTTTGTTAATGTGTTTAATATGAACAATAAATAAAAAAATAAAAAATACACTACTTGACGAAATAAAAAATATATATATATATGAAAAATGCTTTTGATGATAGTTCATTAGTGTCTACTTTGGGAAAAAAATTTGTCGAAAGTATTCATATATTTTGTCTTGAAAAGAACATTTTTGCAAATTTGCAATATTTTTTCCAACTATAAAAGTAGATAAACTCTAACTAGTTTGTTCAAACATTCTCTTTCATTTATTTACAGGACTAATTCGAAATCTGTAAATTCCATTTAATACAGGACTGATTTAAATATAGGTTTTATCTTTTTTTTTTGCAGATTTTTTAAGTTACGGAATTAAATGTGTGTTTTTGACTACATTTATTTGCGTTAATTATTCGGCCCATTGCAAATTTAATTATGTTAGATGAGAGAAATTCTCTGTCGCCAACAAAGTTATATTTTTCTTAATAAACCCCAAAATTAGCTATTCCGATAATGAAAACAATAATTTTATAAAAATCTAAATTGGATTTGAAGAAATAGTCATAGTCATTGGTGAGTTTTCTTATAGATAATAGTGTAGGTCAGAAAGATTCGGTCCTTTTTTGATGTCGTGTTAAATCTCACAGAACAAAGCTATAGTATAATATATGATTTAAAATTCAAATGAAATATTGTATTATCACCATTACCAAATAATACGACAAGAAAGAAATTGAAACAAAATTAAAAACTGACAGGCAATGGAATATCCTAACTGGCGAACCTTAGAACATTTCCAAAATTTACAGTTATATATTAATAAAGTGATTAAGACAAAAAAAAATGAAATAATATGTTGTGTTTTTGGTAATGATGCTGTATAATCTCTTTGACATTTGACTTGTTCAGAGTATCAATGATGCTTATCACATTTAATCTTTTTTTTCTTAAATATATTAATTTCTGGGGCCAAAATGATTTGACTTAAGTTTACATGATGTAAGAAATGACAACAACCATATTTAATTTCGTATTATATAGTGGATGGAGATAGTATATTTGTTAATTGATGAATATATGATATGATCTGATTATTTACGTGATTATATAATAATCAAATTCGAGAGAAAATAATCATGGTAAAAAAATAGAGTGGCATAGAAGTAAATATGAAGAAGATACATTAAGTGAAAATGTGAAATAATGTGAAAGCACGTGAAGAGGAAATGGAGAGAGCAGGCAAATTGGGCAGACTAGCACGTGACTTGATTAACTCCTCTACTTCTGCTAAATTTAATTCGTTAACTCTTTTTTGAAGTTTTATTTTTTACATGCATTTGACATTCGAAAAAAGCTTCATATTTTATAAGAACTCTTTTTTTACAAATTTAATTAGTAATGAATAAAATAATATAAAAAGAGAATTGCAATAATGTTGTTGGTATATGAGTTGTAGAGGACATAAAACAACCTACAATTTTCCTTAAAACATTGATCGTGTTTCATTGACCTATTATTTGGCAAAATATATATATGTCACATATTATATCATATCAATATTACTATGGCCTATGGGTGTGATTGGTTATACTTGTTAGAGTAAATTTGTGGAGTAAAATAAAATATTATTCTATATTCCATCTTTTGCTCACCAGTGAGCAGAAAAAAGAAAAAATATATTTGAGCTTCACTCTATAAAACACTAGAATAAATGGGCTGAAAATTTAAGAGTCATGAACACTCGATAAAAAATAAAAGATTAGAGTGAGATTATTATGTTTGAAAGCAAAGATCACTTTCATGATGAACAATACAGTTATTGTCAAGACGGCGACGTTTGTAGCATGTTGGGAAATACCCTCCATGTGACTTTTGTTCGTCCGACCATTCTTTTATGGTTTCATTCTTTCTGGCATTTTCCCGCCCTCGTCTTGTTCTTTTCGTTTATAATTTGATTGGTACTCCGATGACCTAAACCGAACCGATACAAGATCATACTCGGTAGTATCAAACCGGTTCTTGGGACAATAAGTTCGCTGGTGCAATATCAAACATCAAGATCATGTAAATAGTTCAACAATGAAGGCCCAGCTAATTAAGGTGGCATGGTTTATATTTAACACTTTTGTTTCTATTACGACATGTATTTAAGTTCAAATCAATTGCCTCCATCAATGCTAGAATGTCTTTTTTTCTTCTTCTTGGATTCTTATGGAGATGTTGACCGTTCTATCTAGCTTATTTACTTAGAAATAAATCAAACATTATTATACTCCCTCCGTATTTTAATAAGTGTCGTTTTAGGATTTTTTTTAAAAAAAAAATTAGATGTCGTTTTCAAATTTCAATGCAAAATTTCTTACTTTTTAATGTTTTATGATGTCATAAAACATTAAAAAGTAATAAATTTTGCATAGAAATTTGAAAACGACATCCAATTCAAAAAAATAAAAATTCTAAAACGACACTTATTAAAATACGGAGGGAGTATTACTTAAGAAAATTGAGCTATACTTATCATTACTTCATTAGGACACCGCCTATTTGGTGGGATACATCATACATGCATACCAAAGTTCTCTTGGTGTCGTTTCTGAAAGAAATGAAGGAAACTATGTTTTTGTTGTAATATTACAACGCTTCATACATTTCCAAACACACAAAATTATAAAACCATAATCCTCTATCCTCAAAAGGAATTTATCATGTAAGATAAGATGCAAGAACTGAAAATGGGCAGAGGGGCAGAAAGGGAAACATTTGGATCGAGGACCAAATGGTGGATGTTGATGTTAGTAATGTTGTTTGACTAAGTGGCAAAGCTAAACTACAAATATTAATACAAGTTGTGGAAAGATAAGAGAAGAAATTTCACATGGACATACCTCAAATAGTGACAACAAACTCCCACATTTTTTAGTTATTTCTCATATTTTTTGCATCTATGTTTTTTCCTTGCAAGGGAACACTTGCACATGTTCTTCTCTTGTTGTTTTAATAAAATAAAATAAGTGTATTTATCTTTTTTTTGGATGAGATAAGAGATGCATCTACCAATGGAATTGTATTGTGGCCTGTGGGCTATATATGTTAATAGAGTTAGGTTCATGTACAAGGAATCGTCCATGTGTCCCATATTATGACCCCAAGACCAAATCTATATAGCTTGAATTCGCCCAAATAAACTTCATTTTTTAATTGATATAGATAGTGTGAGGTAATTACGTAAGAGGAATTACATAATTATGATTTTCAATTTCTTTACTGTTTTTCATCAAATTTTCAACGTTTGATTGGAACTGGCCTCTAATATAACCATTTTAGATTATTCAGAAGTAGTAGTAGAGAGACCAAGTAAATTTAGATATATTAATATTATGAAGTAATAATGTATACAACTCTCATCCATTTCTTAATATGTAGAGAGATATATAAAATTTAAGGGTAGGCGACACATTCAATTACTTTGTTTTGTGGTGGCTAAACCAATAATAAGGAGACTAACCACATATTACATTTGTTTAAAAATGACATGTTCGACTGTGTTCGTAATTTATATTCTTAGGATTATTATTACCGTCAGATCACATGTTCAATCATTCCTTTGTGCCACATTTCAATTATTTGTTTTTCCACAACTTAAAATCTAATTATGTACGGTATACATTTTTTTATTTATATCTTTTGGTGCAACAAAAGCGATGCCTTCTAACATCCTCGCAAGGGAAAACTTAGAAGGCACCGTTTTAAGTCCTTTGATGTATATATCATGCATAAACTTATAATCCATGTCGTCGTTTATCCAAAAAAAAAAAATTATACTTTGAAATGAAACCACAATGAGTAGCATGATTTTTTTTTTTCTTTTGGTCTATATCAAACAAAAAAATCTCCACAAGAATTTCCTTAAGTTACCACCAAAGCGTTATGTTATTGACAAACACTACAAGAGATTTATTAGATAACGTTAGTTTAGTAACGACGGTTCAATAAACGACGTAAAGATATAAAGTGGGAAGGGATTTAGCGTCGGTTTAATAAACGACGTAATAAACCGACGACAATTTATTAACTCATTTGCAGAAAGCTTCGTGTAAACATAAAAAATTAGGTTAATAAATCGAAATCTCAAAATTATGTTGAGAATCAAAATCTCTTCCCTTACACGAAGGTTCGTCGATTTTGGTAAAGCTTAAAGTGTGAGAAAGCTTCGTCGTCTGACAAACTTACATCGAATATTCACAGAGAAAGCTTCTCAAAGCCGGAGCTTCGTCGATTTTGATCCATGAATATTCACTGAGAAAGCTTCTCAAAGTCGGAATCGCAGAACTTAAATTAGTCACCAGAGGATTCCGTTTCCTGCTTCTCCGATTGTGTTGTGAATTGTTCATCTCTTGATTCGATTCAGCATTTGAGTTTTTTCTTCTCCATCTCCGGAGATTCGCTTCTTCAATAGCTCAACAAGGTTGGTACGCCATAGATTTCTTCGAATTTGTTGTGTTTATGAAGGATATAGTGGGTTTAGGGAAGAATTTTCAGCGGTGGTGAACCTCAAAATTTACAGAGAACTTTAGGTACTCTTCTTACTGAATCTAAGTTTCTTTCGATCTTGAAAACTATGGTGAATTGGTAACAAGAGAATTCATATGAATTTGTGGCTAGATTTGTTCTTTCAATCTAAATTTGAATTGAATGATCTGTAAAATGTTCTTGAGAATTGGGATGTGCATTTAGTTGATCCTTGTAGTTGGAGAATGGTCACTTGCAGTGATGGCTATGTCTCTGCACTGTGATTTCTGAGACTGAGACTGTCTTGTTTTCTTAATGAAACAGGGGACTTCCTAGCCAATGCATGTATGGTACATTGTCTCATAGAACCAGAAACCTCACCTATCTACAAGTTATTATAGCCTTTGCTATGTTTGATTCTTGTTCTGCAATTTTTCTT